AAAGGGTTCTTCAGTAAATAAAATGGTTCTGTATAGAACCATGAACATGCAAAGAACCCTTTGCATGATTAAAGGGTCCTTTGCATCGTGAAAGTGTTCTTCAGATTGATAGAGAATGTGCTATAGATGGTTCTACATTGAACCTTTTTGAAAAGGGCTCTGTAAAGGATTGTCATTCCTTAAAATGACATGCATTTTAATCTCAGTCAAAATTTAATGTAAAACTACTTGACTGGACTATATTGTATGCTGCCACTGGCTACATTTATCTATAGTCACACCACTTTAGCTTTCAGTGCTGTGCTGAGGATAACAACTGTATGTATAATTGTATGTAACAAGACTGAGGATTGTGTAAAGGACATTGAACTCTAGATGTTAAGTAACTTCCTCCAACTTAGTTCAGAGAAACAGAAGTTCAGTTTAGAATCAAGTAGAAACAAGCTGTCGAAGTATTTTATAAACATCAACAGCTTTCCAGCTTTTACAATAAACTGTAGCATCACAAATCCATAGTGTAACTATCTCTTTATCTGTGAAAGTTTTCACTCACTCCAGGTTATCGAATCGTATAACAGCAGTAAATCAAGGCACAGTATAATCTTCAGGATGTTTGCATTAGAGGAGGTGAGATTTCCTGGCATTTAAACCTCTGTGGTTGATTCACAACTGTGATCCCATCAAACTCACACTTTTCTTCAAAGATGGTCACAACACCATATCTGAACTGATGAAGCCCCTCTGACAAGTGGAGTCATCTTCAGATTTACAGCACGAGTCCAGTAGTGGCTGAATACCTTTAGATGGTTACATGATCTTGCCTCACAGCCTCTACATGAGCACCTGTTATGATCTGTCAGGCCTGCTTCAATTATAAGATGCAGACTCTTAATAGCTAGAATTCTGAAGTGTACTCCAAGCTTAACTAACAAACGACTTTTTTCTCCTTGTCAAGTTGTACATCAGCTCCTGTAGCTGAGCTGTGCACCTCGATGCCAACTTGCTATGATCTCACCTGGATGTTCTAAAGATTTTTCAATAATTAGTCTACTATCCTGTTCATCTCCATAATTTATAATCAATCAGCTTCAAAAACAACCAACCTCTTCATGAACTTCTAACTTGCTCCCGAACATCCTAAACCTGCCCTGTACTCCTTCTGAACTCCTGCCAGGTTCCAAATGCTAACATCTTATGTCCAACACAGCCAGTAGCACCACTAATCTTTGACTTATAGAGAATATTCTTAATGGTGTTTCCTCTGTACAATCTATGTGTCTCATTTTTAATCCTAGCTTTATTATTATTAAAATTCTAGTGTCTAGTGCTTCCCAGCTGTGGGCTCCTCCAAGTTTTACAAGTAATGGTGAGGTTTTGCAGCATTGTTCAATAACGCTGTAACCTGGCCTCAAAAACCCTTAGATAGCCATGCAGTTGAGATTGTCATGGATTACTAGCTCTATCACCAGAAGGACTTGTGGATAAACATAAACGTCTCAGACCATGCTTGATAATAACAAGCATGCGCTCACACTCTGTGCATCTTACTCATAGGTCTTTAAGATTAACTAGCACTGCTCAGACGTTGGGAACGTGACCAAAGTTATTTGATCCAGTCTTTTCCTCTTATTCTGCGTTCTTCCTTAATAGTTTCTTTGCAATTATTTGTTCAGTTAATGCAGCTTCATGCAATCTGGTGTTGAAACACCAAGGCAGTTATTGACTGGTATTGCAGATTTGTGGATCTTTTGATTCTGAGGTCTTCCTGTGTGTGCTTGACCTTCAGTGTCAGCCATTTACTCTTATGCAATGCAGTTCCAGGAATTCACAAAGGTTTTAAATAAATAAATAATTACAAAATTACAAATTGCAACATCAAATTATAATTTTTCATATTTTGCTTTCTTACATTCATGAATGACAAACCATCATCTGTTCCCTACAACTGTATGCAAAAGTTTGTGCCCCCAGGCCAAATGACTTTTTTTTTTAATTCTTTAAATGAAAATAAGTTAACAAATCCTCTACAGAGAACACACTTCACTTCAGTGTGTAATGCACACTCACTGTTTATTTGCTGAATTTAACACATTGGGAAAAAATATACATAAATAAAATGTGGCTTGTGCAAAAGGCAGTGATGATGGAGTTTTGAAATGCCTTGGTGTCACTGCTGGACTGAGAATAGCCCACCAACCAAAATTATCCAGCCAACAGCATCCTGTGGGCACTGATGAAGGACTAGGGGATGACCAACACAAACTGTGCAGCAAACAGATGAGCTACTGACTCAACTTCACATCTACAAGTTTAACCAACGAAGTAGGAGAGACTAATATAGTGGACTGTGAGTGGACACAGTGTTTAAAACTCCAGCAGCACTGCTGTGTCTGATCCTCTCATACCATCAGTGTGGCTGCAGTGCTGAGAATGATCCACCACCCCAATAATACCTGCTCTGTGGTGGTCCTGTGGTGGTCCTGTGGTGGTCCTGACCACTGAAGAACAGGTTGAAAGGGGGCTAATAAAGTATGCAAAGAAACAGATAACTTACAGTCTGTTAGTCTGTTATTGTAATTGTAGAACTACAAAGTGCACCTAAATGGTAAGTGGAGCTGATAAAATGGACAATGAGTGTAGATACAAGGATTTGGTTCTAATGTTATGGCTGATCCGTATATATATGTACACATATTATGTTATAGTCGTGTTATTAATTCTTGTACTGTTTAGGTGCTGTTAATTGCTAATGTTGCCACAATTCTGGGTGAAGTGCAGAACACAACATATTGTTCTATGACTATAATGGTTTATAAGGTTATTCTCTGGTCTGACAGGAAAAGGAAAAACCAGCATAGTTTGGTGAATTTCCTGCTGTAACATACCTGAACTCATAGCCAGGTTTAGTAGGTGTCTCAAAGAAAGTAACTCTTACAAAAATGTGCACTGTAAATTATTGCCACAATATTACAATATTTAACACTATTTTATCATAGTAAAATACTGCATTCATCATTTTATTGTGATATCAACTCAAGATATTTTCTGTAAAATCACAGCAAATTACTTTGAGGTTGACATTGAGCTGTACCGCACAGCATTATGGGATATGATAGTTAAAAAGGAGTTAACAATTTAAAAAGCCCCTACATCTACAAGTGTTTTCAATATGATGATTTAGGTTTTGAGTTTTAACAAAAGTTTCATGCTGTTTCTTTTGTGTGTGTGTGTGTGTTGATGAAAATGCTATTGTTTATAGATATTGCCAGATTTATGTTTTTTGTCATGTTTGTGCAAAGTATAGGCAAAGCTAAAGTTGCATTTGAAGAATACACTTAAGATACATTAAGATAATATTTAAGATATTCTGTACATAAATATATAGTGCAAAAATGGTGAATATATATTGTCGCTGTCCAAAGAAAACCATGTATCTCCATTTTTGTCGATTTTTCATTTTCTAAATCATTTCAACACACCAGCTGTCCTTTATGTTGTGTAAAAATTGCATGATGCATGGACCAGTAGAAATGCTCTAAAATCACTTGGAATAAAATCTCTTTGCATTGACTTACATTGAAAGGTAAGAGTGTTTTTGCCCTCTCCTGTAAAGTTACTATGTTGGAGATACTTGTTTTCCTTTGGACGGCAATGGTATTTTCATTGACACAGCTTTTTAAAAATAGCATATTTATAGGTCTGGTAAAAATTAAAAGTAATTTGTTTCATATGTAAATTTACAGTAAATTACTGGCTACTGAGCTGCATATCCTCTACAGTTGTTACAGGAAATGTCAATATTGTAGCATCCCTCTACTGCGCAGTGCGGGACGCGTGGCCAGGCACAGAGGCTCTAGGGAGGTGCCACACTTGCAGTAGGAGGGACTTTATGTAAATAAGTTGTTGTTTTTGGCTTGACATATTTGTGCTGTTCTGTGCTGCGCTGTGGGGTAGTTGGTGCTGTGTTAGTGCCTACCATCAGGTTAAGTGTGTGGCTAGCTGTGACCTGCCCACTATCTAGGTCACTTCAGCAGCGGTGAGTGGTGGTTCCCACTTGCTGCCTGTTAATAAAAGAGCATTCGATTTTAAAGCCAGTGTTTCTTGTGTCTTTTTCTTTGCTGACAACACATCATTTGCATTATTTTGATTTCAGCTTATTGTATGTAGGTGTACATAGGAATAAAGCCACATCACAGTGATCTTGTGGTCCAGGTGACTGTGAAGTCACGGTATAGAACCATAGAACAGTTGCTATTTTACTGTTACCTACTGTTTATATGGTTCAGCAAATTACTTTGAAAGTAATTTGCAATTGGTAGCCAGGAATTTACTGTAATTTTACAGTGAATTTTTACAGTGTGCTGCTCTCCAGCGCATTAAAAGCTACCTAGGCTACCTACTGCTCCACTGACCACAAGGATGCCTAACATTGCCTAGAACCAACATGTTGGTTATACCTGTTTAGCAGCCAACAGTGAGACTGACAGCTACCGTCCTCAAAACTCATTCAGCACTTACAAATACAACAGAGGATGTCCAGCACAAAGATTACAAGCTGCCTCACCTCCACCCAGAGTTCCTTAGTATCTCTGTGTGGTAACTGAGTCTTGACTTGTAACATCTCATTTCTCGGAACTCTTGGTTTTAGGTTAGACCCCCGCTGACACACCACAGATATACGCCCACTCAATACTGCCTTTTCCAGGCAGATGCTGCATACTTAAGCAACACAAGAGTCAAAACAGGGTTTAATAGGTGGTCGTTTGCAACAGAAGCAGCTCTTTGTCACTGCAGTTTGCTTTGCCGAAGTGCAAGGCGTCGGCCATTTAAAAGAAATACACTTTTTTTTGTTTCACTTTCTTAAAAATAAAATGTTTTATTGGGTTCTGCGCAGATGTGGAGGAATCAGAAGTCCGTTCTCAGTATGACTGAAAAGTCCAGGGTTTTAAAGCATCGTCAGTCAGTCAGTGAGCTACAACCTGCTATGCTAATCAGTTCTGGTCTCCTCCCCTCAGAGTAACAGCTGAGCTCTCACTGAAAGTTATCACAGCTCCTCACCGGCTCGCGCCAGGACACGGACTTTCATCTCTTCGTACTCTCAGCATTAGGAATGATTCGGAGACTGACAGTGTTAATGGTGGCGTGGTTCGCGGTCTTTGGTGAAGCTGTGACTTTTTCCCGCCGTGTTTCGGACGAGCAGCCCAGAAATTCAAGACAAAAACGAGACAGCTGGGCGGTCAAGTCCAGCTTCACGGCGTGTAAAACTTCCCTCAGCCCCAAAGAACAGAAGACCCTGGACAGGAACACATACGAGGTAAGAGCAGGACTATCAGGTCTAAAGAATAAATTCTTCTTCTGGTGAGTTTTTATTTTTTTTTTTAAAAAAGAAACAGGAGATATAAAAGTACTTATAAGTAATATAGACATTTACTTCTGAATCAGGTGAAATGTGATACCTTTTCTATTATGTTTGTAATGAAGAAAAGACGCATCGTTGAATGTTTAAAACTGTAAATAAAAGTTAGCTGTTAAAGCTATTAGAGCTATTAAAACGTACTCTCTTGTGAATGAAATGGTGAATTTGTGATTAACGCTAATACAAGCACACAAAAAGATGGTCCTTCAAGGGTTCTTTAGTAAAGACAATGGTTCTATATAGAACCATGAACACTCAGAACCATTTGCAAGGTTATGTGCTTAAATGGTTCTTTGCATGGTGAAATGGTTCTTCAGATTAATGGAGAATGTATGTGGTGCGATGATGTTGTATATGGTTCTATATTGAACCTGGTTCTATATAACACCAAAAATGGTTCTGCTGTTGTTACAATGTTGAGCTTACAATAGAAACAATAGAAAAAACCCTTTTTGGTGCTAGATAGAACCATTTTAAAAAAGGTTGTGTATTGAACCACATACAACACATTCTCCATTATTCTGAAGAACCATTTCATCATGCAAAGAACCATTTAAGTATGCAAATGGTTCTGAGGGTTCATGGTTCTGTTTTAGGACCATGTAGGACTGATTAGATATAAGGATGTAATTTCTTAGAAAGTAATGAAAATGTTCTTTCAGGGAAATTGACCGGTTTCCACAGTACTGAGGAAAATATAATCATAACCGTGAAACTGTCAAGTTCAGCAATATTAACAATAGTTCCTTTTATTTTCTTTTTCAGACAGGGTTTCATGGAGATGACGGCTTCACTTTTAGTCTCACATGGGTAGGAGATGGGACTGGGGTAAGTCACTTTATCTCACTGGACGAGGTAAACTGCACTTTTGAGTTAAATTCAGAAATGCAGTTATTTGGATAATGTCTACATCCCACACTGATGGGACGCCCTGTTGTGAAGATGTGCGAGTGTTCATCCACGTTTAGTGCAACACTTCAGTGAGAGGAAGTGTTACCAGCCACATCTCTTTTCTTGGTTATGTTCTGAAGGAACCTGTATCAGCGTGTCATGTATGGTGGTGCTTGGGTGTGTAAACTTCTGTCTTAACTTGCTGATTTTCATTTGTTTTAGTTGATAAATGTTAGTTTAACTTTTCTTGTTAACCTTCTCTGCTACACTGTAAACGAGGGTCACCCTTAACATGCGTCTGAGTCAAAAAAAAAGGTTGAAAAAACACTTCTATTTTGACCTCAGTAAAAAAAAGTCTTTTCTCTGACTCTGGTCAGGTAATTCTGGTGTTGTCCACAGTCAGCGCTCCGCTGGAGTCCTTTTATGAAGGAGGCTCCACGCGACTTTACAGGAGGTTAGTGCACAGAATAAGGAGTCATCATTCATTTTGTTTATCTCTGAACTACATATCCAGATGTAATCTCCCTTTACTAAATGTTAAATGGACTATTAATAATTAACTGACAGTTTTAAAATTTGATATTACTATGTTTCCTCACAGTGAAGACTATGGAAAATCATTCCATGATATCTCCCATGCCATCAACAGTTCCTTCATAAAAAAGGACTTTGGTATATGTGCAGGCCCAGGGAATTCTCAGCAGGTAACTATAACACTGTATTTATGATATTTACAGAACTGTGGAAAAATCAGAGACCACCCTTCGATATGTATGAATTATTCATTTTTCAGGGTCAGAATCTGACACAGAAGCCTCAACTACTTCATTAATTATTTCAGTTTTTTTCAGGAGACTTGCTTCCAGTTTTTCAAAGATTTTTACAGGGATATTTTTCCACACCTCCAAAGTTCAGTCTTAGGAGTTGGTTGCATTTTCTGCATCTCACAATGCAAATAATCCAAAAACATACACTGATGTTGAGAACACCAGAAAGAAGTGCTAACATTTTTGGTGGTCTCTCAGGTCTTGCACGGTTGTTAAAAGTATATATATGTATATTTCCCCTTATGCAAGTGGATTATTTTATATCTAATCTCCTCAGATTAATAACTTGTACTTAGTGGCTGAAAATAAACCACTGAAATGCAAAGGCACTTTAAGATAAGCATCATTTTGTAGTAATGCAGTGCACTTAAAAAGCTGACCTACACATTGGAATTTGCTTTTCATGTCAGTATCTGTATGTGTACGAGCCTGATAGGTTTTCTTACTAATGGAACACCTATCTGAGTCATGCTGTCCAATCAGAACTGAAAGGGATGGCTTCAGTCAGTAAACCACAGCTCATCTTTGTCATTTTACAAGTGGTGCAAGAGGCTACTGCGAACAAAAAAAAAATTCTCTTGTGACAGAGTGTCTCTACACTGCCAAACCACAGTTTAGCGTGCGAAGAGGAGGGGGTGGTAGGTGAGAATTCCGATAACAGTCGTCTAACTAGAGACCCTAACTCAACTGCTAGAGTTGAGGGGGTGGAATCAGTGGTGATAAAGTGATCTTTATCTGATCTGAATAGGCTTATAGTGTAAGATTGCATTGATACACATTGTGTAGTTTATCTCATCTTCATCTGTTCCTTTATAATCTACCAGTGATGCACTGAACCTTACTACGAAGCGTGTTTTGTTTGTTTCTTTCTTCTTTTTTTGTGTAAAACCTTCTCACAGCCATGGTGGTGTTTTCATAGGTGATTCTGATAGCTGAGCTGCCAATTACCCATACCCCAGGAGGAGTCATATTCACCTCAGTGGACTCAGGGGTAACGTTCAAATCAGTGCAGCTGCCGTTCCACCCAGCGCAGCCCATATCCTTCCACGACCAGGACCAAGAATGCCTGCTGGTCATCGGCACAGACGTGAGTTCAACTTTTGCTCAGTCGAGCCTCCAGTGAATGAACATTTAGTCTAAACTTCTAAACTAAAGATCCCAGGTCTGGTCTATAGTCCTTTTTCTAATGGGATTCTTTGTTATGAGAGTATTGGATTTTTTTTACGTTTTACAGCTCACTAAGTGATGACACATTTGTTCCAGTGAATTAATCCCATTAATGTAATCTGATTGATTAAGCCAGAGCACACCAACCAGACAAACATGAACAGTCTGATGTCTGAATGTCTAGAAAAAACTAAATCAACCAGGGTGACTGGAGGAGAGAACATTCTCGATCCTCTCAACAATCAAATAAGGTTATGTCACACCAACCAGACGTTTGTGTTTGTTCATGGTTGTCTGATCTTTAGTCCTATGGCCTCATTTATCGAAATGCCATGCACATACAGTGTATTCCTAAACCATGTCCACATCATTTGGCCTCAAAAGTTTAAGTAGATAAAAATCTTGTGGGGCATACTGAGAAATGCTGGTGGTTAATGCAGACAGTGATGCTTACTTCAAAGTGTTGTACTGTGGCCAAATGAATTTTACATTACTGAATATAGGCCTAATTTAAAACACACACACAAACAAACACAAATTTTAAAACTCACAATCACCTGATTCAGCTCATCAGTTAATTCCTATGAGAAACAATAATGACAGCTTCATTCTTGTAACACTTTTCCAGAGTGGTCTATGGCTCTCGCAAGACTTTGGGAATAGTTGGTGTAAAATCCATGATGGAGTCTACTCTTTCACATGGTGAGATCAAAAACTCTGGCCCTGCAACACTTTTTAGCACAATACAAGTAAATACTTTAGCTTGATTATCTTTATTAATGTAATTCTTCTAATTCTCGCATATGCACTTTTTTCATTTGATACTTTAGTCCTGTTCATTTTCCCCAGTATGTGCCATTAGATAGGCATTGTCTCTCTGAACGGAACTGCATTTTTAGTTGTTTATACGTTCTTATTGTGTTCTTTTTTATTGAAGGGGACCCGGCAACACCCTTTTTTTCAGTTACAGCCCTGAAAACACAGGTGAGTTTTTTTTTTTTGTTTTATTTTTAGTCAAAGGCTGTTTCATTAAATCACATACAAATTACTTGTTAAAGAAAAATAATAATAATAAAGTGAAAAGTAATTTCATTTATTATTCATTTCAATCAATTATCATTAATTGTTATCACATAAATATTAAGTATTTCTGCCAGGCTATGGCACAAAACATTTAAATGATGAATAAATGAGGCCTACACTAATCTCTAACCTGTTTTCTGTTTATCTGTGTTTTTGGATTGTAAATGCTGTAAACTGAGTTTAGTGGAGGCGGATAAACGAGGAGAACTTTTTCTGAGACGCACACGAGACCTGGGCCAAACATTCACTACCATCGCACAGAACGTCTTCACCTTCGGCTACATTGGAGGCTTCTTATTCACCTCCGTCATGGAGAAACAGGTTGGGGAAAAATGCAGACAGCATGTTAAACACCAAACAGTACATGCACATAAATAGAAAATGTCAACAAAATGTTCAGCACAAAAAGTTGCCCTATCTCAGTTTTCTTTGCTGGTTTACCAGTAATCATTGTTTTGTCAATGTTGTAACAAAATCACATATCAACCAAAGAAAAGTTTATATGAGAGGATAAAAGTTACTCTACATTAACTTAAAGGTGAATTTCAAAGATTTTTCTAATTTTGTTGATAATTAAATCATTACGATGTGAATTAAGTAATTCAGAGTGGTTTGATGTGAAGTGCTTCGTTCTAGAGTGAGTCAGAATCATTTGCAGAATTGGTGTTGGGAACGAGACATCTTAAGCTTTAAATACTTCTAAAAGCTAACTATGAAATGGTAACAGATATGTTGACTGATGCCCAAGACATTGTTTAACAATAGGTTGGAGAAAAGATTTTGGTCCAAAACATAAATTTTATTACCATTCATAGTGGAGAGGTACATGCAAAAAAGTCCCCAAACAAAACATATATTTTCTAATTTACCACTTTTTTATCATTACATATAAAAACTCAGAAGGCATGTGAAGGTTTACTGGTTGTTTTGGGTGGTAAATGAAATTGCTATTTTTGTGTTGTACACATCACAATCCCTGGTTCCTACCACCACCACTGTAAAGAAATCTGAGTTTCTAGGTTTCTCTGTAATTAATCTTTTTCCCACCAGAAAACTCTGAATGATGTTATTTACATCATAAAAAAAAAACTGGAAAACCCTGTTGTGCAACCCAGGAACCTCAAAGTTGCTTAAAGTGTCCAACAAAAAGTATGAGAAGGTTCCTCATGCTCAGACAGAGAATACTGTTAGACATAAATAAAGAAATTGCATGATGCAATACATTTACAAAGAAAAAAGCTTACTTTTTAAAAAAAAAATTAACTCTTTCTTTACGTAGTGTCAGCTCCAGAGTGGCACAGTTATTTCTGAGATGTGGTACTAAAAATGTGAGTTTAAGACAACTCAAAAAGCTTTGCAGTTTATTTTCAAAATGTTTAAAATGTCTGCATATTTCAGTCACTGAGATATACAACAAAGTCATTCACAGTGATCTGATTTGAAAGGATTCATGGCAGAGAAATTTACTAACTCACACTGAATTTTTTTTACAGTGGTGATGATAAGAACCAATATTCACAGTGTCTACACAAATATAGCCCTTTTATTTACTATCCAAAAAGGCTAATGAACTTACATGTTTTTTTTTTTAAGTTTTTATATGTTATGTTGTATATGTATAAAATTGTGGTAAATGTGAAAATAAATTTCTTTGACTGCTATTTTTCCTTACAACACTTTTCCATGAATATATTTTAAAAATACATTGCAGGCCAAAATTATTTTGTCTCAGACATATCGTAAAACAATGTCTCAGGCATCGTACAGTGTAATAATATGTTACCATTTCACGTAGTAGTTTTCTGTGAGGGAGCTTTTAGAGGCATTGAACTTGTCAGACATCTGGTTCCTGTCACCACTATTTTGAACAGTTCTGACAGTTTCTCAAGAGCAGCACATTTAGGTTTTTTCACATTATGTTTTATTGGTTTTCAAAACACACATACAGTGAGCTCTGAACACACTACGATACACGTATAAATAAATAAAACAAATAAACAAATAAATACTAAAATCATTTGTTATTGAAAGTGTTTAAAAAGGTCAGAAAAATGTGAACAAATATAGAAGGGAAAAAAAAAACATTAAGAGAGCCAAATTTCACATCAAACCCTGAATGACTTTGTTTACATATTAGCAATTCACAACTTATTTGTTAACTACCATGAATTACTTGCTAACTACTATAAATTGTTCAGTAAGTACTATTGATTATTCGGTAACTACTGTCAAACTAAAATGTAAGTTATGTAGTTACTAGAGTGAGTAAGTGAGCTGAGGTATTGGCCTTTGCAGATATTGTGAAAAATCAGTGAAGTTCTCCTTTAATATTTGACCATTGTAAAAAGCAGTGTTGTGCAGTTGTGTTCTTCAGAGTGTGGTGTTTGTTTGTAGGGTTCTCCTCGGGTTATCTATGTATCTTCAGATCAGGGGGATTACTTCAACAAAGCTCTGCTGCCAACGGCCTCCTCAGAGCAGGTAGGAGAGAGTAACCCGACAAATAAGCAAAACAGTCACAGCAATACACAAATGAAACACAGACTGGTTTGTCTGACCTTGGACTCAGAGTAGTGCTAGTAAATTTACTATTACTCTTATACACGTCATATATCGCCCACTCCATCCAGACACTCACATGAACACTCACATGGTTGTGTTAGTGAAGATGTAAGTCCGGCTTGTCCTTAACAGCCTGCCATCTTGCTGATTCAACAGAAAAAAAGGCTTTCTCTCACCAAGGTTGAAGACACACCTACGTGCCCACACTTACCTGTATGTGATTCACTCATTATCATGCCCACATGTTCCTACTCTGTGTTTCCAGTTCTACTCACTTTTGGATGGTGATGAAGACATGATCTTTATACATGTGGACAGCCCTGGAGGTACAAACCCCCCACATTATATCACTCTTTATTTTCCCCACTCTCATTCTTTTTTTTACCTGTGACACATTAGGTGCTTAATATAATGTAACATTTGTCCACATGAACGTTTGCCAAATTCTCGCAGATGCAAAGGTGCAAAAGTCCTTCCTCTCTTAGTTACTATTGTTATGTCCGTCAAACCTTCAGCTAAGGCCACCAAGTAGCATTCGTACCATTTGTGCTAACAGGTTTAAAAGTTTAGTAGTACACAGGAAAATTTGAAAGCACACAGAATAGTGCATTAATACATAAAATGAGTGTTAGTGAATACATTAACCTACATTAAGTTTAGCTTATACTAGAGTCTTTTAATAGTTCCAGAGTTTAATCCAAAACTTCTTCAGCATTGAGAATGAAATGAAAAAACAGCACCATCCTCCAGATTATCAGGATAGAGTGTGTCTGAATAACACATTCCCCAGCAACATTTATTGATTTACATGATTTACTGCCACCGCCGTTCTCAACGGAGGGAGTAGTGCTTACAGATGGTGAGGCGAGTCAATCATTATTTATAAACAGTCAGTTATCTGATTTTGGCCTGGTTTTGTCTTTAATCCCTTGAATTCCCAGGCTTATTACATCCTAAAGGCTTATTATTCAGTAAACTAAATGGAAAACAATGCAAACTGACTGTTTGTGTTGAGGTATAAAGGGTGAGCTTGGACATGTTGGCAGCTTTTGGGTCTTTAAGGAAGCCATTGTACATTTTTGCATAAACAGTCGTAGTGCTGATGTTTTAACGCCTCAGTTTCACACATCAGTTTTACAGCGTTGCTAAGTTCTTGCAAGACAAGTTCTCCATAGTGCTGACAACTATTTTCTGCTAATAGCATGAGAGGGCAGACAACTGACTCTTTTGGGTCAGCATACACTATTCATATTTAGGTAAGCCTTGAGGCTTTTATGTAGTGGTGGTTAGCTAGCAAGATAAGGCTGAGGATGGTGTTCTCTTTCACCTAAAATGCAGTGGAGGTGGTGTTGTGGCCTTGTTAGAATAGCTGACACATTGATATGTGCATCAGGGTTCAGCCGCATGCACACACGAAGAGAAGCATGACACGCATATTAGACAAAGAGAGTGTTTTATAACCCGAGCCACACTGAGAGAACTTGGGAATGTCATTTTACACTTTATTTGTAATCCCTTTTCTCTTTTAACTCTCTCTCTTCTAACGTAGTGAGAAAATGTAAAATGCTGGTGAAATATGTGAATGTCTCTGTATGATTTGTGTGTGAATGGTGAATATTATCTTATCTCTAATCTGAAAGATAAAAAGCTGTGTCAGCAGTGTGTATGTGTGTGATCTCTCATGCTTGCAGACAACTCGTATTTCGGAACGATCTATACCTCCGATGACCGTGGCATCCTGTATTCGAAGTCTCTAGAACATCACCTGTTTGGCATGGAAAGGAAGAGTGACTTTACCAATGTGACATCGCTGAGAGGAGTCTATCTTACCAATGTCCTGGTGGAGGGTATGGACACCTATCATGCACTGTGATTTAGAAACTGAACCTGAAGAAATTTTCAGCTTGCTTAACTGTGCAAATGTAATTACATAATTACATTATAAATTAGTTATGTAATGAATAATATTTTCCTACATGGTTTATTATTCTGTATCGACAGGTTTGAGTCTCTTCTTTAATACCAAAAAATGACAAAAGAATGGCACTAATATAAAATACTATTTCGAATTTTTATTTCGGCAAAAACGTTATTTCGCACCAATAACTTTTCATCAAATTCAAATGACAAACTGTAGTATTCTGCACCTTCATTCATCCGCTTGTTTTAATGTTATTAATTAATTATTGTTAGTAACTTCAGTACTTTGCAAAAGTCATTTAATTTCCAGTCAAAATGGCCAGAAGTTTTTCGTTTTCATAAAAAAATTTCAGAGGAGATTAAATAAGAATTAAATTCTAGAATTAGAATTTTATTTTTTTTCATGATATGGGAAATATCAATGCTATATTAGATTTATGCCTTTATAAAAAGAGACATAAAAGTCTTTTCCAGGACACGTCAACTTGTCAACTAATTCTTTATAACAGCGCATCATATCTAAAAAAGTTACAAAAGAATATACAGCATGTTGGAAAAAAAAGCTTTCTTTTCTGCTTTTTTTCCCTGTTGCTGAAAAATAAATAACTCGTATGGCAGTTTTGACTGGAAATTAAACACTTTTGACTTTTGCACTGTGCTATGTTAGTGAGAAGTGCGTAACATGGATTTACAGCATACTTTTCTTATCACCAGCAATAACTGAATTCTAAAGATTAATCATCAACAAAGGGAAACATAAGTCTCCAGCCTTCTGCAGATCTTACCATAAAAACATATTTTAATTGCCTACTTTGTTTGCTACAGATGGACGAATTTCTACAGTCATCTCCTTTAACAAGGGCGGAGAGTGGAGACCACTAAAAAAGCCAGAAAATGTTGAATGTGGAAGAGGTGTTGAAAGGGTACCTTCACACAGTGCGGTATTAGCAGACGTAGCAAGAAATACCGTGACTGTAGAAGTAGGTAATAAATGTCTTTCTTTGTGTGTTCCAGTGTAACCTACACATCCATGGCGAACACAGTCTCTACAGTGGCATTTCTCCCATGCTGCCTCTGTCTGACCCTTCTGCTGTTGGACTGATCATTGCTCATGGTAGTAGTCCTTCTCAAGCTAACCCCAATCATTCACTAACCACCTAAACTCTGAGAACCTGTATGTGACCCACACTCCAGTGTCTATCTCTCCTAACTACATAACTTGTGTGCTCTGTATGTCCAAAAGTATCCAGACCAGGGGTGTTAAACTCCATTTACACTCAGTCCAATGTCAAGTGGGCTCGACCAAAATCAGTTTGGTAGTCCAATAATGCATCAACAAGTCTTCATTATTTTAACATCAGTTATCTGAAATGATACATTCTGAATGAACTAATTGTTCTGACAGATATCACCTACAAAACGTAGACAGTCAGACTAAAGTTACGAGGTGCAACATTAGATGTTGAAGATATGTTGAGTTTTACATGTAGTCTTGAAGTGACCCACAGAGAACGCAAAGGATTGCTTGAATATGAAAACATTAATATTCAATGAGAATGTTTTAATCACAAATGTGCACACTGCACAATTTAAATTTATCAAAATAACTGTCAGCAGCTAAGCTAAGAAAAGCTAACTAGTTAACTAACCGATCCTAACATTTTTCTTGACATCATTATCATTATCGTTACTGAATGAGAAGTCTAAACATTAATAACTGAGTAATAAATCTGCAGTTTAAGGCACATCTATCCAGAGTTTGTCAGTAATCTGCACCCTCTGTTTTTGCAGGTAGTGTAGGGGACTCCATTTCAGCATCTAAGCCAGATGTGTATGTGTCCTCGGATGGGGGCTACAACTGGATTGGCACACTGAGGGGGCCCCACCACTACAGCATACTAGATTCGGGGGGCCTGATAGTGGCCGTGGAGGCTCACAAAGACCGGCCAGTTAACTCCATAAAGTAAAACTTGTTATGGCTACATTGGGGTGAAGAGAATTTCTCATAGTTTATCTTAGATCTCATCTTTTACAACTGCCTAATAAATGTATCTTGTCTGTAGAATATCATTATATCATAGCTCTTGTGAGTGCACATGTAGACTATCTGAGAAAGCTTTCTGAAATGGGACAAGGTATGAGAATAATACAGTATGATAGATAGTTTTAGTGACATCATCAGTGACTGGATAATGGAAATTAACTATCTGTTCTATTTGTACAAAAATTTATTGATTACTGAGTGCATTTAATTTCAAGCTAAATGGGCATATTCTGGTCTGCATGTAGCAGTACCGATCAAAAGTCTGGACACACCTACCCACAGAAGGGTTTTCCTTATTTTACTATTTTCACTATATTAATGTTTCTAAAATAATACTGCACATTCCAGTGCACTAGTGCAAATGCATATTCAGTTACATGCCACTTATTGGGGGACATTAAGAAAAAATACATATATGTATATATTTGTATGTTATCTAATATTAAAAATGTTTTGGAAATAATTCTGTATATCAGCTTCACTATTTGTATTTGTCTTAGAAACAAATTAGTTTGCATTTCAGCCTTTAGATAAAGCCTTTAAATGTGTTTATGAAATTATTTTTTTCCAGATTCTCCACAGATGAGGGCCAGTGCTGGAAAACTTATAATTTCACTGAGCAGCCCTTTTTTATTGCTGGCCTGGCATCTGAACCTGGCACTAAGACCATGAACATCAGTGTGTTTGGATACCGACCTGAGGATGATGATCGGCCCATGTGGGTCGCGGTTACCATTGACTTTGAGCAACTGCTAACCAGAGAGTGTGAGAAAACATTACCTCTGTCATCTTTAACAGTAATGATAATGAGCATCTGTGGTTCTTAGTAAAGAGAGCAACATACTGCACACATGTTGAATGTAAATGTTGACATTTTCTATTTTAGGTACATTACATTGAAGCAGTACTATAATTGTGTCATTACTAACTGTAAAGTTGTTGGTTGGATTGCTTATTTTCTGAATGTATTATATTTCATTACATTAGAAATGGACATTCTACTACTACTCATAGAAATTGGGATCAATAACAACATAAAACATTATGCAGTATTATATCCTAGTTTCTTGTTCTTATTATTACTTTTCTTCCATTTAATAGCCATGTATTGAGGGATAAAAATGTCTGTCTTTTGTTGAGAAGTATGTTTTTATATAAGTAATGTGTCATATAATGTTTTTTTTAATTATTTACAAATATACACTTTATATTAAATATTTGTGAACTGCACTTTTCTTACATAGTTGATCATTTTCCATAACATCATAGCATTTTCCATAACATACCATAACATTCCTACACTTATGCCAATGTGTAATGTAAAGGCAGAAGCCAAATACTGTGAATATGTCAATGATCTAAGAGTAAAACTGTTTGCCTCTAATATTTCCTGCGTTTTGATGGTCTTCATGTCTCAGGTGATGAGGATGACTATGAGGAGTGGCTGGCCCATTCTGATGATTCAGGAGCCTCAGAGACTGATGGATGTGTTCTAGGCTACAAGGAAACATATAGGAGGTTGAGGAAGATGTCTGTCTGCAGAAATGGACGGAACTATGTGGTCAGCAAGCAACAGACCCCATGTCCCTGTTCCAGGGAAGATTACATGTGGTGAGAAGATACTGCACTTGAGTCACAATAGCCTGAGACACTTTGACGATAGAATTGTGAACCTTTATTGAAAGGCTCTCATTAACAGCCCCATATCTCTTTATGACAGTGATTATGGTTACTATCGTCATGAAAACAGTTCTGAGTGTGTGGAAGAAGCTGACTTCACAGACAAGAAACTGGAGATCTGTTTAAATGGAGAGTTGGAGGAGCTTTATACAACAGGGTATGGGCTGTATTTCACTCTGTCACTCACAGGTACACTCACAGATGCAGCTCACCATTATGTAGGGATGTCACAATACAATGTCTATTTTAATGCATTGAAAAGTGTGTCAAATTGAGACCCTATTGTACAACAAATAATGAATCGTCACACCCCTATGATTATGCTTTTATGTGCATTATGTACAGGTATCGCAAGATCCCCAGTGATAAGTGTGAAGGTGGTTTCAGCCCCCCACGTCATATGGATGCATCCAATAAGCATTGTGGTAACTCCAGTGAAGGTTCCTCTTCAAGCCATCACCTTCCTAGACTAGTGTGTAATATTACATTTGCATTTACAATATTACGGTTCCTCAGAAGTAGTGATGGATCTTGTGTGTTTTACAAATCTAGCAGATTGCCAGTGTTTGGGCTTAGGATCAAGAAATGTTCGGTGTCCAAAGTTTGCATTTTTAATTTTTTTGCGCTGAAACTGAGGCTGGGATCATCGCTGTGTACCCAGGGTTCTGTGTTCCCAGGGTTCTATGATAGATCTGTGATACTTCTATACAGATCCCTTATTAAAACACACTCCAATTTAACACTGCAGTAAACAGGAATGTGAATCTATTCAGCGATTGAGGCAGCATTTAAATGTTTTAAGTCATCGTTTTATTTGAACCTAACAGTATTAACAACATTGAAAAATATTACCAAAGTTGGCATTCATGCTAACAGTGGAATCTTTAAGCTTATCCTCAATGACAAAATATACCCACCATTTCAGTACTGTTTTTAAGATGCCTCATCAACCTGCCTTCACCTTTTTCATCATGGCAAGTTTTTTCCTTTATTCTGCTAATTTGCTTGTTAGCAAGCTGAGGGCTACAGAACTAGTAACAACAAAAAAAGAAGGGCAGGGCACCATATATAAACCAGATAAAGCAATTTATCGAAAGGTTATGCGTTCTACATGCTAATTTACAAAACTTGCTTAGCTGGCTTGTGCTGTTCTTCTTGTTTTTATGTACACATTTCAACAGCAAGCCAAACTCCATTCAAACAAATACACGGGAGTCAGGATTTAGCCTCCAAGCCCCAGTGTTTATTGAAGTGCACGTTCATCCACTGAGTGAATAGGAGTGAAATTATAAGGAAAAATAAGAATAACAATTTACATAAACCGTAAGTAATGCTATTAGAGCTATGTGTTCTGTAATATGCAACAGTGCAGGGTGACTGGAGAAGGCTACTGAATACAGTGCTCGCTGATTATGAAACATACTTACTGTCAGCTTAAGATTTAGTAGAATAAGCGTTTTAAAGCTATGCAAACTGCATTGACAGATTACAAATCTTGTATATAAATGGCTTTGAGCTCTCCTTATATGGTTTAACACACATTGGAACAAAGAAAAGATGCTAAGCTAACAATAGGAGGATATAGAAACAAGGCTAGATAGAGCTTTTCAACACAAATAAGATTAAAGTGCTAAAGTGAACAAGAACCACAAATACTTACATAATAGGACAGGACATAGCTAATTAGCTTGCTGAGGCTAGCCTAGCTGAGGCAAAGTGCATTCCTATCGAAAAATGTGCTTCTCATTGCTGCCTGTATGATCTTTGACGACCCATGACGTTAACCTCTACCTTGCAAACTCTTTCATAGGTTCCCTTTACAAATCATATTCATATATGATGTATCATATAAAGAGCTGAGCATTCTGCCCAGGGGAACATAGATGTGCTTATTGTTATAAGCTTGACACCTTGACATTGTAGCAATCAGAACCCTTTTTGGTGCTATATAGAACCATGTAAAAACTTTAAGCATGAAATGGTTCTATATAGAACTCGTGGTTCTGTATTCATGGTTACTAACAAACCCTTCAAGAACCATCTTTTTTTTGTGTGTAGCTAACAAATAATGGAAGCCTATACCCCACTAATCAGCATTGTGCAAACTGCATGCCTAAATAATCACACACTTGCCTCAAACAATGTGAAGTTGTTCAGTATTCCTAATTATGTGGTTTCTGGCATTTGATGGCATACTGTAATATATAAAATGGATAAAGGTATGGACGGCTGCTGCTATCACTTTACCTACTTTGTCCAAACATGCCATGATTGATGCATTTGAGGTTTTAAGAATATTAAGGACTGTTACTTTACCATAAAAATGCCTCTGGGAACAGGTGAAACATTCAACCATTTACAACGCTAAACAATTGATTTACAGGATCAGGTGTGGTTGCAGATTGTGATAGGTGTCAGTGTGGGGATCATAGTGCTGGCCGTCATCACTGCAGTCACCATTACAGTCCGGAGAATGAAATGCAGGCAAAGGTATGGCTTCAGAGTCCGTTAGCGATTGTGCACTGCAGCAGGCTTGTTTATCTCACTGGCCCTCTCTGCCCCCTACAGGTCAGCAGCATACCGATTTTCTGCTCTTCAGCTGCAGGAGGACGAGCCCTGCATCACCTCTGTTGGTGGGCCCAGCAGTAACCGAGCCAGCTTCCAAGAAGATTCAGATGATGTGAGTGTGATGTTCCATCATAATCTCTTTGCCAAGCGTTCAGTTCAGTCAAATCAACAGTTACTTGTATTACAGTGGACATTTAAATTTAAGCATCAAAGCTGTACACTAAATATGGCAGGAAACTGTTTAGTCTAGATTTTTAGGCCTATCTTTTACATTTGTCTGCAAAAGTTTGGGCACCCCTGGTAAAATTATGTTTTTTGTTGATTTTCTAAATGAAAATAATTTAACACTTCTGTCTGTTTTAATGCACAATAACTGCTTAATGGCTACATTTATATTCATATATATATATATATATATATATATATATAGCTAAAAAATAAAAAGGAAAAATGTGGCCTGTGCCAAAGTTACATTTTCAAATGTTAAATTTTGTTACAATTTCTTTTTTCTCTGTAGAGGATGTGTTAACTTATTTTCACTTAGAAAAACAACAAAACATGTAATTTGACCAGGGGTGTTCAACAGCATACAACTGCATCTGGGCTGCATCTGGTGCCTGTGGGCTTTGGATTTATGGTACCCCATCTCCATGAAATCTGCAAATGTGCATCTCACTAACACACACCACTTATTCATAGAACTTGCAAACAATCTGAACTAACATTAGCTCCTCAACTAAGACCTTGTCAAAATCGATATGCCAACCAGGGCTCCAGCTCACTGATGAATATAATATTCTCTAATATTTCAAATGAATGTTTTACACAAAGACGCTGGTGTCTAACAAATTTAAGGCACCCATATTGGTGCTACTTATTGCTTATTTACAGTTACTGACAGGCCTGTGTGAATAGATTTGATGCAAACTAAATGTTTTAACAAGTGTTATGTTAATAAATAATTCAAATAATTTTTGCAATATTGTATTTGTTTTATTTTTTTTTGGCAACCTTTTGGTGCTCCTGGACTTTGAATTCCCCTGGGCAGTCACTCAAGTCGCCCATATGGTAGATCTGGCCATGAACAAACTATCAAAGAACTCTTTAAGCCATATCCTTTTAATGTTTTTCTCAGAATTTTTATTTTGGCCACTCTTTATTTTGATAATCTTATATAGATTGGCTTCAGATGATCAAATTGTTACCAAACACAGTTGGTTATCAACAGCATTAGAGTTATGGTCAGGTGTGGGTTTTGGTTGAAATTAGGGTCAGGTTTCGAGTTCAGTTCGAGTCCACATGTCCAAACCTGGCATTTTGTAAACTAGTTTTCCAGTTATAGAAAAAACGTGGAAAATAAGAAAACTGACAAAAAGTTCTTGAAATATTAGTAAAGGCTTGGAAAAATTGGGCCCATTAAGAAAAATTTAGCATATTCTTTCTTGCATATATTAGCTGCTGATGCCCAGTTTGAGTGTGCATTCACAACTATTGTAGTTTGCAGTGCTACAGTGTAACATGTGGACAGATATGTGGACACTGTGTTGGAACCGCTGGTAGAGCGAGGCTACATTAAAATACTACAGCTTCTTTCAGCGTGTAACATTCACTTCTGACATTTTAGTACAGCTTTAAATGATTACTTGTTGAAGAAGTGTTTGTGTGAGTACAGCATTGCATCACTCAGTCAGCAAGAGAGATAATTAGAGGCTGTACTGTTTACTTTGATCTTAAGCCTATCCGCAGTTGTGAGTCATTTTAGGATGAGCTTTGGTGATCAACAGCTGTTGCTTATATAAGTCATGGAAGTTGTTCTGGAAAATGAAGTGGACTCTCGAAGTTTAACCAATATTTTCACACATTAATCACATTAATCATGTACTTTTGCTCTCTTCAGGATCTCATTGAATGAGCAGCATCTAATTCCTGAGTCTTCCAGCTGGTTTGTCAAGAGTGTGAGGTTCTTGCACCTGCCTTCTAAAAATCATCTTTCAAGCACCAGATCATGTTTGATGCACTGAAACAGGACAGTTACAGAGGAACTGCTGCAACAATAGGCTAAATTAATGATTTAACATTCAACTGTTTGTTTTAGTGTCAGTTAAGTATTTCATGCAAGGAAAACTGCATAGGATCTTATCATGAGTAAACTTCCTTTTCACATGCCGTCATTTCAACTCTGTACTTTACACTGTCTTTAAAGCTGCTGCTAGTAAAGTTTTCCTGAAAATGTGCTTGAAATAAACATACATTGTGTATGCTCATTGTGTATCAATAAAAAAAAATCAGAAGCTAAAGAGTTTGCACATTTAGTCCTGAGGGATAAACAACGCTGCTATTTTCATGCCAAGATTCGAGATATTTTTTATGCTAATGTAATAGATGCAATTATGTTGAGGAAGGAAATAAATAGAAAGACATTTTGAGTTTGAGGTGAATGTAACACTAAAAGACCTGCCTCTGCTGGAGAAAATAAGGCTAGACTGCCAGCAGACCTTAGTTTTGGAAAAAGACGCTCAGCTAGGTGTGTAAATAGGAAGCAAGACTGTATAGTAGCCTGATGTAAATCACTCCCAATGTCATGTTCTTTCAGTTGGTGTGGAATTTGTGAGGTTAATGATAGCAGTAATTGTATTAATAATTGTGAGGTTACCACTCTTTCATCACTGTTGCTAAGAAGGATTGAAGCTAGTTGTGTAGTTATGTGCACTGTGATCTAGAGCAGCTTTACTAAGAACAGTATTAGTATTAAGAACTGTACATTAGCAGCACGTCCAGCTTATTTTTGAGGCTCTGTTCCTACAGCATAGTTAAATCTTACATGATGATGATGATGATGGGTGCACAAGAAGAACAAAAGATGATCACAAGCCCACATCTTAAGCAGTTTAAGTAAAAAATATGAATAATAAATGTAGAATAAACAATAAATATCAAAATCGCTAGCCAGTACATGACTAACAAACAAAGCTTTGAACAGTTATACATTCATAAAATCATAATATTTGTCATTAAAACACAAAAAGGCAGAAAAAATGTTTCAGGAGTGACGATTCTTAATGTTACACACTGATTTTCAAACTTTGGGACACATTTACTTCAAAACAATGAGATTTGACTGCTCACCATGTGGCTATGAGGGACAGGGATGCAGTCTTACTTCCACCTCTGAAAGTGCAGGGATGTGGCTCAAGTAAGGCTCGACCAATGCACTAAAACTCTGTGTTTCGGTAGTGACATGACAAGGTATGACAGTTTTTTCGTTAAAAAAAATATAAACGCTTAAACACTTAAAATCTTACAACTTCACCATAAAAGAAATCAAATAGATCTTTAAAAACATTGAAAAAAATGAGAAAACACAAACACACACTTATGTTTAAATAATAGGCTGACAAAGCACACATTAATGCTGAAGTCAAAGCCACTGTACCAGCGTTGAAAACATTTTGATGGAGAACAGGACCCTGCCCCCTGATTAGGCTGCTGCCATGTCAGCAGGGAACAACACATAATAGTGCTGATAACATATATTTTCAGTTTATTATGCAGTGTGGTGTCCCAGACTCTTCAGGTCCAAGGCCACGGTGTGCAGATTGGCCCATGTGGTGTCTGAAAAGATTGCAACACTGCAACACCAAATGATAAAAGCTGCCTAACACTCAGGTGCCTGATGAGGTTGGTTATGGTTATGATGAGGTTTGAGCTGCTAGATAAACTGCCCCTCTTCTCAAAATGTGTAGACGCCATTGATGCATGCCATGTCAATATTAACACCCCCTCTGGACCTACTGGCAAGCTCTACCTCAATTTTAAATAATAGGCCGCTGATGACTCCGCATTGATGCAGTCCTTGCTAGAGTCCGTAGTAACGGTGCACAGAGGGCACTACTGATTCCCTTTGAACTGCAAAATGAGTAATGGGGCTCCCTTGTGGTCCTCGTGTGCATGCGGAAATTTGGACTGCAGGATTGTGAATGCGCCACTTGGGACTGGGCTACCGGGGAGTAGAGGAGGCAGAAATTAGAGACCAATCTAGGTGGCGTGTCTTTTTTTCTTTACCCCCTGATTCGGGGTTGGGGGTGTGCAGAGTGACCTCCATGTGTCACAGTGGGGATGAAGGGCTTCTTAATCCAAGCACCTTTAGGCTGATGGGCTTTGCTCTGGTCCTGGGCCGCAGCCTGTTGTGAGGGCTGCTGCTATGAGATTCGGAATCCTGGTGGTGAAGCCACAGCTTCTGCCGAGGTCCCAATGAGAGGGGCATTCGTACCTTCTTGGGGTACCTTCCTCTTACTTTTTTTCTTCACACTGCTTCTGCACGGTGGCGACCGCTGGGCTGATGAGGCCTCTGGTGTCCAGAGCCTCGTCTAGCAGCTCCAGTTCTGCCTGATAGGCCATCAGCAACTGTTATGCGTTCACGGCCCTTACGGACATGGCAGCTGCCTTTCAGTCATTGAAGACTGAAGACAGTCAACTTCTAGGTGGGCAGGTTGTGGGATGCTATAAGGGGGGCAGATGAGAAAATCTACTGCTCTCCATGTCGACCCACTTGAGTGCTGAACCTCCTTTGCAGAAAAAGGACTGCTCTATGAACGTGTGTCAAACTGGCAGCAGTTGTCTTGTGAAGCACTGCTGCTTCCCCTTATAGCAAGGCATGGTCTTCCTTGAAGACGTCTGACCAATGGATACCAAGCTTTTGGGGCCACGTGGAGCAGAGCCGGGATGCTGGTGTCCACTTCATCAGCTAATATAGTAGATAGATAGTTAGATAGATAGGGTTCCTGAGAGCTGCCAGCTGAGTCCACTGGTTTGAGAGTGTCTGCTTTCATGCTTTGAGGCTCTTAGGGGGAAAGCAAGCACAGTGTTCACATGAACCCAGAGATGCTAGTGTAGCATGGACATGTTGCAGCCCTAGACACAAAGTGCAAACCGAGTGAGTGTCCATGCTCAAGATCTTATTCTCACAGACACGTCTTGGCTGGGGCTTCACACTTCTCCATGGCGAGTGAGGGATCTGCCATCACCATGTTTCTTTTGAAACACAGTATAGTGTGGTAGCTTGCTGCTTTGGAGAGAGGCTCGCCAGTATTCTCCAACTGAATGAGGTGACATGAAGCAGGTAGTGTTTGGTGACCCAGTTGTTAGCTCACTGGGAACAGTTCAGCTTGCCTGTTAGCCTCGTTCACCGTGTCAGAGAGCTTGCTTCTGACAGAGCGAGGCTGAATTAATGACGTTGTGCATTAGGTCATTAGGCACTATTCACTTCACAGACCTAACAGGGCTGCCACACAGACCACTGACCAAAGCCAATGCTAAACACATTAAAGAGGAAATCCACCGATTTTTAATCATTTCTATATAATGGTGTGGTTGAGATGTAAACAAGGTGTTTTAAAGTGGTCATTGGTGAAATGGTTCATTGCAGAGGAACCTACTTACTTCTTCACCTTTCTAGTCTGGGTGGATTTTTCACACGAAAAAAAAAACAAAAAAACACCCTGAACAGCATTCTTCCTCCTGCAGTCTAGATCATGGTTTGAGAAGCTGCTCAAGTCGCTGTCAGTCACGGAAAACACGCCCGCGTGTTCTGTCTGTCACTAGAGGCCACGCCCTCGTGTGCTGTCAGGCGCTGAAAACACGCCCCCTGTGTGCTTTTAGTCATTCGATGCCACGCCCCCTCGTGGTTTGTGGAAGACCTGCATATTTCTGCGGCTGTGTTTCGGTGTGTTCGTGGCAGTCAGGTGCCGTGACTGAGCTGAGTCAGGTTAGTGATTTCCCGAGCTTTCTTGAACAGCTGTATCCTTTGTATGTTTTGGAGCACATTCGTATCTGTTTTCTTTTTAATGTGTGTCTTGCGTTTATCTTCGCTAGCTGGTTGAGGAAGATAGCTGGGAGGCTCAGCTGCTAACGCTGTTCTGTACGAGGTGAATTGTCGTTAGCACCGGAACTTAGCCGGAGCATTGCCTAACCGTATTAGCGTTGTGGTGTAGTTATATAGCTATCTATCTTCCTGGTTGTCTAGTTCACGAATATGCACTGTCAGCGCAGAGGTATTAAATGAATTAGCTGTCTGGGTAGCTGGACATTTCTGTTTTGGTAGCTAAGCGGAGGAGGCTGACGTTAGTAGAGAGTTAAGAGAGCCTCAGCGCTGCTAACGTTAGTTTCGTCTTGTACTCAGTTTGCTGGCTACTTCGTTATTAGCCTTAGTTGATCAGCATTTGTCTAATAACTTTATATAATTTTAGCACCGTGTTTCTGCTGAATATGCAGCTTAGCCCACTGTTTTGAACAGGTCAGCTTTCTCTATGTTGATTTTACTGAAGTTGTGCTAGCTAGCTAATAGCTTCCTGGTCAGAGTGTCGGACGGTGTCTGCGTTGTAGCTATATTTATGCTTGATTTCAGATTCCGCATTCACACTGATAAAGACACTGTCACTCATCTCATTAAAGAGAAACAGTGGCTTATTATCCGATCAAAAGTATCTAACCTATCTGTATCTCTAAGTTACCTAACTAGCGACTTACCTAGCTAACTACTTGTGCTAAAATCTTCCTTGTGTTTTAGGTTTGAATCTCCTTTTGCTGATATCTGTTCTCGCAGTGAAATACGCATTTTACAAAATGATAAGAGCAGGAGGTCAGTCTTCATTTTAATTTATCATGTAAGGCTTTATGGTTATTTATAAATTGAGGATTTGAGTGCAGCTTTTTTCAGTTCAGCATCTCTGTGTTCTCTTACAGGAATCCTGAAGTTGGCAGCACTGGTTTCTGTCTTCTTCTTGGCAGCTTTTCTCGCCTTTGAGCTCCTAGAAATTAACTTGGACTTTAATTTCGCTCGTATGTTCGGTAAATATACCCAGCCCGTGATCTGGAACGTTCTTTTTACTATGGAAGTGCTCAGCGTTGTAGGCATTTCACTTGAGTTTATTACAAACTGCAAACAGATTATCTGTGTTAGAGCAGAGAAAACATTGACATGGGCAAATACACTATATGGACAAAAGTGTTGGTAAACACCTCTTGATCATTGAAATCAGGTGTTTCATTCAGTCCCATTGCCACGGGTGTATAACATCAAGCACCTAGCCATGCAGTCTGCCTTTACGAACATTTGTAAAAGAACAGGTCCTTCTAAAGAGTTTGATACTGTAATCAGATACCAAGTCAGGTCATGAAATTTCTTCCCTCCTAGATATTCCCCAATCAACCGAGAGTGGGATGATTGAAAAATGGAAGCGTTTAGAAACCACAGCAACTCAGCCACCAAGTGTCAGACCACTTAAAGTTACAGAGCAGAGTCGGTGAGTGCTGAGGCGCATAGTGCATAAAAGTTGCCACTGCTCTGCTGACTCACTAACTGCATAGTTCCAAACCTCCTCTGCTATTAAAATCAGCACAAAACTCTGCTGGGAGCTTCATGGCATGAGTTTCCATGGCCGAGCAGCTGCATGCAAGCCTTACATCACTAAGAACAGTGCCAAGCGTCAGATGGAGTGGTGTAAAGCACGCCGCCACTGGACTCTGGAGCAGTGGAAACGTATTCTATGGAGTGATGAATCATGCTTCTCTGAGTGAATGGCAGGAGAACGTTACCTGGCTGACTGCATTGTGGAGGAGGGATAATGCTATGGGGTTGTTTTTCAGGGATGGTCTAGGCCCCTTAGTTCCAGCGAAGGAACAGTTTGTGGGAACAGTTTGAGGATGGCCCTTTTCTGTTTCAGCATGACTGCACACCAGTGCACAAAGCAAGGTCCATAAAGACATGGCTGGGTGAGTTTGGTGTGGAAGAACTTGACTGGCCCGCTCAGAGCCCTGACCTCAACCCCGTTGAACATTTTTGAGGTGAACTAGAACAGAGATTCTGAGCCAGGCCTTCTCATCCAACATCAGTGTCTGACCTCACAAATGCTCTTCTGGATGAATGGGCAGAAATTCCCACAGACACTCCAAAATCTTGTAGAAGGCTTCCTAGAAAAGTGGAAGCTGTTATAGCTGCAAAGGGGGGACCAACTTCATATTAATGCCTGTGAGTTTAGAATGTCATAAAAGCTCCTGTAGTTGTCCCAGTACCTTTGTCCTTATAGTGTATGTGAAACTGAGGTTAAGTGTTTGATTAAGGGAACTTTTAGGATTCTTATTCAGGTGGGATGTTAGCTGTTATTAAATGAAAAAGTATTTTGTGTTGTTTTTATGGTCCAGATATAATTTCCATTTCATATGATTCTAGCTGTATTGACACTTGTTGTGTAGCACAAACAGCACATTTGATGAATTTTCTCCTTTTCATTACAGCAAGATCTGCCCCCAATGAAGAGGCCCGTAAGTATATTTATTACCCTTCATTAGTACCAATTCAGTAATGTTCACTAATTAAATAAATAACTAATATAAATGATAGAATTCTGTCTTGTTTCAAATCCATGCATTCACTGAATAAGTACAAAGCATGTCTGCCATATCTAGGATTTCTTAAAGAAAACTGGCTACAATAGGCTGGACTTTGCCAGTTTTCATCAGTATTGTGAATACAGGTACACTTGGGGACCTTGTTGTCAGTGGTGTTCTGTATAGGTTATGTATTTTTGCAAATTTAGATTTCCAAGAAGTCCGAATAACTTTAACGGTGTCTGCTTGAATGAGGACCCTTTGTTAATGCATTCTTTAGCTAAGCCATAGAGTTTTTAGATTTTATCTTGCTTCGTAGTTCTCACCCCAGGATCTATTAACCCGCAATACTTATTCTTAACTCGTCAGTCTTTGAAAAAATAATGTTTCTGTGTTGGGGATCGAAACATCCCTTCTGGGTGTGCAGGTGGTATTGCACAATGGTTTGTTAACAGGATCTAGGTAGCTGTGGAGTTAATAGAGGGTGTGGTACGAGGTACAGGTGTTTGCTTTGTCACATTTATCTGGCCTTTCTTTTGGGAATATGTGTGTGTGTGTTTGTGTGTGGGTGTGTGTATGTTTTGTTTATTTTACTTGCATTTCTGAAATGACCCTGTGCATGATACATACCGAGCCAGTTTAAGGGGAGCCTGACCATCTCTCGTTGCTCCTCTTATAACCAAAAATGACTGCAAAACACTAGAGTGACCCACATGCAACTCCTCAGTGAATGGGGGTGATTGGAGCTGAAAATTAAACATGTGTCTGGCCATTTGTGTTGGATCATCCTTTAATTTTGGAAAATAGAAGAATGTATTCCTTTAGAAAAGTCAAAGAAAACATACTGGTATGTTTCATTTTTTTTTTACAGCAAGTAGGGTGCCTAGTAGTATTACTGCTACTGAGTGCTGATTGGTTGGCGAGCTGATCAGCTCATTGGCTGAGTGAAGCAGTTCGTGCTCACTGACGTCACGAACGTACACGAAGCACAGTTAGAAAGTCCTGGAGCTGGAGTTCAAGAGTGTTCAAAAATATAACAGTGGTGTTAAGATGTTGAAATGAGAGAGTTTTTCTCTATGAGAAAAATGATTTACATGATTTTTTTTTTAAACTATGATTTTACACAGAAACTCCATAGGAACCCATTCATTTTGGACTCTCTCAGGAGCGTCCTCTAGCATCTGACAAACCCAGAAGATGTTACTGATTAGCAGTTCTTCTCACTAGAAATTCCCTGTTTAAAGCTTTGTCCTTCTCAGATCTGGTCTTGAAGTTCCACTGCCATCCACAGTCTAGTGTTTGACCTGCTCCAGCACACCTGGTTCAGTTAAACACTTAATTGACACGTGCTTTATGACTTAGAATGAAAACATTAAACTGGGCATGACAGTACTCCACAACTGCATTTGAGAAAAAAGTATTACGGATAATTAATTGCAGAAAAGCAAACATGCATGTGTAAATGTATAAGAAAGATAAGCTGATTCATATTCATTCTCTTTAGCTACAAAGCAGTCACGTTACAAATGCGGTCTGTCGAAGCCCTGTCCTGAAGACCACTTCTCCTTTAAGATGGCCAGTGGAGCTGCCAGTGTAGTTGGACCCAAACTATGCGTAGAGGACAATATGTAAGTATCTCTTCGTTTTCTGCCTGGTATGTGCTTTTTTTTCCCCCATCTGCGCTGTTGACTCTGCAAGTTATGTGTGTGCAGTGGCTGTTTCCAAGTGCTGAAGTTGTGGTAGCAGGAAGGCAAGAACAGGTTTCACTGTGAAACACATCTGACGTTCTGTAGTGCACTGAGGAAAAGTGAATTTAGAAATCATTGGCTCTCAAATAATAAACAACAAATGTCATTCAACCGTTTTTTTCTGATATTTAGCATATGTTTGTCTGGTACGCAAACATTGTCTTTGCTGAGGTAGCATCAGCTGTAATACTGATGAGAAAGGAGAACAAGCTCCATGCAGAGTATGTCTGTTTGCTTTAGATTGAGCCTTTTCTCTTTAGCCTGTCTTGCAGGCTTTCAGTGTGGTTTAGCACAGAATGCTGGTATGGTCATTGCAGTATGGTCATTTGGTGAGCCTTGTTTGTGTGGATCTAGACAAATGGCTTGGCTCATTTTATTGGTGGAAAATCCAGTGATGAACCGGTTTAGTCTTTTGTCAGAAGCAACCAGATTTTGAAAATGTTAAGGAGCTTGAGATGCATGATGCCATGATCGTAACAATGTTTTTCTTCTAAGTCTAATCACTTATCATATAATGTATTTCGCACAGTATAAGGTTCTTTTTCCTTTTTGCAGCTAATCCGCCTTTGTGGGCAAACGGCTCTGTTTTGGTCTTATTTGACCACATAACCTAGTTTCCACTTTATTGGGAAACTTTCTACAAGATTTTGGAGTGTCTGTGGGAATTTTTGCCCATTCATCCAGAAGAGCATTTGTGAGGTCAGATACTGATGTTGGATGAGAAGGCCTGGCTCAGAATCTCTGTTCTAGTTCATCCCAAAGGTGTTCAGTGGGGTTGAGGTCAGGGCTCTGTGCAGGTCAGTCAGGTTTTTCCACACCAAACTCACCCAGTCATGTCTTTATGGCCCTTGCTTTGTGCATTGGGGCACAGTCATGCTGGAACAGAAAAGGGTCTTCCCTAAACTGTTCCCACTAAGTTGGAAGCATTCAATTGTCCAAAATGTCTTGGTCTGCTGAAGCATTAAGATTTCCCTTCACTGTAACTAATGCCGTCCTTACACCAAAGGACTTTTCAAGTGATTTCATTGTCGCAGACAAATTTCCAGTGTCGGAATAAAATCATGAGAGTCTTGCTAGAGTTGCGTCACGTTCGTGTCATCTCGATCGTTTAGTGTGAGGTGGTCAGGGCGGCTGTTTTAGGTCTGTCTTTTTCACGCCTTGATGCTACGACAAAATCAACCGTGTTTAATATTATTGGAAGTTTTAAGTCTTGGCTCATGCAAATAGTGACGTGCCAGGGGCACACGGGAGAGTGAGCAGGCGAGCGCATGCGCATGGCGCGATAGAGAGAGAGAGAGAGCAAGGGAGAAAATGCTGGAGTGAGAGCCTGAAATCTCTGTTAAAAGGCAAATCTGCTCCACTTTAATACAATAATCATATTAACTTAAAATGTAAACTGGCTGTTTTAATATTTCAGGTTCACTGAGTGTAACAGTGATGTAAGGAAATGTGCAGAGGACTTTAATAATGGCATTGAAGAAGCATCAATTATTTTATTTTATTTTATTATTATTATTATTTTTTTTTTTGCTTTCTGTTACAGTGGTTTCTTATTTTGCTTGTTTGTTTCTTATGGTTTAGTACATAACACCCAGTCACCAGTGCTGAATCGCTGCATGTTTTGTTGTGTAAATCTTCATGTTAAAAAAAGAAGTAACTGCACATTTTACAGGTTAATTAGTAAAATTCTGGGCGATGATCTACCAGAATATACAGTTCTACAGTGAACTGATCTGAGCCCCAGATGTTTACATGTCCAGTTTCCCATCTGTACTGCTATGTAGTGGAAGGAAAGGGTTTATCTGCTTGTACATTTCCACCGGGTGCATGATGGGACATAAACTCAAAACCCTAGCTGCAGTCCTGCAAATTGTGACCCTGCAAGATTCCCAGTCTTTGCAAAATCATAGTCTGTGACTAAAAGCTGTGACATTGTCTTTAGGTGTGAGAGGGTTTCAGACTTTAGTCTTTCAAAAGTCTTTACAAATTCTTCTCAAAGTCTTCTAGTGTATGGTTAGCATAAGGGTTCTAGACCAACCCCTGAAACACACCCTATAGCATTATTTCTCCTCCACAACTTTACAGTTGGCACAATACAGTCAGGCAGGTAACGTCTTCCTGGCATTTGTCAAACCCAGACTCGTCCATCAGATAGAGAAGTGTGATTCATCACTCCACAGAATACGTTTCCACTGCTCCAGAGCTGTTGTTGCTCCTGGGTGCTTCCATTTCACAATAATCACACTTACAGTTGACAGGAGCGGATCTATTAGGACATAAATTTCACAAACTGACTTGTGGCAGAGGTGGCATCCTATAACAGTGCCATGTTTAAAGTCACTCTTAAAGAGCTCTTCACTAGGACCCATTCTACTGCCAGTGTTTGTCTATCGAGACTGCAAGGCTATGTGCTTAATTTTATCCACCTGTTAGCAAGGGGGGGGCTGAAACACCTGAACTCAATAATTAGAAGGGGTTTCCCAATATTAGATATGAACTCATTAGACTATAGATGACCACTGATGACCATTTAAGTATCACGTGAAACCCTGTTTTCCTCACCTTTAAGAAGTTAGTTTAATGTAGGATGCAGACATCAAGTTTCAAAACATACCTTTTACTCCCCAGTTCATACAGTCATACAGAAAACGGCTTGTTTTGAATTTACTCTTTGTGTGATGTCATAAAACCCAACGCGTGCATATCCTCCTGTTTAGCCTACGGCAGTTTAGTCCCGCTCATTCAAACTGAAATTATATGGAGTGTTTCAGCCTAAACTGCTTTTTGAATGAGGAAAATTACAGGACAGCCAGTCAGAACAGAGCATATTTACATATGTCTGTCTTAAAGGTACAGTAACAAGAACAGCCTGTTTAATTCTATGGGATAAAGAGAGGTTGGAAAATAGTGATGTAAAAAGGAATTTTGACATTTTTGAAAAGAAAAATGTGGGATCTTGCATCTAGTTCTCAAGGTTTTTATGTTGTTTTAGCCCATAATGTTGCCTGTTCACACAGCTATTTACTTATCAACCTCCACATCCTCTGCATCCGTCCCAACTTTGCATCATGAAGTGCCAATCACCATGTCATTTTTAAGCTGCCACAATATTGAAAGAGAGTGCTAACATGAGGCTTAATAGACACCCACAGTTAGCTTGTTTTGCAACTGTGAAAGAGGAACTAAAGCGGTTGTGCTTTTGAGTGATGAGACTTAACATTTTGTATTATCTTATTATTATTATTATTATTATTATTATTATTATTATTACTACCTGTCAGTAAGACTTTTAAGCGTACCAATATTTGTGATGTGCAAATTTGAGGGGAAAAAAATCCTTCGCGATTTTTTTCTTGGATAGCTTTACAATTTTCTGCATGATATTTCTGTCCTCAGATTGATGAGTGGGGTGAAGAACAACGTAGGAAGGGGTTTGAACATCGCTCTGGTCAATGGTAGGGCTCGACTGCTTTATAATGAAGACTTGGACTTTAGTGAGCCATCATCACTGGTAATCACTGTAATACATGAAATTTCTATTTGTTACAGGAAGGACTGGCCAGCTCATCAAGACTGAATTCTTTGACCTGTGGGCTGGAGGTAAGCATTTGTTTCCTCCATCCATTCTCACACTATTCATTTGCTTTTTCAGTGATTATGCATTGCTGTAGCGCATGTGTATATACATGCAGACATGTAGCATGTAGATATAAAATCAGGTTTAAGTTGTTTGCATCCAGTGCCGCTTAAAAAAATGAAATGTGCAGACAGTAGATGGCACAATAGTGCAACCTAAAAAGACCATACTCTGCAGTTTTTAAAGCAGCTGTTCTTTTATAGATATTTCATGATTTAATTGTTGGAAAAATATAACTCTCTCCAGATGTCAACCCACTTATCCAGTTTCTGAACAAAATCGAAGATGGAACAATTGTCATGATGGCCACTTTTGATGACTCTGCTACAAAGTGAGTGCTACTTACTTATAGCCAGACCTGGAATATGAATATTCTTTGTGGAGATTGTCTTTGTAATTTGTAATTATTTATAGTTCTCTATATAGTTTTTGTCTTGAAAGATATTTGAGGTTAAAGTGGAGTGGTATTTGAATAATTTTAAAAAAGTACTATTTATTAGAGATGCACCGCTCATTAGTTTTTATGACTGATTCTAAGTTCTCTACAGCCAAGTTGGTCAGTGGCTGTCTTTGATCAGCATTTATGTTTTTAACTCGAAGCTCACACTGAGAACACATGAAACGCACAAAGAACACAAAATAAATAACATTATTTGCTCTTTAACAAGCCAAACTTGCCAAAATTGTAATTAAAAAAAAATGGTTGCCTATTTATATAACAAACAAAGTGCTACTTTGAAAGTAAGAGGCCACTGGCTATTTAGCACAACGAGTCATGTATAACGATATGGTGGTATAGGTGTAGCGGCTGCACTCAAACAGAGCGAGTGCATTCCTGCCTCCTGTTATTTATGCCATAAACCTATAACACAGATCACTCGAAATAAAAAATACATTTTCTGATTGTCTGATTTGAAGCAAAAATCCGCCAGTTTATATCTTGCATCACTACTATTTGCACCTAAACTGCAGCCTAAAGTTAATTTGGAAGGTGTAAGGTCAGAAAATAAAATGATTGTTTCTAAAGTCTTCTTATGATTTCCTTTGTATCAAACAGGCTGAATGATGAGGCAAAGCAGCTAATATCAGACCTGGGAAGTTCAAATATCAGCTCACTAGGCTTCAGGGACAACTGGATCTTCGTTGGAGGAAAGGGGATCAAAACAAAGAGTCCCTTTGAACAGGTGAATTTGCACAGTTAATCTAACTGTTAAACATTGTCAGAGGAAGCTGTGGTCTGGACGTTTGTGTTCACATTGGTGTTGGAAAAGGAGCATGCCTTGTCTTACAAATACAACTTATTTGGGACCATCTTGTTACTGTCGTTCCAAGTTCACAGACAAATAAGAGTAAAATTTCTTAAAAGAGTAGTCTGTAAGTTCTGGTTCTGTGAAGTGAAATGCAAATTAACCTTGTTTATTGTGCTCAGCACATCAAGAACAACGCAGAGTCCAACAAGTATGAAGGCTGGCCAGAAGTTCTGGAAATGGAGGGATGTATTCCTCGAAGACAAGACTGAAACATCAGCTCTCTTGGACCAAATGACCCACAATCCATGTGCCCAGTCAGTGAAAGCTTAAAAAAACAAAGAAAGAAAATTCCAGTAAGATTTAAAATTCCTCCAGATTCCACCACTATATGGAAAAGGTCTTTACGTTTAGGTATTATGAACACCAGCCTAAATTTACTAATTCATCAACCTAAATTCAAAATGTTGCAGTTTACCTTAACTGCTGTACCTTTTGTTATGCCTGTTACAACTGGCTATTTGTATTTATATACAGCTTTACTCATTAATCGAGTGTGCTGGGAAACAAAAAAAAAGGTTTTCGCTGTGTTTGCCAAGTCCGTTCTGTCTCAATCTCAGTGCTTCTGTTGTATTAGATTCCTATACTATTGACTAATGACAGTCATACTTGTGAGCCCTGATATTGTCACTAAATAGATCATTGGTCATGTTTATCTCACTGTTTATCTGTATCGATAATGTTGCAATAATTTAAGTAGTTTTTAATGCCTGTCTTGAGGACAGTCATTTTAGATAGACAGGAATAATACAGAGCACATCACATGCAAGGCTTAGTGCGTAACTAATCTCAATTCCAAATAAGAAAACACTGGTGAATATCCGAATCTTCATGAAAACTACGTAAATGAGTTTTACGAAGAAATTTCTTCTTAAGAACAGTTGATGAATGAGGCCCAATATTTCTAACTCCTAGTGCTAGTTCATGAAAGGCTGCATATACACTGACCAGCCACTTCATTAAAACCACCTTGTTTCTACACTAATTTTATCAGCTCCACTTAGTATATAGGTGCACTTAGTAGTTCTACAGTTACAGACTGTAGTCCATCTGTTTCTCTGCATACTTTGTTAGCCCCCTTTTACCCTGTTCTTCAGTGGTCAGGACCTCATAGGACCACCACAGAACAGGTACTATTTTTGTGGTGGATCATTCTCAGCACTGCAGTGACACTGACGTGGTGGTGGTGTGTTGCAGTGGTACGAGTGGATTAGACACAGCAGGAATAGCCTCCAAAGGTTAGGCAATAATAGGCTCTTATTGGCTGCATTAGAAAAAATCTTGTTAGGAATCCACGCTAGTACTGTATTGATAACAGTGACGTTTATAGCTAACATTGGTCGGATTATGTTGCTTGTTGTTTTTGGTCACTTAAAGTACAGCTGTATGCAAAAGTTTGAGCGCCTGTGGTCAAATGTGTTTTAAGTGAAAAAAGTTACACATCCTCTACAGGGAACACATTTCAGCACATTTTTAATGCACCATTACTGTTAATTTGCTGAATTTAACATAATGGAGGCTAGAGTTTTTTCATATACATATATATTTTTTTTAATTCCGGTATTTAGTCCAGCAATTAAATAGAAAAGGTGCACTAAGGTCTACAGAAAAATGCCATATTTGTGTGTTGTCTGTAGAGGATGTGCATTTTTACTTAGAAAAATCAAACAAACGTATAATTTGACCAGGGTATTCGAACATTTGCTTGCTGTGACCTTCTGATCTGCTGTGTGCTTCCGTCTAAGCCCCGCCCACTTTTAACTGCCCTAAATATATATGTACACCACTGTGACACTGTTCAGCTATATCAAATATAAAAAAACGATACACAAGACATTTGACAGAGCGGAGTGATGCGTTCATGACTTTTTATATTCTTTGGGTGTTTGTAAGGGAGTAATCTTGGGAAAGTTTGACAATCGTTTTGATGTTAGGTGGCTGTGTGAATGAATCTGGGCTGTTCCTTAATGGAAGGATTGTTGTGATGGACATATGCCACACTCCTCCTCCTTTTGTATTTATTTATTTATTTTAGTAATATTTTTGGAGAAAAGATTGTAGCTCCTTTGCAAACATTAGAAAGCACCAGTCCTTACCTTTGCCACTGTGTTCAGTTTTTGTCAAAATGAACGAGCGTACTGGTTTATATTCTATGTGCACAAGCAAACTGGCTCAAATGCCAGTGTATGTTAAAAAGAGCATTGTCACTGGCTGAGAGATTCTATGCAAAATCCTAAAAAAAGCTTAGTATCTTTACTCTTCCGTAGTTGTTCTTAAGCCCAGTCTTTAGGGGTCCATGCATTGCACATTGCCCCCCCCACCAAGCATGGCATCTCTTGTACTGGAATTGAGAACATCCACTGTGCTGTAAAACGTTGAACTATTTGAGATCCCCCCGTGTGTGAGTGCAACCCTTGTTTGAGTATGTTTTGTTTGTGGAAAGACTACAATGAGTGATTCTATTTCTGTCTGTCAGTAGTTTAAAGGATCTGATTTTAAATGTGAATATTTTTTAGATACTGTGTGGATACTTTTCTTGTTTCAGTCTATTTTTCTTGTCTTTTCTTTTAAATAAAATCATGCCTGTAAACCTGAATGAAGCACATAATCATAGCTGTTCACATTTGCAGTTTCTCTTGTGACAGGAGTAGATAAGACAGTCATGATTTACTGAAAAGAAGGAAAAGCACAAATTTCTCAGTTCAGCTTCCTCTGCTGTGGTGTTGCAGTGTCTCTGTTCAAATGCAGTGTGGCAGGCTGTTATGACACTTGTGGATTTGTCACATGTAAACCCTTCACTTGTATTATGTGTACAGTTTTGTGCCTTGTCTATATTGTGACTTCTGTTGGCACATAGAAATCTGGTTTGCCTTTAGTTGAACTAAAGCTTCCATCGGTACATTTTTATGTTCCAGTAAGAAATGTGTGTATCTGAATTGTATGTTGCTAAGTGGTAGATTAGATTATGAGAGAACCAATGATGTGCCTTGTTTTACCCCAAACAAGCCAGCCAGAAGCCAAATTTCAGTCCTTACTCCAGCTGAGATCTGTTTTTTTTCTGGAATATTCAATTGTAACATAAATGATTGACGTTGTTTTGAAACTTGGTCTTCATTAAACATTTGTGTTGTCTTCCTGATTCTGTTTGGTTACATCCTAGAATTGGTAGCTAGAATTCATAGACGGTTGATTTTCAAAGTCTCACAACTCATCACAAATGGGCTGTTTTACAAAGTGAATGTAGTCATAATTATGGATGTAGACCAGGAGAGGGTCACTGTGGTGTCTGATTCCTAATGGATGAAGACACAATTCAGAGGAATTTACCCAACATGCTGCATGTACTCTTTAGACTTCACTAGAAAGATGTGACCATAAAATACATTATATAAAATATATAAACACCAATGTATCAACCTGCATAATTCAGTCACTGAGATGTGCAGTTATTCACAGTGGTTTGATGTGAAATGGTTCGTTGTAGAAAAAACTGACGACTCAAATTTCAGATACAGTGGTGATAACCAGGGGCTGTGATGTCTACAGTGCATGTTTTTACTATCCAAAATAACCAGTGAATCTACACATTTTTATACACTGTTAGAAATAAAGGTTCTGTGCAGGTACATTTTTCATTCTTCAAGGTACAAACAATGTAAATGTTTCCTCAAAGGTACAACAGTGGTTTTAAAGTCCAGTTGTGTACCTTACGTTTTTCCAGGTGAAAAGTATGTATCTGTACTATTTCACAACCTAATGCTTTAAAACAGAGCAATAAAATAAAAGTCCTGGAGACGAGACGGGGGGGTGTGGAGTCGGTACAACTTAGAAAATATGATTTAAATGGATTATGGTACAATTATGTTCCCTGACTAAAGGTACTGAGATGTACCCTTGAGGGTTCCACCCCAGTGACAGTTTCATCAAAATAATGGTCAAAATGGAAAAATAAGTTTCCTTTGGGGACTCTTTCGCCTTAGAATGCCCTGCCTGTACTCCTACTCCATAAATGGATTTAAAATATGTAAAATCTAATCTCAAAACTATCATAAAACAACGTCTCCAGGACCAGGCAGTGTATTCTTAAACATTTCATGTAATAGCTTCCTGTGATGTCATGTTAAAGGCTTCAGAGGTCTGGTTCTCTCACCACTGCTGTGAACAACTCACAGTTGGAAGGTTTCTCTACGAAAGAATGTTACATTAAAACCACTCTGAATGACTGTTTACACCTTCGTGATTCAATTATGCTTAAAAAAATTAATTACACTGATGCATTAGATCTGAAGCTTTTGTTCAACATTTAAAGTGGAGGAAAGCCTTGATAGTTTTTAATATATTTTTTCCAAGCTATAATATTAAAGTACAGTGAGCAGTTTGTATGGTTCTTACACCTGAGCTATATAACCAGCAGCTTCACCAGCTACACTACATCATGTATAGCCCAAACACTCGTTCAGCAGTCAGCTACCGTCTAAATTGGGGTGGGGTTGGGTCCTATAGTTAAAGTCCTATAGTGCACAGCACTGCACAGTTTAGTGACTTTTCCTCTCTAATGTACCCAATTTGATTCACAAGGGGCTACAAAAGTAGCTCATCAGTTGAACTGTGTAAGGGAATATACTTAATTGTGCAGTGCCATGACCGTCCTGCATGCAAGTATGACATCCTTGGTTCACTGCTGTATGAAGGTCAGTCTAGCAGAAGACCCCTTCAGACTTCATAATGCAATCCACCCTGAGCATCACTAACTTAAAAAGCAGTAGTTCATAGTTTGGTTGGTACACAAAAGATGACCCATTAAAAGGCTACTGAAAGGACATGACTAACTTTCATTATTTCCTTATTTGTACTTGCATACTTTTTAAAGCTATGATACCTGTTGTCTCCTCAGTAACAGTTCAACACAGCTTCATCTGTGGGCAGAACAGCAGCCCTTACACTCTGAGGATAGTAAATTCAATTCTGATGATAACAGATTTATTAAACTTCTGATATTGAACATAATTTTATCAAACAAATCTGAAAATATCTAGCAAAATATATAGATACAGTTGTAGTCAACAATCTTGTATAGACCCAGTCTATACAGAAGTCAACGCAGATGATTGTTTTTTCCTCTTTTGGATATAATCAATTATAATTTGTGGTTATAAGAATGATATGCGTCACAGGCATCATCGATATTCTCTCCCATTTAGATATCAGATAGCAGATATCATTACTATCCTCATTACATAACTGTAGAAATACACATATCTACACTTGTAGAATAGTCTTACAGTGTTAATAAAATAGTAATAAAAATACTAGTCACTGAAAGCTGCAGTAATTAAGCCATGAGCCACTGAGAAATGTGAACTACAATAACACCTCCCCTTCATCTGCACTTCACAAACACATCCTACTTGATGACAAAGTAGTTTATGCCAGAACTAAAGGTGTGAATAAGTTTTACACTAAAGAGAGATGATCCAGTGATGCTGAACTATGAACCACTGGTTCCCAATGCTGGGCCCAGATTCACGAAGCGTCTCAGAACAGGAGTGCTGCACCAAGATCTGCTCCTCTCACTAAATCATAGTAAATAAAAGTGAAATCTGAGAAGTTCAGCGGTACTGCTGTAAGAAGCTTTGTGAACATGGGTCCTAGTTTAGTGTTTACTCTGCTCTAACACACTTTAAGAAAGCGTTTCTTGAATGAGGGGCGTTAGAGCAGAGTCAAACACTATAACAGTGCTGCTATAGGAGCAGGGCTGAGAAACACCGACATAACTACAGAATCTCTGCTGTGTCATGTCGTTATTTAAATAAAAACTAAAATGGCTGATTAAAACTTAGTTACTGCAGCCTTTGAGAGAAATCCATGACCTGATAAAACTGAGAGAAGACGTTTTATAGATTTGTGTATGGGGCTGAAGACCACCACATGTGGGTCTGAAAGCTATCTACACACAGAACCAGTCCAGACACGAGAACAAAATTGAACAGAAAGCAGTATTTTGGTTGCTGAAGATCACATAAATTAGAATCTCTACAATATGTAAAATAATGTTGGTTAAAGTGAAAAATAAGATTCTTTAAAACAGTATACAGTAAAAGAAAAAGAAGGCAACACATACTTTTGGCTTTGGAAACAAACCTATTGAAAATGTCATAGATAGAGAAGCAGAATCGACTGAGGCTTCATAGGCCCGAGGCAGAGAACTTAAGAGCTTACAATAACGGTGTTACACTGCATCAAGGGTGCACAGGTTTCCACATTAACACCTTTTTAAGTGCAAAATAAATAATGCAAAAATCCCTATCCTGTAATCCAACGGATTTGGTACCATCTTAAACTTGTAGAGATATGATAAACTAAAACAGACCAAAAGTTCCTGAAACAAACGATGGGCGTGATAAAACACTACACGACTGAGCGTCCTAGAGCTACGGACAGATTCAAATGAATATAACTGCTTTAACATCAGTCTGTTATTAGGGTACACAGCATTGTCCGTGTAGATATCAGAGAAGGTATAATGTATTTAGGACCGTTCCAGCTGTCTTCTTGTGCCTGCCTCTGGTAGAAAAAACAACAACAGCAGCTCAATTTGAAACACACACCGGCTGTGAACACACAGGAAGATATCTTGGGAAAAGGTATTTCACATAAATGCTCAAGTTTAAAGAACGATTACGTACTGGAGCGACTCCGTTCCATCTTTGAAGGATTTGGATTTTAAGGCTAATGTTAAACACGTTCACCTCAAAGAAGTGCTTTTTCACGAGACCAATTTTGTTTAGGTAAGCAGTATGTTTGGTAATATACATACAGGCAAAAGTTGTGCTGATTTGAAGGGAGGGGCAAAAATAAGAAATAATTAAAAGGATAAAATTCTATGCGAGCAGAAGGCTTAGAAAGGATGCCAACAGAAACCAGTTGTTTTTATATGCTTGATTTATAATGCTCTGCATGCATGCGCGAGTACGCTCCACTATCACGCTGTTATCAAATGGTTCAAAATTTAAATTAAACGGCAAAATTTCAAATTTCATTATTGCACACAATGAGGAGAAGCAGTGACACCATTTCAGAGTTGGAATATCGACCCATAACCCATTATTTAAAATTCACCCAAAGCACTTTGAAAACATTCAATTATCTGAATCAGCATGATAAGGTGTTTTCGGAAGAAATACCCTCATTAACTCAACCAATGGGATGCCCTTCAATAAAAACAAAGGTTTAAATAATACTTTTCAGTTGTGCTTAAATATACAGTGAATGCTTGCATAAGTGCTTATTAAGCAACAACATTTTGATTTGAGTGAGGACCTGTAAGAGGCTTAAGTTACAGAAGGATTTATTAACCTGTGCTTTCCTATGAGGGCCTTTATATCCCAGTTTCAACGGTCTGCTTGTATGTGAACGTTCCTGCCAAAAATTAATTAAGAGGGGAAAGCAAACATACAAAAAGAAGAATCCTTAATGATCCAGTAACTGAAAGATCACTGCTACATTAAAACTGTGCATATTTCATACAAAGTTAAAAGGATTAAAAAGACTAACTCCTCTGAGCACTGTTCTGGTTACTGGTTTGTGTTACATGCCCCTCGCCTCCTCTTCCTGCAATGGCGGGTGCTGATTGGCAGTATCCAGGTCCAATAACATGGCAGCATCATTTATTTTTAACACCAAAAGTGGTATTGAGGTTTTGGGGGTTAAGAATGGAAGCGGCAAAAGTGGGTTTGACCAGGTTTTTGTCTGGCTTCGTATTAAAAGCCTTCAGATCGGTCCATTGGGTGTGATTTCAGAGGGTGCATCAACTCTGCGGAAAAAAAAAATAAGAGGGGGGTGTGAGAGAACAAAGGAAGACAGCAGTTAACAAGACCTTAATACCATTCCTTTAAAAACATTAATACGGCCTTATTATGTTCAAGTCTAGCTTTGAAGCTTGTAAGGGAAAAAAGAAGCATTAAATCTTGTTAAAAACAAACTAAAACATCATGCTTTTCACCTTCCCATTATATAGCTTCCATCTGTCGCATAGGACATTAGCTGAACTCCCTTAATGATTAATTCTTTAACAGACAGACTGTCCATCTTAAGACTAAACTTTTCCTGAACTATGAAACATGTTCTCAATTTTCACCATCCTTGACATTTCATTGTTCTACACAACTCAAATACTAAGCACTTAACTGAGATCAGGTCAGATCAAGTAAGACAGAATAAACAAATCTAAGAGTAAGGCACCACTATGAACATGTTGGTTATGAAAGTTTACATTTAGGAAAATAAAAAATAAAAAAATAAAAATACAATGTTGGAAGAGCAACTCATAATGAACCAGTAAAAACGAACCAAAACATGAACTGTGTCTGTTTATTCTTTGTATTAGGAGAAAAGAAAAAAAGTGATATCTAGTCATGATAAGGATAAATACGGTCACATAGCCCCCTAGTTCATCCTTTTCAATATGTTAACAGTTTGCTGTACAAGGCTCTCTTTAAATAGTCTGCCTTCTTTAAGTGAAGAGAGCTAACAGACAAGCCAATCAAAAGGATCAGCAGATAACTTGGCTAACAGGCTCCGACAATCATATTTAAAGTCAAGCTTTAAGTTCAAATCTTTACTGAAAAGTCACTGTAAGACTGCTACAGAGGGGAAAAGGCTTAGTTACCTAAATGCCTGTTACAAGCCTCAAATATCTGTGTTTAAGCTTAAGCTGCCAAAATATATTAATGTCCACCACTGTTAGCTTAAGCAAGTGACACAGTACATGACCTTTACCCTGATATTAGCCCGATTCACAGTCTGGCCGGGTCTGTGCTGGTTGGCTCTAGTCTGCAAATTTTGGGCCAGTCGGAGTAGACAGTTGGAAGAAATAATAGAGTAGCATGCGAAGGGCACAGAATCAGACTTACCGCCTCTCATTTGCGTTTCAAAGCAGTTAGACTGTATCAAATTTTTTTTTTTTTGACCTGACTTTGAGCGTCATCTAGTCATGTAAATCTTCCAACAGCCAATGAAAAATGACAGCGCAAAAGTAGTTACCGCAAGTAAACAAAGAAAAAAGGCACTCACATATGTAGCGAAGTATTTACTGAGCTGAGTTTAAGGCACAAGCACAGCTGATTGCATGTGCATCTAAAATTCTAAAACCTACTGCATTAATCAGATTTACAGCCACCCTCACTTAAATATGTTTTACCTGTTGCTTCTTTACTGTGTCGGTGCAAACGACAGTGAAAAAACTGTCAAGTTCTGGCAAGATCTTTACATGTGCACATGGTAGCAGGTTTACCAAGGACTCTTACCTCTTGTCTGTCACAGTGGTGTTTTCTGAATCGCCTTTGGGTGCCTCAAGCTCTGTAGGTGTTGTTGACTCTGTGACCTTAGGGGCCCCATCTGTAATAGTGAGCTTCTCCATAGATTCAGCAGGCACCTCACTACAAGGCCACAAGACAAGAAACTGTTATATAAGACTCAAATGGCTGCTCGAGGCAGTGAGGCAAGTTTATTTGGTTCTGTTCACTCACTCACTCATTTATTTGTTCATAAAATGTACTGCAATTATTTGCAGCCACTATGAGTGCACATCCAGAGCTGGTACCCAGGTAGTCCCCAACATCCCCAAACTTCAGTTACTCTGTGGCTTTAAAGAACAAATTGCTTACATCGTGTCTCTCCCAAAACTGATACAATACCGTACCTCTGGGTTGCTGTTTTCTGACCGGTGGCTGTCTTAGGAGAGCCCTCTGTCTTGTCATTTCCCATCTCTTCTTCACTGTCTGAGCCACCAGAAGAGCTGCTATCTGAGGCTACCAGAGGAGCCTTCCGACCTCTACACCCCTCCCATTCTCCTGGGCCTGAAGAGAGGTTTTATTTATTTACATTTTTTACTAACTGTATTTACATAGGCTGAGAAAGAAAATACTTACATTTCTTCTCTTGGCTCTGCTCTGGCTGGCTCTCTGAGTTACCGGACTCTGAGCTGCTGAGACAGAAATTCAATGGTTACAAAAACAAAAACAGTGTATATAAAGTAACTATGCATTACCATATGCTGTAGACATGGTGTTTATTTCTTTTCAGTTCAAAAATTAACAACATATGTAATTTTGGTTTGTCTTGTGTTATGTAGTTAATGATAAACTGTATTTAACTATCTCAGCACATTGTGCTTGTTAATCACATACCTTAAGATCAGAAATATTGAACCATAAAGGTTTCATAGGTCATCTGTGTCTATTTACTGATAATTACACATAACTGTCCTTATTAAGAAAAAGTTTGGAGAAATATGTGCTGCTAATAGGGATAGTTGCTTGACTCATTACGCAAAACATGCTCACTGCTTTAGAGTTTCTAACCAATGTCCCAAGGTGATCACACATACACTGAATCTTGCCCAAGAAGTCTTATCTACCAACACAGGTGTAACTGTCTGGTATATGAACATATAAATGTACATTTTTACTTGTAATAACGTTCTCATTTCTGGCTGTAGCAGGTTTACAGTGAGAGTTTGCTAGTTTGAACCATGCCTTTCAGCTTACGCAGAAGAGATTGTATGACTGCAGAAGGAGAGACTGGCATTCTGGGAGGCTTCTGCTTTAAGCTAGAAGCAGAACCCCCCTGAATGAACAAAGACAAAAGAATAGTGTATTCAGGGTTTGAAAGGTAGTAGAAGACACCTAGAAGTATGAAATCCTGATTTTTAAATCATGTTATTTGATTCAAAAAGAACTTCGATTTCACATCTTTGTGCAAAAGAATGAACACACACACACACACACACACACACACACACACACACACACACACACACACACACACACACACACCATCTAAACCACTTATCCTTCTGGGTCGCGGTGTGCAAAAGAACAATAAAACCATAAACAACGGAACAATAAAACCATTTTCCAGCTCTCTCATGTTCTTCATTGCTATTTTTTATTGCACCTAGAAAAGGCTAATGCCTAGGTTTAATAACACTGTCTCAGCTTACCTGCAGAAAGGCTGGAACTCCGTGAAATTGGCCCAACCCGTATTCCGCTGCTCCTCACCGCCCCGCTCAGAAGCAGAAGCCCAGGAACTGGAGGAGCGGTCCTCTGCCTCCCCAAAACCTGCTGTCCAGCCAGGATCTAAACCACACACAGATATAAAAACATACAATTTTATACTCCAAGCTATATTCAGAACGAATGTTACCTGAACCCTGGAGGCTCAGTAGCCAAGCACTCTTTAAGATGAAATGTTTGGTGAGGAATAGCTTAGAGCAGTGGTCTCAAACCCTGGTGCTGGAGAGCTACCTTCCAGCAGAGCCTAGTTCCAACCACAATTTGCCACACCTGCTCCAGCTAAGAAATCTATTCCCAGGTCCATGACTGGCTGGATCAGGTGTATTAGAATTAAGCAGCTTATTGTATACAGGCTGGAACTAAACTCTGCAGGAAAACAGCACTCCAGGACCAGGGTTGGAGACCACTGGCTTAGAGAAAGACTTACTCTGTGGAGTCTGTGGTGACCCCGTCTTCTTGCTGGTTGCTGTTTGCGTGGAGGGCTGAACGGCTCCTTCTTCGTCTTCCTCCTCCTCTGAGGCCGACCCGCGGCCCCTTTGTCCATTCCTCACAGGACCCTTAGGTGAGCTGTCTGAGGACGAAGACACCCCAAACCTGAGAGAGAGGTATCGTAGTCATTAAGGATATATGGATGGAAATAGATGTATACATAAAAATAAAATCTCGAACACTGATCAGCCATAACATTAAAATCAGATACTTGTTCCTACACTCATTGCCCGCTTTAGCTCCATTTATCACAGGCGCTTACCATACATATATATATATATATATATATATATATATATATATATATATATATATATATATATATAGTAAGATGAACTACTGTCACTCTGCATCTACAAGACAGACCAACTGCAGATCTATAAAGTGCACCTGTATGGTATATGGACCTTATAAAATGAACAAAGACTGTAGATACAAGGTAGACATCCTTAATAAAGTGGCTGGTTTGTGTATAATTACTATTTACTGTACTAATACTTAACTAATAATACTAATAACATAACTCATGCTAATAACATTGCTCATAAACATTAATCAACAAATCTACAGCTTTAACTTTAGAGAAACAGTGGAATACCTTGATCGGGATTTCACTTGAGTTGCATAGTTTATCTCTTTATCCTCCCAAATGTCCTCTTCCTCTTCACAGTCATCAAACTGCTGTATTCTCTCTTTGAAACATGCCTCAAAGGCAGCAGCATTGGCCTACAATTACAATTGCATTTTCAAACACTAACTACAGCTCATCAAGATTGAAATTTAAATGAATTAATATATGCTTGACACACACACCCACAGGCACTTACACTATTATCATCTGCATCAATATTGAAGTTAATCTCAGCAATCCGATCAAAAGTAGCACTGAAAGAGAAACCAAAGATAAACATTTGATGACTAAGACTGCATAAAGAAGAGATGAACATGAATGCAACAAAATGACCTTTTGATAAAGATTTTTACTATACATTTTTAGTAAGCCATTCTATTCAAAACACTGTAAAGAGTGAAGCTACACTATATGGCAAAAGTAAGTGGGCAATCCAAATATGAGAGTTTGGCTATGTTCCAAAATCCCCACAATTTTCAGGAGAATTGAGACAGCAGAGGGGAACCAGCTCCATATTAATAGCCATGTGATGGACGACATATTTGGGTGTCAACACACCTTTAGCCATGTAGTGTATATCAGATGCTTTCAGCCAACAAGGGATCAAAATAAATATTTGCACAAACACAAAACACTGAGTCAGAAAACAGAAAACTCACTTGATGTTTTCATCATGTTCACTAAACTCCTCATCATTAAAGCCAAACTGATCAACAAAGTTGGCAGTCATCTGCTGGATCTGATAATCAGAGAATGCCTGGAGGGGAAATATGAAATAATGAGGGGGAATAAAGAAAAGAACTTGAGTGGTCAGTTGTGATCAGAAGATTCAACATTCTTACGATATTCCAAATTATACATGACTGCCAGAAAACTACAAAAAAAACTACACACAGTCACTGATTGGTTATCTTTACCTGTTGGATGGACAGGTCATTAGGGAAGGGGCTCTCCATGTCATCATCCTCACTGGAGGAATGCAGATTATGGGTGCTCACCTACAACCAGGCAAGACACATGAAGCAACAGTCAAAACATCAGGATGCTATTCATCTGGCACAAAATGAGAGCAAGGCTACAGTGTTACCACAAAATACATTAACACATATTAGCATATTGTTTAACTGCACTAACCAAAGATTGTTTTCAATAATGGTTACATTCACTTTACCATGTTAGCACAAATCCGATTTTTTTGCCTTAATGTGTCCCAGATCCTTTCTTTTTTCTTTTTTTAAAGAACTGTGCGAATGCACAAACTTTGAGATCAGATATGTATCTAATTTGTGACCATTTAACCTTAATGAGAATGGTCAGATTGGAATCAGTGTCCCCCCACCCTTGCATGCACACTTTACAGTTATTATCCAATGTTTAGGGCCCTCTGATGTCCACAATGTAGAGATTCAAGTACAAACATGAAGTTGCATAAAATTTGGAGATTTGGGTAGATTACAAAAACTTCTAAAGATGTTAAACATTTTGTGTAAATTGTCCTTGTGGCATCTGGATTAATGTGTTGACATTTGCATTTATTGGATCCTGCTGATGTAGGTTAATTTCCTACTAATAATTCAATTTTTTGAAGAATCTTTAACCTACTATAAATGTTCTAAACTAATTCATTCAATTATGAATTTCATTTCATAATCTAAACTTTGCTGTCACTGGATGTTATTTCAGCATTTACAATAAAAAGAATGCAATGTGCAATTTCTCTAGTCATGTGTTACTGTAGTTTTTTTAACACAAGAATTAAAAAATCTGAGTGAGAGCTGTTCAGAGAAAATGATCTTTGTGCCAAGTTCGTTCATTTGTTGGTGTCATTCCTGATACAAGTGGATTATTTAGGCGATGTGCACGAGGGTCATTTCAGTGCAGAAGTGTGTTCACACTGAAAACACAGTCACTTACAGGGACGTAAACCATCAAGGCAGAAAGATCGGATATGAGCATTAAGCCTTCTAGTGTAATGTAGTATATACTGTCTTCTACAGTGTTTTATGAATGCTAATTCTGTGTGGGCTTTGTACCAAGTCAACGGTGTTTCTCCTGTTTGTTTCTCTCAGAGTTTCACCTACAAAACTCTCCCAACGCCCTCTGCAGTCCTCAGGCAGTTCTGTGAATAAATGAAGATAAAAGTTCTTGCAGCACACTAAAAAATACTACAGATAAAATGATATATAGTGTCATTCCTATATAGATCAACCAGCAACTAGTGAAAATAAACTATACATTTATAAATAACACAAAATACGCAACACTGAAGCTCATGCAACACACCCACACATGCAAACCTACCTTTAATCAAATCACTAATTTGAGACTGCACCTGTCCTTTCTCCAGGTTCTGAACCACAGTGTTGGCAATTCTAGTCAGATGCCCCATGTTTCCTCTCCTGGTGCCACCTTCAGCCCTACAGAAAACAATAACACAGTTGTCAAGCACAAGTAGAAGAGCATTTATAACACAGACATCCATAACTAAAATAACCATCAAGTGAAAATCTCAAGCAGCTCATACTGAATTCTGTCATTTTCCTCCCAGGCATCCAGGATCCTTTGCACCAAGCGGCACTGCTGGAAAAGCTAAAGAATGCACAAAGACACAAGACAAAGTAATAGCATCACTAAGAGCATATAGAAAAAAGAAATAACACAGAACTTACTACATATGGGGTGCATTAACTGCTGTAAATAAGTATATAACTTTACAATCATTACAATTTCACAGCAGGTATGCCTTTGCTACCATGAAAGAAACAAAATACAGAGGTAGGGCAGGGTGATGGGGTGATGCAAACGGTAATTGTTGATGACTGACAAGTATCTGACCACTAATCCTAGACAGGTGAGGGGGGGGGTGTTGGGAAAGGATCTAGATGGGCGTAATTTAATTTTAACTGGCTTGCCAAAAAATATGAAATGTTTACATGTATTTACAAGTTTCATTCGCATTTACTGTTATAACCAACTTGTTTTACAGGCCATTAATAAGACATTAGGCTACGAGCTATATGTAATCTTACTCTCTTATTCATCATGCTTAAACAAAGAGTTATCAATAACCATGAATTTTTTCTTTTTTTGGCAAAAATTTTGCCATATCTAATCATCATCACCCAGCCCTACACTGAATGCTGCGGTAATTACATTGACCACCAAGGCATCGTGAATGGGTGTGTGTGCTGGGTCTGCATTGCTATTCTGGCCTGAAGTCCCCTCCTCTTTCTGGCTTTCGGAGCTTTGAACAGGTTTCTCATCGTGGTTCTGAAGAGTTGGGGTCTGGAGACCCGTGTGAGCAGAGTGGTTTAGAATTGACGCCACACACAGCTCCACTTGGAAGTGCAAGAAGTTATTCCAGGTGTATTTAAAGAATAAATCCTGCAAGCAGAAAGGAAAAGAGTCAGCAATTTTAAACTGGTTTGTATTTTCAAAGGGAAGTCTCACCAAGACCACAGGATTTTTTCAAAGGGAGGCCATGCATTACAATATGACAAAAAAGGAAATTAAGAAAAACAGGAAAATTCTTCTGTTGCACCAACTGAATGTAAGTTCAAGTGCAAGTCACCGTGTAAATTTCAGTTACACCACAAGCATTTAATTGGTAGAGCATAAAATGATCACTGTTGTACAGAACTGTTTTTCACTGACTGCAGCCAAGTAACGTTTCTGCCGTAAATGGAAATTACTACAGCCATGATCAAGACACAGTAAAGGGAACCAATACTGGTCTTTTGATATTATATGAATGAGTCGGAATTTAACCACTGACTGGCATTCAACTATCGAAGAGCAGTCTGACAAGCTTGCGAAACGTATGTACTGCTTTACTCCCAGCCGAGGCATAATAACAGAAACAGGGGTTTCTTACATGGCAAACTAGATGGCTACTTTGATATGGATACTTTGATATTCAATTATTTATGTGAAAAGCTGTAACAATAAAATGTTTGCACAATAAAACTGTTTAGATAATATGTAATTGCATTCTAAGCTAAATAACCAGAACTACATAGATAGCTAGCTCATGTATGTAATGCAGTGGCAGGATGAGCTGCGAAAATGTTCAATAGTTTTTCGAAGTAGCTACTAAATAATTCTAAATAACAAAAACTGATAGAGTTTAGAATTAGCTAGTGATGTTTGTAATGGTAACATCAGCTCATTCTGACAAATCCGTTTCATTTCAAACAGGGCATTTCTCAGGGAGTAGTTCAATTTCAATCAACATGACGTTTTCCTATCCCGTTGAAACTATTTTACCTGTTGCAACCATTTAAATTTTAATATTTTTTAAACTTGAACATAGGGGCAATTTACCTTCAAACTAGGCTACAATTGAACTTTTGCTCAGCTGGTGCAATTGGCAACCTTAGATTAAAGTAAAGAGGAGCAAGGATTAAATATGAAATAAGAGAGTGGAAGGAACTTAACAACAGGCATGAAGGTATAATAATAAGGTCGTGTTGTGTATGGTGTGTATGCAGGTAATGCTTAACCCTCACCAGCAGCAGGTCCATGGTGTTAAGCCTGCAGAGCTCCTGGCAGACGTTGTGGTCACTGGTCTGCAGCAGGGAGGCCACCAATCTGGCCACATGAAGGCGGGCGTTCCCCAGCGGTTGCTCCAGAACGCCAACGGTTGTAAGTATTGCACTTTTCTGCTCCATACCATAGGAAAAAAGGGCAGGAATGAAAGGGATGCCAATGTCAGTTCCTTCTAGACTATCCACTGTGTAAATAAGTGTGTAAATACACAATGCAAATATTACCCAGCACCTTAGTTCTGAATAACAGACTCTGTTCTCCGTTTTCCTTCATCTTACCTTAGGAGGGTCCAGTAGGAGTTGCTGGAAGTCTTTTAGATGAGGCTCAATAGCACGTAGAATACTGCCACTGACAGTGTAAGACCTTTCACATCCCTGAGAATACAGTTCCATTAGACCCTCCAGCCTGAAACAGAAGACATAAGCCTCCTTTTATTTTCCGTTTTATGTACTGGTGTGTGTGTACATATCTGGATTAAAGCTTCCCTTAATTCAAAGATCACTGATCAGACTGTGAATCTGAAGGAAAGTTGTATGTGGAGACTCGCCAGTTGACCCTGCTGATTTTCCGCTCACCGTTGAGCACTGCTGAGCCAACACTGTGGTGAAAATCCATGTCTGCATTGCTCATCCCATTGAAAATGTGTTTAAAATTACAGTGATGAATTTTCCATGTTCAGTGTAAAGCAATGTTGTGTGCGTGTTTAGCATCACCCTTTAACATGGTAAAACCATACAGACTCTTGCATCTCATTGCATCTTATTGAGTTAGTGCTGCTGTCTTGTTTCACAAGATCACAAGATCACAGGCAGGCTTTATGATTTTTGGTAGTCTGTTTTTATCTGCTAAAGTGCTGGAAGACTGAGGCTGTGTATGCACAGTAAGCCTCAAGGACTTCTAACCATAAGGCAAAACAGAGGAGTGGACTAGGGCCGTTTTGTTTTCACAATGCACAAATCAATCGGACCACACAACAAACTACAAACAAACTATATTGAGACCACCTCGAGGGTTTGGTTGGTTTTTGAGGCTGTTTAGAGGGGTCAGAGTTCGTTTGACATGTTCACATGTGCACAGAAAACCACTTCAGGCGCTGAAACGGTCCAAGTGTGAAAAAGTACTAATGCAATCAGAGATACAATTATATACATGCACAAGACAGGAAGAGGCTACAAAATAATGACCAAGAGTATGGATATCCCACTGAGCACTGTTGGATCAACTGAATGAAAGCTGCATCATACCACCCAGAAAAACATCAACAAACACCATCCCAACAGTGAAGTATGAGGTGGCAGCATACTGTTGTGGGGTGCTTTTCCTCAGCAGGGGCTGGGCATCGTTAAAACTGAAGGACAGATGGATGGTGCAAAATACAGGGAGATAGTATTGCTTCAGTCTGCTAAAAACCTAAAGGAAGAAACCTTACCTTTTAGCAAGACCGTGATACCCAGCACAAGGCCAAAGCAACACAGGAGTGGCTGAACAACAAAAAGGTCAATATTCTACAATAGCTCAAGCCAATCAAGAATCTGTGGCACCATCTGAAAATTGCGGTCCACAAACGTCATCCATCCAACCTGAATGGCAAATCTGCCAAGATGAATGGGTGAAAATTACTCCCAAAGAGCATGAAAAGGTGGCAGAAACTCAGTCCAACAGACTTAAAGATGTTATTGCAGCAAAAAGGGGCTCTACCAAGTACTAGCCTAAAGAGGCTGAATACTTATGAAAGCAGCACGTTTATTTTTTTAAATCAGCAGACAAATAATGAATTTAGACTGCACTTTAATAGCATATTGGACTGCAATTAAAAATAATAGGTAGAATAATCTGGGTGTCAGTTGCAATCTAGACAAAGCTGATGACTTAAGGGGGTTGAATACTTTTGCAAGACACTGCGTGTGTGCGCATGTGTAATATATAAACAGAAGAGAGAGATTAGATATGTAGAAAGGTAGACAGGTAGCTCCACTCACCCTGACCTCCTTGACTCCAGTAAGGTAAGAAGCACTTGAGTTCCATTGACAACAGAAGCTTCGCTCTTCTCCCCCTCAAACATGCTCTTTAGAAGTTGCGCCACATTCTCTTCTCTAAAGATAAATAAAACTATTATTAGTAATCCTTTCCAAGAAATATGTTCAACACAACTTGGGATTTAATTACAACTTGATTACACAAGTTTACTTGATATGTAAATGAACAAAACAAAAATTCAATATCTCAGAGCTTATTTCACTCATTAGGCTTAACCCACTCATTAGACTTAACCCAAGTCAGGTGTACACAATTAGAGTGTAATACATTATGTGGCCCTTCAAACCTCTCAGGTTGTTGTGCTCATTTAAGCGGATGACTGAGGATCTTACCCTAAACTGACTCTTAAAATCAAGAGGAGACTATGAACACTTTCTGCTCTGAAACATTTCACAGTAAATAAAGAAACTTAAGAGGAAAACAGGTTGGATTTTACAAGACACTGATCCAAAACATACATCAAATCAACCTTGAACTATTTCAAGAAACGAAAGATTATGGTTTTGAAACAGTCACCAGACTACTGTGATTAGACTTTCAACACGTGCATTGTTACTGTTCAGTTCAAGTCATTTTTACGCTTTGGTCTTCTTAGCAAATCATGTAATCTTCCGCTGATTACATGATTTACCATCACAATAACTGACAGATTAATCTATTAGTAACATAACCAATAGTGACAGCCCCAACACTATATTTATAATGATGAAATATGCATGAAATATTTATAAGACTAATTCCACCAGTATGAAAGGAAAAACAGACGAATCTCATTCATCATTAAATAGTTTGTTTTTAATGCTTTTTAAAAAGCTTGTTTTAACAGAGAAGCAATTCATAAGTTTAGTAACTAATATCTCAGTCTGCTTATATGTAGTCTTTAAAAATCATATTAAGCACAAAAGTACTGCTGTCAGGCATCAAGAAAATATAGATTTTAAAACATTAAGAACTCATTTAACCCCACATGTTAAAAATATAACAGTCCAGCTATGCACAGTGAGGAAGCTTAGGTCTGAGTTACTTATGTTGCAGATTAATAACTTTTTCTGCCTTCTTAACAACCAACCAACCAACAAAAAAAACAAAACAGACTAAAGATCATATCTGTGACACCCAAGCAAACTTACGACTCTAGGACCGTCAATAAAGGGTCTGGCTCCATGGCCTCTGGCATCTGATTGGCCTGGTCTCTACTGAGACGGATGATGTCGGAAAGAGTCTGGGACGCATTCGATTGTCTCTGCAGAAAAACAAGCAACACCAATACAGATGAAAAATGATTACTTCATAACAGAATGTATGTCCTAGCTTTACAAATGCAGCATGTTAACTTTTTGCAGTCGAGAATACAGTAAAGGCAGTTCTAATAAAATACAATTTGTGTGACCAAATTATGTATTGCAAACTACTGATTTAGAAGCAAATACTACAGCACTCGATACACACTGCTCATGCAAACCAAAAAAGCATATCTAGCCAAGAAGTACTGATCTAGCCAAGAGGTCTGTGTCAGCCAGCGATGTCCTCACCTCTTCATCTCTCCCCGTGTGCATGAGCTCAGTGAGCCTCTGGATCAGCCGCTCTTCATTCAGCCACTGTAGATGGAACATAATCTTCAAACTTTGGGCCTTTGCCACATGAGGCAAAATGCTAGAAACAGATGCTTAAGAGTTCACTTCAGTAAGCTTAATTTTGTTGTGCTCAAGTGCACTCAGCAAAAAGAAAACAAACAAAGCAGCAAGCAATCCAGAAGGAAAAAGAGGAGAAGCACGATTTGGTAAGACCGCTAGTAAATGTTCCGATCACCTGTGCCAAAAGTTATGTAATGTGTAATTGCTGAACAAGACAGTAAGGAGAAAACTGGACATGTGAGAATGCTGTAAAAAAGTCAAAATGAATCACAAGAGTCCACCTACAGCTGAAATCACTAGAAAGTTGGTGCTGACAAATGCTTTTCAGCCTCAAGCTGGTCAAATCGTAAGTAATTCATAAACATCTTGCACTGGTAGAACATTGTTTTAAAACAGAAAAACCCATTTAGAAATCCATCCTCTGCAAATGAAATTAAAGGTCATCATATTGAACAATTTCTATAATGAGAAATATGTTTTTTTAAAAGACTACAATCCAAAACATTATGCAAACTTCTTATCTGATCTATTCTAAGAAAAGGGACATCGATTTTAGGTCTGAAGAAGATTTTTAGGTTTGAGTTTTTAAACACCTCAGTGTCACTGCTCGACTGAGAATAGTCCACCAATCAAAAATATCCAGCCAACATTGTCCTGTGACCACTGATGAAGGACTAGAGGATGACCAACACAAACAGCACAGCAACAGATGAGCTACCGTCCCTCACTTTACATCTACAAGGTGGATCAAACAAAGGAGGAGAGTCTAATAGAGTGGACAGTGAGTGGACACAGTGTTTAAAAACTCCAGCTGCACTGCTGTGTCTGATCCACTCATTTCAGCGCAACACACACTAACACACCACCGCAACATCGGTGTCACTGCAGTGGTGAGAATGATTTACCACACAAATAATGCCTGCTCTGTGGTGGGACAGGGTGAAAGAGAGCTAACAAAGTATTCAGAGAAACAGATGGACTACAGTCTGTAGTTGTAGGACTACAAAGTGCACCTTTATGGTAAATGGAGCTGATAAAATGGACAATGAGTGTAGAAACAAGAAGATGGTTACGGCTGATTAGTGCATGCTTAGAGGAAAGAAAATAAACACACAACAATCTGGTCTCTGTAGCTGCCTCAGGCTCTATAAATGGAATGGGGGGAAAAAAAAAGAAGCTAAAAATCATGGAACACAACATTCAACCAATCAGAACAAGGAGGCATAATTACTTCTCACTCATATTGTGTGTCAACATGTAACCATAGCCGTATCCTAGCTATTCAGCTAGCAATTCACAAATCTACCGATGAGACTCACTGTGACAGCTGGTTAGCTGTTCAAAGTAATGATGGTACAAATGAGTGAGAATTTCAACATTTTGGGTCTTTTGGAGGCAGAGGTTTCTTTTTTTTTCTTTAAAAAAGAAAAAAAATATTTGAATATTATCAGTGAGGTCCTGTGTGAAAGCACTATCAGAGAGCAGGAGGGAGTTGAAACGCCACAATTTTGAAGTAAAAGGCTTGTCTGGAAAAATAAGTGCCAGGTGAACTGATGAAAAGAAAGAATACTGTCTACTGTTAGGGTTAAAAAAATGCCAGACATCTGAGTAACCATGTGAAATAAGAAAAGAGTCTAGTCCTTGTCTAAAGAGACTGTGAGTGTTTTGTTTGTTAGACGATCTATCCAAATTGGGGTCCATGACGCAATTAAAATCACCACCCATGATGAGATAATGAGAGTTTAAATCTGGGAGAAGTATAACAATTTTGCCAATAAATCTAGAATCGTCCCAATTGAGTGTATAAATATTAACTAAAACTACAGGTGTTTCATAGAGGCGGCCTGTAACGATCACATATCACCCTGCCATGTTTGACTGAATTGAACCGGCTGTGAATTGGACACTTTTGTCTATTAACACCGCTACTCCTCGAGATCTACTTGAAAGTTTTGAGTGAAATATTTGCCCCACCCATTTTCTATGAAGCTTTTTTATGTTCAGAAGGACGCAAGTGCGTCTCTTGTAAAAAAGCAATGTTGGTATGTAAGGCCTCGAGATGTGAAAGAACCTGGTTCCTTTTGATAGGTGAATTTAACCCCCTAATGTTCCAACTCACAAAGTCATACCACTGCCAATACCAGGCATACAGAAAGGCAAGAGCAGGTATAGCTCCAGTGTAAAAATTGAGAGGCAGAGGGGTTTTAAAATTCTCAAAAGACATTCAAAGATTCCAGGCAGAAAATTAAAAAAAGGGAAACCAACTTGAGCTGAGTAGAGACCAAAGACACATCTTGAAACAAACAGGGCGACACATTTAAGTGACTCGTAACACATCAACAACTCAAACATCACTCTCCTTAACTATGGGAGAGGGAACACCGTGACAAACTGTATGTGAATAAACGACTCTATATAAACGTACTCGGAAAAATTACACTTAGCTTATAAAATGTTATATCCACAACTATATATAAAAGTATGTGTTACCAAGAAATAAGAAAAGAAAAGGGGGGGGAAGAAAAAAAAAAAAAAAAAAAAACACTCGGTTCACCGACACAAATTTCGGCTTAAAGTAGGGATAGTATGTAAATAATGTACATAAACTATAACACAGACACAAATAGCGAACGCTAATATTCAGTTGAAACACTTAGGTCTATTGTTAGGTATAAAACGAATACTGTTTCAAAGATAAGTGAGTGTCCACCCATATCCAGGCGTCTTAAAAGTAATAATGAAAAAATAAGAATTGACTCCCTTTGGACTAGATCTTGGGCACTAAGAGTCAACTGCAGAGTCGAAACAGGTTCCTTGTAGAGGCTAAAGTTTCTGAGTAAAAAATTCGTCCATACTATATACAACTATTGTGGCTTTTTTTACTCTATAAAACAGAGCAAGCGTCCAAAAAGGTTAAGACAAGAACCTCGTACCTTTGAGTGAGCTGTCAACAAATTACACAGTTACATAGAGGGATCAGGCGCTGCTTTCAGGGTAGGAAGGACTGAGTCTCTGAAAAACACAGACGCCTCTATCGCAGAGTCGAGTTTGTGTATGGAACCGCCAAAGGAGCATGCGAAATTTCAAACCAGCCTCGTGTAGTTTGAGTTTAATGGACTTGAACTCATTCCTACGGCTCCGTATATCTGCTGATAAATCTGGGAAAATGTGCACCTTGGATTTCCTGTACAGTAGCTGGCCCTGCTGCCGAGATAGCCGAAGAATCTCCTCTTTGGTCGAAAAGCGAAGGAAACGAACCAGCATTGACCTGGGATGAGCACCTGGCTGGGGCTTCTGGATCGGGGCTCGGTGAGCTCGATCGATTTCAGGCGCGTTGGGTAATTTTTGCACGCCGAATAACCGTGAAAAAGGATGCCATGAATGAGGTGGGTTGAGAGCCTTCTACCCCTTCAGGAATGCCAATAATACGGAGATTGTTCCTCTAGGAGCGATTCTCTAAGTCATCCGTCTTCTCTCTGAGCCATTTGTTATCAGAGCTCAATGATTTGCAAGCTGTTTCGAGTTCTGCGATTCGTTTGTCCATGTCTGTAGATGCAGCTTCAATGTCCCGAATTTTTGAGCTCAGAGTGTTAATGCATGTGGTCAAAGTTTCATGTGATGAACGAAGTTCAGCCAGAAATTCCGCTCTAAACGTGGAAATCTCTTCCCGAATAGTCGTTGTTAGGACTTCTTTGAGCAAAGCAGGGGTTAGCTCACCGCTAGCTGTAATGCTGGAGCAGGGAATGCTAGTCTCGCTTGGAATGCTAGCGTCCTCAGTATCTGGTGAATCCGTCACATTTCATTTAGCTTTTGGCATTGTGAGGGTTCCTGTAGTGTCTGTCGACATCAAGGAATAAAAATGCAGTGAAGAAAAAGTGTAATTGTGCCAAGGGACCAAGCAAAAACAGAAAAGTCACGGAGCAACTCCCTGCACGCGTCTTACTCCTGCAGTGGCATACCGGAAGTCCGCAGAGGTTTCTTAACAGTTTGAAATGCCCATTAACTGTATCATCATATACAGGATTCAGCATTTGGACAAATCGGCAAAGCTTACTAGAGTATATTATTACTTCTCTGTCCATCCACATACATCAAACATATAAATGGGCTCTACTCCACGCACAGAAAATATAAGCATGTAATGTTCAGGCTGAAATTAAACCTACTTTGCTCAGCTCGTACCAAACATATAAACATCCTGATACATTCCTGACACTGATGTCAGGTCACATGTGAAAACTGACTCAGACCAGAGCAATCAATACATTTTGCTCAAACAATTTAAATGATTTAGTATGAGCATCATTACGTCAATGGCAGAGAAAACTGCCAATTCTGCCACCAATGATGACTCACAAGCTTACAAAAGAAAAGAATATGACCAAACTAGAGTAAAAACGAGTGAACAATGATGTGGCTTTGAAAGGTATTAAGAGTGACACTCACAATGATCTACAAGAGACTTTGTTACATTTTATAGCACATTTCCCTCTGCGTGACTTTGCCAAGTGGTTAATTACTGTAGATGCCCATGAACAGTGTCTGCTAATGTACGCTACAATGCTAAGCAAGAAAATCAGCTTCAGACAGAAGTGGATCAAAAACTAACAAAACAGGTTCTGTGTTCCTAGTGACTTAGGCCCAATCCCATTTCACCCCTCGCCCCTACCACTTAGCCCTTAGCCCTCTGCTTTGCGCTTTCACGTCTAGGGTTAGGGTGTCCCAATTTTTGTTGAGATAGAGGGGTAGGGCGACGTGTTAGGGCTACATGGCCCTCCAAACAGAGGTTTTTCACAGAGACACTCCAAACGGAGTGTTATGAGAAAAAAAGAAAAACAAGATGGCTGCATGAGCGACCAAAAAACCCACAAACGTGAGTATTTTCTCAGTTAAAAAATAAAATAACCATTGTATTATCTTAGTTTAATGTCGTTTCAGTGTATTATGTTCGTTTTTTTGATAACAAGCATAAAAAATAAATAAATAAATAAATAAAAAACGCTAATACCATGCTAATGTCTCAGTAGCTAGCTAGCTAACTTTCCCGTTCCACCTTAAATAGTCCAGCAGTATTGACGCCTGAAGTGCCAGGATGTTTTTTTGTTTTTTGTTTTTTTTTAATTTGAGGGTTGTCCCATTTCGTAGGGCAACATTTCAACCACTACCCTTTGTAACTCAGTTCCAAGGGGTTAGGGTGACACTCGGAAACGATGGGTAGGGGTAAAAAGAAGAAATGGGATTGGGCCTTCAACAAAAGGCAGCATTAGCTAGTGTCTGTGTTAGCTGACGTTAGGACGCTAATCACCCGTGTGTATGTCCACCTGTGTCATCATTTTATCTATTTATCAATTGATTACAACTCAGTCAGCACCAGCATTTAAGCTCTCTATCCTACGCAGTATCTATGCATGTGTAGGGAGCGAAGCTTTGGAAGGAACACTGAATGGAAGGGCTATGAAAAATGGAATATCACAATATTTTGAAGTTCATGTTAACTAAGAGCAGGTTTTGCACTGTGATACACAAGTCTTACGATAACTGTAAAATGACTGTACAGCAGGTCCTTTGCAGATCAGAAAGTGTAAGAAACAAAATGAAACACTGGAAAAGTAACCAGCTTAAAGAAGTGTTTGGGCACTTACATTGAGGACCTCTTGTCTGAGAGGGGCTGGCTCCACACAGCTGATGAGGCGCAGGAGGAGGTCCATCATGGCTGACGCATCTAAGTGGTTCAGCACCAAACCGATAAAGTTGTGTTTTTTCCTCAGGAATGAAATCACCTGGAAGAACACACATTTTCAACCATTCTTGAGACTAAGTGTTCAATCACACATGCCTCTGATCACAAGCTCTGAGTGAGGGGTTACACAGACTAGCCCATTAATATATCCACTAGTCGGCGCTCTGGGCTGCTGTCAAATGCAGCATCTAAGTTTAGTAATGAAATGCAGAAGCCAAGAAGCCTGCATGCCTCTGTGGAGTACAACAAACATTCTTCAGTAATGTATATCCACTTCAAAAATGCAGCGTCTGCCACTAGACCACACTAGGAAACTTTGTATATATGAATTCTTTTTTTTCAACTATGACAAACAACGACTAGTTGACCACTTTCTGAATGACTATTTGAATGACATGAAAACTTATGCAGCAGTAAAATCGGTAACAAGTTCAGAAACCAATCCCCTGTAGCAGGACTGGTGGCATCATTCCTGGGGAGAGGGGAGTACTGATTTTTTTACATGAAAATTCTTGTGTATTCTGAGATGTGTTACGAGGTGACTGCCGTACTAAATAATAAATCGTACTATTTTCTATCATTTGTGTTCTACTGGCTCCATAAAGTGTGTTGTGCTTCGACCCCAATGATCGCCATTTGCAATGTAATTTGTAGATGGTCATTCAGCTCTCCCAAAGGAGTTACAACACTTCAGAGAAATCAGCATGTTCTAGATCAGTTTAAGACAAAAACATGCCGCTCTTTGCCTTGGCTGCTTACAAATGAAAATTTACACATCATCCTTATTTCACCCACTGTCAGAGAAGCTGTGAAAGAAATCATAACAATCGTGAATAAAACCAACTTCACTGCTCACAAAATGGGCTCTCTTCATGTTTCTAACTAATATCTTAGGTCGGAGAGGCCAAAACTGTAACTGTTGATAGTCTGAATAATGACAGTGAGCTGCTGCTGTGCTGTGCTTAGGGGAGAGAAGAAATTCTGTCTTAGAACTGTTGGCTGACAGCAAACTCACCACCATCCTAAAATTAAAAACTCTTCAAAACAACATGATTCACGTGAATAGCATATTCAGAATTCAAACTGGCAAACTTTGCCCAAAGGCGATAGGTCTATATTATTAACAACAACTTAATAGTCATGCAACTCCCTCTATATCACCAGACTGTTTACACTGTTTTGACACTGAAAATTAAAACCATGGTTCTACAACTGATCAGAGATGCACAGTAATCTTGAACACCTACCTGCTCCGTTTTGCGCGCTATCAGGTTGCCGATGGTTTTGCTGAAAAAGGAAGCCAGCAGGGGGTTGAGGGGTGGTTCCTGCTCAAGGAAACGATAGAGTTTCTCCAGCAGAGATTCATCTCCACCCAGCTTATCATTAATGAGGGAAACATCAGAAGTGAGGAGTTCACAGGCGATATTTGGAAACCTAGGTGAACAGAGAATTAAATATATCACAACATAAATATACCACAACTGAGGATACTGGCCTTTTTTTATACATGGTATTAAAAGTGACCTGTATTCACATCCATTGCTTGACTACTGATTTAAAGTAAGAGCAAATGCATATGCTATTGTAATTGGATGTACATATGTGAACAGACTTGTTTAAATATAATTAATTTGTTTTATGCAAATAATTCAAAAGAAAGTAAAATCCAGTCCGCCAAGTGCAAATGCAATTATACACACACACACACACACACACACACACACACACACACACACACACACACACGTCTTATTCAGTACTGTATCTACAACATCTAGTTAACATGCTAACGACATAAGAGGCCATAAGAGGCCTTCTTTCAGGTCTATTTTTATACACACATCACATTAGTTTCCTATTTATACAAGACTACCACTGACAATTAAATAAGAGGATTCTACTAAAAAGAATTAATTCATAAGCACAGTACATTGGCATCTACTCTTCAAGGGACAGAACCTCATTTCCTCCTTACTGATAACCACGTTTGTAGATTAAAACCATGCTCTTCATTCACTCAAGGAGGAAACTACACTGATGACACTCCTTATCTTTACACAACTCTGTACCCTACAGTATTTACAAATCCATTTATATACTCTTGATGCAATAAGATCTACCTTGATTCTCTGAGAAAATTACAAATGAAATAAACTTTCCGAAGTTGAAATTGCTAAAGGAAGAGAACCAGATTTAAGATACTTTTTTGCCACACATCATTATCAGTGGTATCTGAATTCAGCACAGCTCTTTCACAGTTTGGGCTGATAGATGAGCCAGCATCATGAGCGCCAAGAGTCCAAACTGACAGCGGAGCGCACCCTGCCTGCTATAAGAGTCTCTACCATAACGTAGAATTACCTGGAGATCTAAATTGATGAATATGCATTTTAAGTGTCAAGTATTTATAGCACCTTTGTAAGATCAAAGGCCTATTTACACAGGATCTGATTTTTACAGACAAAAATAAAATAAACGCATGTCAAGCTTTGAAAATGAACATACATCTATTAATGCCGCCTTTCACACCAAAACTGTCCGAAACTGACGGACTGCGATGCTGCGTAATTTTTTAAACCGGATCCTGCTCATTTTCCATGCTGTCTGCCATAACCGCTGTCATGGTTGCAGCCCAAACAAACGTGCATCAGGACGGCAGCAGAACAGCTCATCTTGCTTGTAGCATAGCATTTATGTATTCAACCGGAGTTCACTAGCTCCCTTTTAATGAGAGGAGCAACACGCAGAAGCAGAGCCCCGAATTTACCCATGACAGACGGAGATATCTGCAGAAAAATAGCGTATTATGCAGCTTCAGCTAGCTCTTGTAAAATGCAGTGGAATTCCTTGTGTTCTCTTTTTGTAGAATGGAATGTTACATTACCCAGTGCTTTCACCATTTATTTTCAAAAAAAAAATAAATAAATAAAATAAAAAAAGTTTGAAGTGTTTTTCTGTCTTATATATATATATATATATATATATATATAAAGACAGAAAAACACTTCAAACTTGGTGTGAAGGTCTCACTACTTTAAAAACTGCATCTTTTGTTTAATTCCAAAAAAAAAACTCATACACCTCCCCCAGCCCCCGCCTGATTTCATCGTCCATCACGATGTCTCCCTGTAGACATCATAATCTAGTCAGGCAGACATTACCTAACCTTAATTCACAGTAAACAACAAACAGCAGACTAAAACAAAGTGCAGGACAAGACAGAAGGTGCAAAAACAAGACATTAGATACAGCAGTCTTCAAAAAGGTTTTTCAAAATGTCTGTAACTCCTCCGCCAGGGTCTTTGTCACCTCCTACTTTCCTCTGTCCACTACTGTTTTGAAAACATCTGATGAAAAGTCTTTAGTGGTACAATGACTGTCCGTGGCGCCTGTACATTGACGGTCTAATTTTTACTGTAAAAGTTCTATTGTTCCCATCAGGGTTAGAGGTGTTACTTTAAAAACGTATTCCAGTACAAACATCATAAAAATTCCAGTAAAAACATAATCTTTAATTTAATCCAAAGGATTACTATACTAAAGTAATGTAATCTGATTATTTGGTGTTACATTTGGATTACTTGTCTTTTTAAAGCCACATAATTAAATAAATACCAGAGAATTTCAGCAGCACGATTTCCGAACACAAGATAAAGAGAAATGCACAGAAAAAACATGGGTGATGCATAAAAGTCAGTGTAAAAGTAAAATTTACCAGATTAAGAAAAGAAATTTTGCCTAACCTGAATCTGTCATCTACTATAATGTTTTTTCTCTGCTGCTCAATATCATCACTTGCAGAACGTTCTCTCCTTTCAGCACAGCCACAGCCACAACGTGCTGTCTCCCCTCCCCCCACGGCGCTGTGGCTAGCAATAAAGTCTCACGAAAGACCCCCCCGCCCAAAAGACACACGACAAAATTAAATTTCCATGCTAAACAGGTAGCGCAGTGCAGGGCGATATAACATCTATACTGGTATACTGTGATACTAACACACCATATGATATTACTTTCCTGTTTGTGATATTTTTACCAATATATCTGACAGATAAGGAGAATTTTATTTTGTGCACTTTACTAACAGTATGCAAGTCCTGATAGTTAACTGCAAGTCATTTACATACAATCCAAAAAAAAAAAATTCCTCATGAAGCTCGAGTTCATTAACTTCATCAGCGCTAATCTTTAGCATCCGACGCTGTGATATATATAAACATGTGATATTCAATTTTATCAGTACCTCCCAGCACTAATTTCACAAGTAGACAATCAAAAAAACTACATTTAAATAAATAGTCATTACATATTGATTTACAAATGATTACCTAAGTCAGAGTGCAGTTTAATGGAATGAACGCAAGTTGCAATTTGACCCATGTATGGATATCAACACCAGGTTTAACAATCAGACCTCATGTAAACACCTCCATCAGTTTACTAATGAGTGGTTTAGCATCTTGTCAAAACATAACACAGCCACATTGTTCATGCACGCACACACACCCACACACACACACACACACAATCAGGTGGACAGCGCTCCCCATTTCATTACGTTTAGTTACATATCATACTAAATCCAGTGAATCAACAATAGCAGAGACATATTTCTTTAGTCAGCAAGATGAGTTGCTTAATGTAGCTGCAGCACTTGGTATTTGCTTAGCAGCCGTGGTGCAGACAGAGCGCAGTGACTCGCACTGAAGAAGCTAGTCATGCAGGTCTTGGTGTGAGAAGCACTAGCGGTGTGTGTTTCCCTTTTGTTTGGCTTGTTAATTCTCCACCTCCAGCGTTCGAATGTCAAAATATCTTCCACAAAGTCTGCAATGCGCACATCCTGAACGTCAGCCCTTAGCTAGCCAAGATTCACATTAGCAATGCAACTCGGTGCTAACAAGCATTAGCCTTGGGAGTCGCTGTGTTCTTTTGTCTTCTAGATTCTTTAGTGTTTCAAACCGGAAATTTCATGAACATTGTGTACATTTTCCAACAATTATTATTTTCCAGGACTTCGCCAGGACTTTGCATATTTCTGTAAAAGAATATAGCTGCCTTTTTTTGCAATATAATTACATCATTACATATATTCTGTTACCCTTATTCCAACCCTGGTTACCATCGATCTGACAGAAGCCACTAAATGTATTTTGCTTGTTAGAGCATCAGACAAGACCTTACAGAATCTATAGTATGAGATTCTACAGCACAATCCAACTGAGTTACATTTTAGAACAGAAATGCATCCAATACTAACACCATCTGCTTAACAGCTCAAATAGATTTTAGCCAAATTTCAATTTCATAGTTTTCTGGAAGGTACAAATCCAAACAAATTGCCATGTTGATCCCATTTAAAAACTGCTCAATGCCTTACTTGAAGCGCGTTTTTTCCTCCAGGTCAGAAGAGGGCTCCTCTGTGATCAGGCTGACCAACTCCTGCATGCAGTGATCCTGGGAGAGGAAGAGCAGGAGCCTGCGGTTCTGGGCCTTGCACTCCTGCAATACATCTTCCTCTTCCATCAATTCCCTCAGAGTCACGTCCTCCCGGTCCAGCAGCTGGTCGATATGGGAGGTGGTGTGCAGGTCAAACTTCCAGAACATGGTGGCGGCTGCAGAAGGAAGCACAGACCTGGAAAAAGAGCATAAGCAGCTGTAAACATGTGATCGAAATATGAATCATGTCTGAACACTTAACCAATCTATATCAAGTATGAATTTTTATTTTGCAATTTTCATGTTTTACCATTTATTTACGCACAAATGCACTAATAACACAGTTTACCATCAGCATTGACAACTTAGGTATGTTTTTTTGTTTTGTTTAAATAGAAAAAAAAACATTTGAGAAAAGAAGAAATAATTATTAACCATACTTAAGATAATATCAATTTCTTAATAAGCTTGATTCGTACACGGCAGATTTAGACTATAAGTAGCACACTCAAAAAAGAAAAAAGTGCAGAATAAAAGAACAGAAAGTTATACATTATGGGGTGAAGAAAACAGTGGATCAAAGGACTACATAGGAGATAAAGAAATGGGAAAAGCAGAAGCAAAGCAAAGGTTAAAGAAACACAAATGCTAATACCACCAGCAAAAAACAGCTCATTAACCTGTATATTCCACTTAAAGCAATCTGCAAGGTACTAAGTAGAGATGTCACAATACCACTTTTACAGTTGATACTAAACCACAAAAAATGATTCACAAACCTCCATCGATGCCACAGTCACAAAAAAAGAGGATAAAAAGAGGTTGCAAAATGAGAAACAAAAATGAATAAAATGAAATGAAAAAATGAATCACATAAAAACAAATGAACTATTTTTTCATATATGGATGCACAAAACATGTCATTAAGGTATTCAAGGAGAAAAAATAAAATAAAATCCAAGACTAATGTAGGACATGGGCCCTTTGTATGCCAACAAAAACACTCAGAAATTGCATAAACTTTAAACAAAAATAACTAATGTATTTTTCTGGATGAGAACACTTTATAACAGTAGTTAATTAATCGTCAAACTGAACTTAGTGACCTGTTTGAAATCTGTCACCTGCTTTACTTTCACTTACAATTGATTGATGATGCTGTCTGCAGCCTGTTAACACAGCACTGTCAATGTTACTTTATTCATCAGTCTCAAAAAGGAGGGTATTTTGTTCTAGGTTAATGTTATTTGGTAGCGCTCTCTCAGTAGCAGAACATTTAGACGGCACAGTCACGTTGTTTTACAGAGGCTTCTGAAGACTTCCCCACTCAGCAGCAGCACACAGTGTTGTATTCAGCCAATCTATAGACTTTTTTTTTTATTAAGTATTTTATTTTTTATTGGCAGAACTGAGATCTGCAGCATTTTCCTGAAGATATTTAAATCGGGTGTTTAACCTGGATTTCCAGACCACCAGATTCTACTGCAGTAAACTAAACTGATCTGACAGTAAACTCTCTATTCTCATTTGTTGCTCCATAGAATTCTACAGTTTGACTGGCTATAAATTACACCTCTGAAAACCTTAACCTGATAGGTTTTAAGTAACAATCTGAAATGTGAAGAGAGAGCAAATTAAGTCTCGTGAGTAGCAAAGTTAGTTTCGTTTTCACTTGCATGCTTCCTTTCTTTAGTAGTTTTCGAATGATGTATGCAAAATGTTAATCTGTGTGAATTATCATTATTTGTAACTAAGACCATCAGCTCCCCTCAATGCCTATTTTAATGCCCATTTAAACTTGTAGGATTACTGTGGACTGAAACCACAGAGAGCTGATTAGGGAGCATCTACAAATTACGATCATCAAAGCCCAGCACGACACACCAACAGGAACCCTCATGATCCTGTATAGCCTTTTAGCAGATTGAACACACATGATGGCCTCTATTTATAATTATTGTTGATGAGGGGTCTCAAGAGACTGATCTCTTGACTTTGGCATGAAAAAACAACAGACTTTTAATAAATAAGTCAAACAGGGAAAGGTCTCAGGACAGCAGTACAGTTTTTAATTATTTTGTATTTGATCCAATGTACTGGATCATTCTTCATCAATTACTTCTTCCATTGTGTTTTAGTATCAGAGCTTTTAGTCTCAGCGTACCAATTTTTAAAAAAATGTTCCTGTTAAAATCACTCAACTTTTTTTTTTCTGGAGAGCAAAGCTTGATTTCTGAACTTCAAAGTTTGAGTATACATGTCTAAACTCAAATTATACTGTTATGTATAAATTTGTATTCTCATCTTCATACTCCAAATACTTTTATATATTATGTTTGGCTGTTTCTCTAAAAGTAAGATCAGTGACTGTTTCTGTGTGGCACAATATTTAAGTCACCTATAACCCATCACTCTGTTTCATACAACAGTGCAGATTTTGTATTTGACGTGTGGTATGTTAAATTCATGTAAAAAAATTTTGTTGGAATTATTTTTCTCTTTTTTGACTTAACTAAACATCTTAATTAAAGACAAGTAATCCACATGTAACGCAAAGTAATACAATTACTTTAATATAATAATCCTTTGGATTAGGTTACAATTACATTTTTTAACAGGTCATCAGTAATCTGTAACACAATACATTTTGAACGTACCCCTCCCAGCCCTGTTCTTTAGCACAGACTTGTCACCAAATTAGCCTTCTCATGACATCTCTACTTGTAAGCAGTGAAGACATTTATTTATGAAGCCATCTCGTGATCCAACTTCTTGTGGATAAGTGATAAGTATTAAATAAACATGGTGATTTACCAGCAGATGAAATAAGTGAATCCTTAATTACACCTCCTCCACAAGCAGACAGGCATTTGAGTGGCAGAATGCAGAGAGCACAGAGCGGCCTGGCATTAATCAGCATGGGGTCCACTTCCCACCCGGGCCTCCTCAGAACACACGCCTTAGAAGGACACTGGGAGACCAGAGGTGAGAGAGAAAGAGACAGAAACAAACATGAAATAAAATGAACAATGCCCTTTTCAGTGTAACTTCACCATGTGTGCAGAGATACCACACTCGCTGCTTGCATGCACAGCAAATCAATTTGAGAAATGTTCCTCTTACACACAATGTTGAATACAACGGTCACTTCCTTGCCAACAGTAAACACACACATACACACAGTTCCTCTGTACTGGTGTGTACAGCATCAGCTCTGCAGAGCCCATTCGATCTGTTCTGTGTACCACAACACTAACATGAAAATAAAGCACTCATAAATCTCTCATGGGCAAAAAGATCACGCCATCTGACACGATATTTATGCCAAAGGACGCGTCCACCCCTCACTACAATTCATGTACATATGGCACACTCAAGACGGCAGCTGGTACATGTTTCCTTAAGCATTAAACACCCTGGTGATGACAGATGAATGGAACAACGCTTGAAAGTGGACAAGGCTCTCTCTTCGGTACACAGCTGTGGAAGGCCACACGACTGACCGGCCAGAAAATGTCATTTGGGAAAAGTGACCAGTAAAAAAGTGGAGGGGGAAAAATAACTGTTTCCTGCCTTTATGTGGACGTCACACACTGCACATGTAGAAATGTCCATCCTGCAAATATTACTACAATACGCAGCCCAGTACAACAGCAACCCCTCGAGTGTCTGCCCCCTCAGTTAACTAACTCTAAACAGGAAAGAAAACTAAAATAGAACAGAGCAGTTGTGATTTTAAACAATACAGACCATAAGGCACAGGCCTAAACAGGGCGAAGACGTTGAGAAGATGAGTGAGAGGCTGTGGCAGCACTTAAGAGCAAAACAAGTGGCCATTGCACAACTCAGCAGTGTCCAGAGGCAGCTTACTTGGGAAAACTGATACAGCAATTCCACAGAACCCTGCACCTCACTGGGCTGTTTATATCTCACAGAAACCACTAAAAAGGCAACTTAGCACCAACTAAGCGTGGATTCATTAAGAGGTTACGGGCCCGTTCTGAGCTGTGTGTAACCTGATAGTGTTAAATGCACAACAAATGTTGGATTTAAGTTGAAGGGAACATGACAGTTACGTTACTCTCAGAGAACTGCCCGACAACTCGTTCTCTGACATACAAGTAGCAAAACAAATTACCAAATAACTAATAAACGCACGTTTAAACAGAGTATAAATGCTGAAAAAAATAACCGAAATCATTTTAGTATGAGCTAATTCTGTTGTTCAGTCTGTTTTGGGTACATGTTGAACTGTACGAGGCCTCGTCGAGCGAGACCAGACAGTTAGCTAGCGTTAGCGCTGCTAGCTAAGCTAGGCTAGCCGTTTTACTAACTTCAGGAACAACAGACTCGGACGGCACGAATTAACCCATTACATAAGTTCGTTCTGCAGCAAATTAAGGTGAGAGTGCTCTGTTTGAAGGCAGTTCGCGTGTGTCTGACAGAGTTTGGCGGTAGTAGTTAGTTTTCGTGGTGTTTCCGACGCCGTTGGAGAAGTCTGTTAGCGTGTTAGCGAAATGAGTCTCCACAGCAAAAACTCTTCAGCGATATCAGCTCAGCAGGAACAGAGACGCAGAGCCCCGGCGGCTGAACCCCCACAACGGGGAGGCCGTGCAGGGGAGCCGGCGGGCCAGGCAGGGCCGAGCTTCACAGCGCTTCGGGGGGTGTCTAAACTTACCTCTCAGCTCGGTGTGGAGTTGGAGTACCGATGTGTTTTGCCCGTGAAGCTCCGCTCTAACGCTAACGCTGCTCGGGTGATCTCTCTCCGGACGCCGACCCTCGAGAAGCGGCTATCTCTCCAGAGGACGGCGCATGCTGCACTGGACCTCTCACTCTTTCAAACGGAGCGGCTCACACAGCTTTGCGAGGCTCGACGGACTCAGGCGCTCACATGCGAGTCGAGAAAAAATCGGTCATATTTTCGATTCAAAATGGCGAAGTGTGACGGGAGCGCGCTCTCCGGTTATTTACTGTAGGCAGAGCGCGCTGCTGCTCCTCCTCCTCTCCGAGGGGGGGCGCTGAGGACGCCGCGCTCTGACGGCGCTCGGGAAGAGCTGAGGGTTGCGCGCTGCCTCGGAGCGACAGTGAAATGGGAGTTTCACTCCGTCATGGATCCGTTTGACGGCCCCGAGTCTCACAAGGTAAAGCTGGAGTCTGCGGAGACCAGCGCGGCAGAGACGTGTGTGCCGTGGAGCCGGTTCTCCGCCTGGCTGGAGTGTGTGTGCGTGGTCACCTTCGACCTGGAGCTCGGACAGGCCATAGAGGTAACACAGTAACAGTGACAGTGACGGGGAGTCCTGGACCCCCGGCGAGGCTCCTGCAGCCCCGACAGAGCTGATGAGGTGCCTCTGAAGGCTGCCGGTCTGTTAACGGTTATATAGGCGTTATTAATAAATAAATAAGGACAGCATACAGCTGTATTCATGTTAGTCAGTTAAAACACTGTAGCTGCTGGAGGTGGAGCGTCCCTGTATTCCCCAACAACAGAAACCCTGATTTTTGTTATTAAAGAAGAATCCTACCAAATTTTCAAAATTTCTGAGTAACTTAGTCCTTGAAATGTAAACAGAGTCATAGTGGTTTGATCTGATGTTCATTTGTAAAGAAACTCACAGACTCAGATTAATGGGAACTAGGAGTCGCAATGTATGCAACAAAAATATAACCATTTTATTTACTATCCAAAACCACCAGTGAACTTACACGTGTCTTCTGAGTTTTATATGTAATGTTGATGATGGTAAAGTAGTCATAAATCTGAAAATAATAAGTTGTTTTTGGGGACTGTTTGCCTAACAACGCCCTGCGTGTACCCCTCTGCCATTAATAGATTAAAATAAATGGAATCAAATACATTTTAAGCCAAAACTTTATCACAAGATGTTCATAAAACAATGTGTCAAACATTAAGCAACGTATATCTTTTTCATGTAAGAACATGGACATCTGATTCCTATCACTGCCACTGTGAACAATTCTGACTCTAGGTTTCTCTAGAATGGAGCATTTCGTACCAAACCACTTTGAATGACTTTGTTTACATCTTAACCATTTAATTATATAGAGTTTTTGAAAAATCAGTAGAGTTCCTCTTTATTCTCCTTGTTAGTCTTTTCCATTAGATAAAAGATTTTGTGCTGTAGCATTTAGGGGTGTACTGATACATTCGGCACTTGATTTGATTCAGTTCTCAATACTAGCATCACAATTCAGTGTTCTTAAGATATTTTGAACAAAGAAAAATGATGAGTGTAATCATGTTGTTGCGCAACTTACGAATACTGGAGCTGAAGGAGTACTGGAGTGAGCTGTTAAAGGAGAATTCCACAATATTTCAAAATGTATGCATAATTCAATCATTGACATGTAGACAAAGTTATTCAGATTGGTGTGATGTGCAATGGCTCTCTGTAGAGAAGTTTACAGGCTCAAGATTTCTTAACATTGGTGATGATATGACCCAAGGGTTGTGATGTCTACAACAGAAGTGTAACCGTTTTATTTATTATCCAAAACCGCCAGTGAACTTACATGTGTTTGGGGACTACTTTGCCTTATAACACTCTACCTTAAAAAGTATATTGTAGCCCATAAGTTTATCTCAGAACTATGACAGAGCAATGTCTTGGGCATGTATTTAGTGTAATAACTTTTTGTGAGGGAGCTTTTAGATGCAGACATCTGGTTCCTATCACCACCACTGTGAACAATTTTGACTCACTAAGTTTGTTTAGACTGGAGCCTTTCTCATCAAACCACTCTGATAGTTTACATCTGCATTTATGGAGAACTTGTGGAATTCCCCTTTTATTAAAGCTGATCAGTTGCAAACTTCAGTGTAGTTCACTTCAAATAGTTCACTTGTATTAGATGGCATGATGCATAACAATGCATTCTTACACCCCTAGTAGTGTTTTTTGTTCTGTGCTAAGGGGAGCTCTGTATAGTTTGAGCTGTACTATGATAACTAATAGATCACTGATAGTAGGGGTGGCTAATATGATGATATTTTATCATGATGATAAATTATTTCATAGTATAATAAAAGTCAAATTATTGTACTCACAACTTTGGATATTAGTTTTTAAACATGGCACTATTGGGACTTTTTTGTCAGTTCCAACTTACCAAACTCAGAAAAACTAAACATCATCATATGTATTGTGTATTGTGGAGGAGGTCTTGAAGGATTGTGAAATTATGATTTTGCCATGTCGCCCACTCGTGTCACCCACGCATGTAAATTGTTTACAAAACTTTATGATTATACTATGAGCTCTAACAGATTTATCATTATTAAACCTGTACAAATATTTTCCCTTAATAATTGTTTGTTTGTCACAGTACATTGCTTGTTTTGGTTCTGGTACTTCAGAGTCCTCTCTATGGATTTAGCTGACTTGCTATCTAGGCTCAGCTGAGTCCACACTGTGTAGTGAATTGCTTTTTCTGTTGTCGTTATCCAGCTTGTCTATCCACATGATGTGAAACTTACAGAAAAGGAGGTAAGTGGAGATTTTGCTTGACCAGTTCTGATTATGGATGATTTGTGAATAGTTGCCGTGTACTGTCTGATATGTTTAAAATGTTTTTACTTACTTTCTTTCCCAGAAAACAAGCATATGCTACTTGTCATTCCCTGATTCATACTCAGGTAAGCTGGTGGAGTCTTAACTATGAAAATCCTGTGTGAGTCCAAAATGTCTAAAGTTGTAAATAATTTAATAAAAGTGAAAATATGTTATAAGCTGTTGAATTTAGGTTTCAAGTTTTCATTTTAGTGGTGCATTCCTGTCTAAAACTAGCTTTTAATAGTATTTGTTGTATTACACATTAAATAACATTGACACTGACCAGCAGCTTCAGGTAATGTTAACATCAACAACTAGAATGGGGGAAAAAATGAGATGTCAGTGATTTGGACTGTGATTTTGACCATGGTTGTTGGGCCAGACGGGCTGGTTTGAGTATTTCTATAACTGCTAATCTCCTGAGACTTTCACACAGAACAGTGTTCAGGGTTTACTCAGAATGGTGCAATAAAGAAAAAACATCCCGTAAGCGGCAGTTCTGCAGATAGAAACACCTTTCTGATGAGAGAGGCCAACAAAGAAAGGCTAGACTGGTTTGAGTTGACTGGGCTGAGGCTACCTTGGCTATTATTTCTATCATTTTCCAGTACGAAATGGACATGAGACAAGATTTTTAGAGTTTCAGGTAGTGAAGATAGGTCAGACTGAGGTAGGGTAGTTGTACAGCCCGCTACATTGCTAATTTTAGCTTTTAGTTTGTTGTCCTTCAAATCTGGTGATTCAGTTCTGTCATTTGGGTAATCCATTCTCAACATTGTAGTGATGATCTGAAGGCAGTTGCCACAGTTAAACTGCTGCAATAAGATACTTGGCTTCCTAGCAGTAATGCTGGCTATGTGGCTTCCTTCTGTATTCACCAGTTAGGGGAAAAATAGTTCAAACAGTCTGTTTCCACCAGTTGTAGGTTTTCAAAAGTTCCTCCCACCTTCAAAATACATAATCAGAATGGGGCCTTTCTTAGCTTTCTAAACTGAAAATACTTAGCCTAGAGACTACTGCTGAGCTACTGTATGAGGTGATTAGGAATATTTACAACAATTTTTCATTTTTGCTGGAGTGTTTTGTCTGGAGAGCCAAGATTATTAAAAACAGAGAGTTAAATGAAATGTCTGATTACTGTACTAATTAGAAATGAGTTTTCTTTGTGTTCAGGGAACTTCCCAAAATCCCATACAGTTCCTTTTATATTGTTTCATGTGTTTTAACATTGTGGCTCCCAGATCTGTAAGAGGTGGTGAGGTAAATGTTTTGGGTAAAGATTGTAAAAGAGGAGTTCCATAGGCTAAATCATTTTGTTTTGCAGGTTGTCTTGGAGACACACAATTCAGCTTCAGGCTGCGGCAGTCTGTGGGACGAGTCAGCGGCTCGTGGTTTGGAGAGGAGGACAAATACAACAGAGATGCGCCACTAATACTGCAGGTAAGAAACATATGAGGAGGAACCAATCAGAGTGGATCAGTTCACCATTTTCAGGTCATCACTTCTCTGTTTGTGTTTTGTTTTTTTTTATTAGAAGGAACTGGCACATTTCTACGGCTATGTGTACTTCAGGCAAGTCAAAGATGTCTCTGTCAAAAGGGGCTACTTTCAGAAGGTGAGTATATGAGCTTAAAATCTTAGACCTGCATGCAGGAGCTAATTTATTAATGAGGACACGTAGGAATGAATGTCTTTAGTTCACGGGAAATGGCATGGAACTTATATAACTTTTATTTATTTATTTGAGATCAGTTAGTATTAGTGAATTTTAGCTTTGGATGAATTACTCAGCTTTCTAATATTACACTAAGTCAGAGGTCATCGATTCTAAACTGTGCTCGAACACATCTTGCTAAACCTGGTAATTACATGATGAGTTGAATCAGCTGCATTTAAACAAGGGCATTAACAAACTGTGCTGGACTCCAGATTTTTTTATGTATGTAAATGTAAAGCCAGTGTAAAAAATGCTTAAACAAAATTACCTGATTCTGAAATATTTTAAGAAAAACAAACAGAACAGAAATCTGTTAAATTAATGAAAAAAATATAGTGTAAAGTGTATGCAGTTTACACCATTTCACACATTAAAGCATTCCTTTTGAGTGCTTAAATAATTGTGTGCACAGTATGCTCTAGGCACCACACCATGAATTCCTCACTCATGAGACGCTGTGCAAAATGTAAATAAAAATAGTTTGCAAGGATGTGCAAATCATGTAAACCTATATTTAGTCAAGATAACATATCAAATATTGAAACTGAGAAATTGTATTGTTTTTTGAAAAATATCTGCCCATTGTGAATTTGATGCCAGCAGCATGTTCCAAAAAAGTTGGGACAGGGGCATGTTTTCCACTTGCATCACCTCTTCTTTTAACAACATGTTGAGACCAGCTGCTGTAGTTCTGAAATGTTTTCCCATTCTTGTTTGAAACATTTCGGTGTCTCCTTTTTCATATTTTCGTTTGATGAAGTTTTAAGTAGCGACAAGTCTGGACTGCAGGCAGGCCAGTTTAGCATCTGGACTGGATACTACGGAGCCATGCTGTTGTAATTCGTGCAGAATGTAGTTTGGCATTGTCTTGCTGAAATAAGAAAGGCCCTACCTAAAAAAGATGTCATCTGGATGGCAGCGTATGTTGCCAAACCCTGTATTTATCGTTCAGCATTAATGGTACCTTCACAGATGTGCAAGTCACCCATGCAATGTGTACTAATGCACCATACAGAATCATGTTTGTTTTTAATGCAGTACCGCCTGAGAGATTTCTCTGGATTCTCTGATTCTTTAAATAATATTATGTACTGTAGATGATGAAATCCCCATCTTCTTTACTATTTCATGTTGAGGAGCGTTATTCTTGAATTCTTACACTATTTGCCTGCACGGTCTTTCACACAGGTGAACCGCCGCCCCCACCCATCCATCTTTACTTCTAAAGACTCAGCCTCTCTTGGATGCTCTTTTTATACCCAGTAATGTTACTGACCTGTTGCCAATTAACCACGAGATGTGTTTTAGCATTACACAACTTTTTTGAAATGTGTTGTTGGCATCAAATTGAAAGTGGGCGTATATTAAAAAAAATTCAATATTTGATATGTTGTCTTTGTTAAGTTTTAATGAAATATAGGATTACATTTTGCACTGTGTCCAATTTTTCTTTTGGAAAAGGGGTTGTAGAAAAGTTGTACAATACCTTTATTTGCACAGCAAGCTGTTCTTTCCTTTAATATTTTCCTTGGCATGTACCTGGTCTTCAGCTCCACTTATAATTTGTTTCTTTGTTCTAGTCACTGGTCCTGGTTTCCAGACTGCCATATGTGCAGCTGTTCCAGTCTCTGCTGCAGATCATTGCTCCGGAGTACTTTGAGAAGCTAGAGCCTTGTTTGGAGGCCGGTGAGGACAGCTGGACTACTTTTTGTCTAGTCTTGTATTAACTGTTATTTTGCTATCCAAGTACAAAACTCTAATCTAGATTTAAAGTACTGTTTAGTCATGGACCAGACTCAATCAGTGTGCAGAAAACCCACAGCACAGTGATCTAAGCTATGTTTTTATAAGCAATTTAATGAAAATTTTAATAAAATTTATAAATCTGTTGCAGTTTGTAATGAGATTGACCAGTGGCCCCCACCTGTGCCAGGCCAGACCCTCAATCTACCTGTGATGGGCGTTGTGATGCAGGTGAAGATCCACTAGATGAGGCATAAATGTATTATAAGGATATCCTGCCTGAAATATTATAAGTATATCTTGCATGTAGCTTACTGCAAGAGTGGAACATGTTCTGTCGCTGGATTATGGGTTTAATTTGCTTGTGTTTGATTGCTCTTTTTAAATATTAAATATTGTACACAGTGAAAACATTAGAGTTTAATTTTTTTTATTTTTTACTAGCTTTGCATGGCTAATGTATCTAACAAGTAATGGAAGTTTTCAGTGGTATAGATTTCCATTACATTCGACTCCAGTTCAAAAACGAAGAAGCAAAATTCAGACACCAAACGTGTCTTAGCAGGTTGACTATATTTGCAGTGAAATTTGTGTATGTTTCATTTTTCAGTAAACCATTCCTATAACAGTTTATCTCATCCTTAGAACGTGTAATGCTCTGCTTCCAGGTCAGGATTCCTTCAAAGGATGATAAACCAGGAGGAAGTCCTACCAGACAGGGACAGAAGGAGGTGTGAGCTCAGCTTTCATATGTAAATATGCAGTCATTAGGGATGCCAAGGTTGACTTGTTGATGTAGTCTCATTAGCTTTTCTGTTTCTTTGGTGTTTCAGAATCTTCTCCCTGCCCCCATGGTTCTCCCTACAATCCATGAGCTGGATCTTTTTAAGTAAGCGTGAGGCTGCATGCTTGTGTCTGTTTTATGATTGTTTAACCACCCGCTTCTTAAATAAGAACAAATAAAGGCACTAATATTACATCATTGCTCTGGAGTGACTTAACCTACGTTTGACCTGATCAGGTGCTTCCAGTCCGTCCTGATTCACCTGCAGATGCTCTGGGAGCTGATGTTGCTAGGAGAGCCACTTGTGGTCATGGCACCCTCTCCAACCATCTCCTCGGAGACGGTGCTGGCCTTAGTCAGGTATGGCCATTAGCTTGCGGTCATTGCTGTCCTGTACCCGTTTGTGCACACATGAGGCTGAGAGCATACAAAGAATAAAATTCAAAACTACCAAACCATTGTTTATTGTTTTGATTAACTACTTAAGCACATTTATGATCTGCTAAACTGAAACACACTACATGGCCAAAAGTATATAGACACTCCTTCTTATGGGTGGGTTTGGATAGTTTACTCACATTTATTGCTAACATGAGCATAAAAAAAGGCATACAGCCATGCAATCTCCTTAGATGAACACTGGCAGTGTAATGGGTCGTATTGAGGAGCTCATTGTCTTTCAGTGTGACAGTGTGATCATAGAATGCTACCTTTCCAACGAGTCAGTTTATCTGTTTATCAATTCCTGTCCTGCTAAAACTTCCCCGATCAACTGTAAGTACTTTTAATGTCTACACTAGCTCACAAAAAAGGACCAGTGAGTGCTAAAGTATGCTTTCGGAAAACCCAAGAACTGTCAGCAGAAGAACTGTTCGTCAGGGGCTTCATGAACTGGGTTTCCATTTCTGAGCAGCTGCACACCAACCTAAGAGCATCATGTGCAATTCCAAACATTGCCTGGAGTGCTTTAAAGCATGCTGCTGTAGGATGCTCGAAGAGGAAATGCATTTTCTGGATTAACGAATAACATTTCACCATCTTGTAGTCTGATGGATGAACCTGGGTTTGGTGGATGCCAGACGAAATCTTAAATACAATGGCATTCTAGAGAATCATGTGCTTCAAACTTGGTAGAAACAGTTTGAGTAAGGCCCTTTCCTGTTTCAGCATGACTATGTCTCCATGCACAAAGCAAGGTCAATAAAGACATGGTTTGCTGAGCTTGGTGTGGAAGAACTTGACCTCAACTCATTCAACACCTTTCTGGTGAATTGGACTGCCCACTGTGAGCCAGGTCTTATCGCTCGACATCCGTACCTCATCTTCATAATGCTCTTGTGGCTGAATGCAAATGAATTCCCACAGCCATGTTCCAAAATCTGGGCAAGCCTTTCCAGAAGAGTGGAGGCTGTTATAGCAGCAAAGGGGGACTAACTTCATACATAATGCCCGTGCTTTTGAAACGAGACGTTCATCAGGCATAGATGGATGTGATGTTTGAGTGTCCACATTGTTTAGACCATGTAGCATATATGAGGTTATTTAAATTGTTCCTGTTCCTTTCTTCCCAGCTCCATCAGTCCACTGAGATACTGCTGTGATTTTCGTCCGTACTTTACTATCCATGACAGTGAGTTTAAAGAGTACACCACCAGGACTCAGGCACCGTAAGCACAGATAATTATTATACACAGTTGTTGTATTGTCAGTAAATTTAATTACCATATAATTAAACATTGTAAACAGAATACTCATTAACCAGGCTACACTGGGAGATTAGAGTTTCAACATAATGATTTGACATTATTAGGACTTGTTTAGTGAATATGTTATTATGCACTGGCTTCATTATAGGAACGTTGTTTTGTACCTGATAGAGGACCTGACGTGCCCTCTTCCTTCTTGTTTGTTTGTTTGTTTGTTTGTTTGAATTTACAGGCCTAATGTAATACTGGGTGTTACTAACCCCTTCTTCATCAAGACCTTTCAGTGCTGGCCTCATGTATTGCGTCTCGGCGAGGTGAAGATGTCCGGTGAGAGATCCGTCCTCTGAATCCCTTGTGGTTCCAAACAGTTCTGTCTTGTTGCATCTAATGTTTGATGCCCCTCTTATTTCAGGAGATTTGCCAAAGCAGGTTAAGGTTAAGAAGCTGGCAAAGTTGAAAACACTGGACACAAAACCAGGTACATCTGAAAGTATTCACTCAGCTTCAGTCACCAAATAATACTGAACATTGTAAAATGAATATATGTCTGTGCCCTTCTCATTTCTGTTTTCTGTATTCACACCAAGGCATATACACAGCTTACAAAACATTTCTCCATAAAGACAAAGCCCTCATCAAGAGACTCTTAAAGGTAGGGTAGAGCTGTGGACGATAGGATAGTCTTATTAGGTAACAGAAGTTTTCCCTGTGCAACCTTTCTTTCTCGCTCTCACTGACTTTTTAGGGAATTCAGAGGAAAAGGCCTTCAGAGGTGCAGAGCGCCATCTTGAGGCGGCATCTGTTAGAACTAACACAGAGCTTCATCATTCCACTGGTGAGGACACTGTTTGCCTTGCGTCATTACTTGTGTCAGTTTACTACTATTTTGGGTTGCTCTTTCACAGTGGTTTTTTTTTGCGAGTTGAGACTGTCAAGGATAATAATATATAGCAACGAGGGATACACCGATATGAGAGTTGTGGGCCGATTGAATTGTTTCTTTTTTAACCTATGTTTAACTAGATACACTGAGATTAAAGTCTGTTTTACATGTGAGCCCTGGACAAGAAGGCAGAACACAACAACTAAAATGACAAGCAATAGAGGGACCAAAAACAAATGAACAAAAAAAGCATAACTATAAGTCAGTTAATAGTAAAAGCAAACATAATAATACAGTTGTTTTATTAGTTATCTTAAAATCAGTCAGGGAGATAAATTGATCCAATTTCAAATGATTCATTGTTAATTCCAAGTTGGATATTCCAAGTTGATGAAGCACTATAACTAAACCCTGCCTTACCATATTCAGACTGTACTAACCTAATGTGATGCTAACATACTAACAAAATATGTATTTAAATATAGCCATTAGAATGTAGATTGTATGGATTCTTGTTTGTTAATAAAAATATGGAGAAATATGAAGGAAGCTAACCAATAATAGCTTTACACACAAAAGTAATCCAATGTGTTTGTCTTTGCTCTGAAAGTGGAGGCCAACCAGATGATAACTTTATAAATGACCAAAGGATGACCATATCTAATATTTACGTACGTACAGAAATATTTAAAAACATATACACTCCCATGCAAAAAAAAACAAAAACGTCCAAGCCTAAAATGGCAAAACATTAAATTTTTAATGTATTAACAACAAATCAATCAATAAATAAATAGATAAAGTAACTTAGCATGGAAGAGCTTTTCTCTTTAATTTCTTGAAATGTTAAAGTCTTGTAGGTAAACCTGCAGACAATCATTTACAGAAAGAAGAGTCAAAAATTTTCCACTCAGCACTGATGGCTTCAAACAGTTGAAAAACATTCTCTATAGGGTTTGAATCTGGACCAGCTCAAAACCATCAGTAAAAACCATTATATTTTGTGCTTGGCCCATTTTTTGCATAGGAGTGTAGAAGTTGGTACTAGATCTACTTGGGAAAGGATATAAATGCAGTATAATGAATAAAATGCAGACATTTTAGAATAGTAGCATTGCCTAAGCTTTCTGCTTTTCCAGAGTATAATAAAAATCACAAATATCAGATATTCACAACATCAGTTTGAAATGTAGGTCAAATCTAAATGTGTGTCTGATGCTGGTATTTGTTTGTTAAGCAATTATCTGCAGATACCAATACAATTCATATTGTTCTAATATTGTGGATCATCATGCATCCCTCATAACTATGGATAAAACTCTCGCCTCTCTATCTACCACACGCTTGTGTTGTTTTGTAGGAGCGATATCTGGCCAGCCTGATGCCACTGCAGAGATCTGTGACTCCTTGGAAGGTTAGCTGATGGAGCACACACAGACTGAAACACATGGACTCTAATCACTGTATTCAAAAAAATGGAACAGTAAACGTAAGTAGATAAAGACACTGTTTGTACATCTCTTAGACTCCTCCTCAGATCCGACCCTTCAGTCAGGACGAGTTTATGGCCACTCTGGATCATGCTGGGCCACAACTTACCTCCATGCTCAAAGGGGACTGGATGGGCCTTTACAAGTAACACACTATTATTTTAGTTTTTCAGTGGATTGATTTACCCTGGCTTTAAAGATACTGACATGCCTATGTAGTGCCTATCTTTATAATCTGTATTATCTTGTACAACAGTGCTGTTCTCGTGTAGACACTTACTTCATTACTATTACTTCAGTGGTGTTTGCTGTGCAGTTACGTTTTCTGGATCAGTATTAATGTACAGATGGTTGTGTTGTTTTAAGGCGATTCTTCCGGTCTCCTAACTTTGATGGCTGGTATCGTCTCAGACATCGGGAAATGACTCAAAAAGTGGAATGTCTTCATTTAGAAGCTATCTGTGATGCTGTGAGTACTGGATCAAAAGGAAAATGAATTAAGAGTATGTCATTGATTAAGAATAGATAATATATTAGTAAATATATTATTTTCAAATATATGGTACTGTAAAAAAAATTAGGCAGCCGAGAAATTTGTTTACTAATAATCTCAGCAGTAAGTGTGTTTTTAGCAGTGAAACTTTATATTGCATTAGCATAAACACAAATAACATAAGTACAGTAAAATATAACAAGAATGTTTGTTATTAATATGTTAGGAGAATACAGTTAAAACACTAGTTTAGTTCTTTACTTCTCCTTGCACTCCACTGCATGTATTTGTTAAATTTCATCAGCAGCACTTGATTTCATTAAATGAAGCATTAATTAGCTACAGCAGCTACTGGATGGTAACTGCAAATACTGGACTTCTTCAAGGAGAGCTTTAGAAATGGTTAGACTAACGCACACATAAAATTACAATGTATTGTTGGGTTGTTTATTTGTATTAATTCTAATGTTAGTCAGTTTTTAACAAATAAATGCTTGCTGCCCAGATAAATGGGTTTACGTATTATTTTTATTTTGACAGATGCCTAAGAAGTTTGCACAGAACTGTACCATCAAATGAAAAATTTTAAAGAGCCCCTACGGAAATTACGTTTTGTTGATTTTCTAAGTGAAAATAAGTTAACACATCTTCTACAGGGAACAATTTAAACATTGCATTTTTTCTGCTGTAAAATGTGAATTAATAAAATATATATTTTATAATAAATCTTCTGCACAAGCCACATATGTTTTTTTCCAGTATGTTAAATTCAGCAGATAAACAGTAATTGTGCATTAAAATGTGCAGAAGTGTGTTCTCTGTAGATGTGTTTTCACTAATCAACTAAACATGTCATTTGACCAGGGGTGTTCAAACTTTTGCATAAGACTGCATATTCATATATATTATTTTGGCACAATTAGCTTATTCTTGTACTGTATGTTGGTTATTTTGTTGCTAATCACTACATTTTTATTGCTTTTTAGGATCTGCTGAGTTGGACCAAAGACAAGTCAGAGGTGGAGATCGTTGACCTCGTTTTAAAATTGCGGGAGAAGCTGGTTAGTGATAACACTGTGTTCTTTTGGGGAATTAGCAATTACTGTGGACAAACATATTCAACTGAAAGAGCACTGAAAGACTTGAAAATGCTATCAGTCCTAATAACACAAGCCTGTTGTTTGTAGAGTAGCTGTGCTGTCTCGCTGCACTGTTATGCAAACAGTTTCTGTAAGAAGCCTCTGATGGGCTTTCTTCATAAAGAGGCTGCTGCTGTTTTCCTACTTCAGTGAGTGGAAGATGGTTGAGTTCTTGGACTTTTATTTTTGCCAAGTTGTTCTTATAACACAGTACATTTGTACTTGTTGCAGAGTTTGCCTGCATAATTCTTGTAATGTGTGCCATTTCATCACAATAGGATTATTAGTTGCACTGAATGTGGATGTGAAGGGTGTTTGTGATCTTTTGAGCTACTTTAAGCTACTTTTCCCACCTAAGTGTTAACAGTAACACTTTGTGCTCCTAATAGTTTGTTTTTTTCAGTGGAATCTAGATGGTGCTTGTTGGGACATAAACAAATGATTTATAATTTTACATCTTTCATTGCAGTCACTATTATTTTTGGTGCAGTGGCCACCACTTTCTTGTTTTTATCTATTTTAGCTTGATTCTTAATCTTATGTATTCATTAGCTTACTCCTTGTGAAAGAATAGAACTGACTGTAGGTTCCTCTCTCCTTCTTTTCTTCCTCTGCTCCAGATGAGAGCTCGTAAACATCACCTTCCAGTGAAGGAGGAGCTGCTAGAGAAGCTGGAAAACTACATTCAGATTGTGATCAGCTCTCTGCCTGAGGATCTACAGACAGTACTGCACAAACACTGACAAAGAGACATACAATCCCACACTCACTGATCAAAAGGGGCTTTGACACTCAAAAAAAAAAAACGAAGCTACTTATAAGGACCATCAATCGCACAGTTACCAGGAGACTGACAGAACCACACACTACAGTGCTGACATTAACCAGCACCAGCAAAGCATCTGAAAAATGAATAGGTACCAACTGTTTGACTTACAAGAGCCACTCAAGACTATAAGACTTACAGTTTATCATTGCTATGATAGATCAAGAAGTGTTTTCAGGGTTTCTGTTCAGTCCTGTAAAAATGAAGGTGTGGTGCCGAAGCAGTTCTCATGTCTGATCTAGACACCTGCAATTTAAGTTACACCATAATTGAGTTTATACTTTTTTAATCATCATTAGTTGTAGTGATTAGTATATTGTCATACCAGGTCCAAGCATAGTTTTACGAAAATGCTCTTAAAGCACTTTTAGGCTGGTCAAACATTTTGGCATATTGACCACCATTTCAAACTGTTCAGGCTTTGCTGAGCTACTGTGCTAAAAGGCCTGCATTTTATTAATCTTACTGCATTTGTAATGACACGCTACGTTTCTCTGTAATGCTAATCCAGGTAGATTTAGTCCCAATTTCTACATTTTATAAACGTTTATGTATCACATCAGCAGATATGTACATGAAAAATATTGAATATCGCTGCATCCCTACCACACACACAGAAAATATGCTAATGTTTCTGAGTAGTGCTGATCACAGTAGCTGTGCACATATAGATTTAAATAAAAAAAATGGTAAAGTACAACTCTGACATTTTGGCAGATCTTGCATTTCACTTGTGTGGCAAGTAATAGATTACAAATGGGTGACTTTAACTGATTTTATATTGGAAATGCTTCAAAGTTGAACATGTCTGTAATGCAGCCAAAATGTAAGAAATAACTTTCCAGAAAGCATGTTTGTAATACTTGGCATTGGAGCTTTTGCTCATGCTGGAGATCTACTAATTGAAAACAAGGTTCTCCATTAGTAGAAATAGTGATGAAAACCCAAAAACCAGTTACCACTGACAATGCCTATGCTTACATTTCGCTCTGCAAACTTTATATAGAAACGTTTTCATTCCAAATGTGTTTCAGCATCATAATAAGGCTGTACAGTGATATGCAAAAGTTTGAGTACTCGTGGTCAAATTACATGTTTTGTTGATTTTCTAAGTGAAAATATTTTAACACACCCTCTCCAGGAAACAAACTTTTTTTGCAAATAAACTGTAAAATCTAAAATATGAAATTGTTTCCACAGGCCATATTTTATGCACTTTCCCCAAAATGTTAAACTTAGCAAATAAACAGTAATTCTACATTAAAATGTGCAGAAGTGTGTTCTCTGTAAAAGATGTGTAACTTATTTTCACTAAGAAAATCAACAAAATGTGATTTGACCAGAGGCGCCCAACTTTTGCATACGACCACATGTTAAAATGTCAGAGTTGTCATTTAGAAGTTACAGAACAGCAAAGGAAAAAAATAATAATAGTCTAATAAAGATCTAACCTTTTTAGTAGTACCACTGTTATGGAACGTGTTCTTCCGTTTGGAGAATGCGGGTATATGTCCAGTACAAATTTCTTCTAGTTAGTCTAAGAGCCAGCAACATTAATTTACGCACAACCAATCAGCCTTGATCAAGAAGTCCATATGTTCACAAGGTAAAGTGTCAAGACAGCTAGAGCTTGTCAAGACTATGCAGCTAATATAATGTTTAGTTAATATTAAGGAACAAAAAGGGGAACTCCACCAATTTTTCAAAATTTCTGCATGATTTAATGGTTAAGATGTGAACAAATTCATTCAGAGTGGTTTGGTGTAAAATGCTTTGTTCTAGAGAAACTTGCAGAGTCAGAATTGTTCACAGTGGTGATGATATGAACTAGACATTGTTTTACGGTAGTTTCGTGATAAAGTTTTACATCAAACCACTCTGAATGAATTTATTTACATCTCAATGATTGAATTATGCAAACATTTTGAAAAATCAGTGGAATTCCCCTTCAACATTAGTAGATGTAGACGATTTCATGGAGAGTAGAAGTAAAGGTTCACAGAGATCTGTGTTCTGGATGAATGTCTTTCTTTAGGACGGGTGCAGCAAGTAACTTAAGTGACCTCCCATTACCCTCATTGTTACAAGCCTTGTAGACAGCAGTGAGCCTGTAATATGGACGTACAAGCAAAATGAATACCTTTCAAAACACAAGTGCAGTAGTGACCTCATATGATACTTGACGTTCAATCTTTCATTGTGGCCACAGAAATAAAAAATATTTCCTCTAGTTTAGGACTGTCTCTATTTTGTTTTAGCACTTTATATGATCTCAGAGGTGCCACAACCCTCCAGGCTAACATTTGGAAAATAATCATCGTTTAGACATTGACAAATGAAGCTTACACTGAAGTACACACTTAAAAAAGATGTTCTATCAGTTCTATACAGAACCATTTTATGGTTAAATGGTTCTTTGCATGGTGAAATTGTTCACCAGATTGATGGAGAATGTGTTGTGTATGGTTCTAAGTAGACCCTTCTTAAAAGTGCTTCTATATAGCACCAAAAAGGGTTACAAGCTTGACCTTGTAACAATAGCAGAAGCCTTTTTGGTGCTATACACAACATTCTCCATCGACCTGAAGAACCATTGCCTTTACTAGAGAACCTTTCGAAGAACTGTCTTTTTTTAAGTGTTTAGTGTAGACATATAGGCTGCTTAAAGTAGAGTTTATCTGTGAATGAATCTGTGGCATTACTGTATTTATTCTAGTTGGCTGTTTGTAGCTCCAGACTGAAATGAGGGTTTAATCAGCCACTTTAAGAGACGAACAGGACTCATCACTACTACTGTCACACGAAAAAGGACATCACCTTCACTACAGGCTACTTGAATCTCTGTAAATATTGCTTTGTAGAGTATGAGTGTTGTCTGTCTGCTTAAGTGAATGCCTTACTTGGATATCTTGGGCCAGGTTTCAAAAGACTTGAAATCTGCAGCTGTGCCAGCACCGGTGTGTTTATACAACTAGAAAACCGAACCTCAACTTGTACTTCATAATTATTTTTGTTTCTCTACAGTTTTTGTGCATCAGGTTTTATCTACTTCTGTTAGTATGGTCTGCCAAATTAGAGCCTACCCTTTTTGTTTTTTGTTTGTTTGTTTTTTTTCCAAATAAATTGCCAAGCAGTAAGATGTTGTTAGATGTGAGATGAGCTGAATGTAATACCTATAAACAGGGCACACTGGTGCATTCTGAATATTGTAACACTTTTTGGAAGCTTAAACAATCTTGAATGTATGGATAAGTATCTGGATTATCAAGTACAGTGTCAGTAGACTGCTGGTGTGTTGCTTAACCCTGTTCCAAGTTCCCAATATTATATTGAAATATTTGGAATGTCTTATTTGACAGTTACCCAACTCACATCAGTCCTTTACTGTTTATGTAGGTATTTATATTATTTATCTATTTTGTGTTTACTGTGAGAATGTTGTCAGCTCTTGTTTGGATTTTAATGTATGGATGTATGAGTGTGTTAATGAAAATGTGGTAGAATAAAGGTGTTACTGTTCATAGTTGCATAATTATTCATGGTTAAAACCCTGCAAAGAAAACTTACAGGCTGCACTGAACAGGCATCCCATCAGTGAACAACAGAGTCCAACACCTTGATAAGGGGAGAAAGTAGTTTTAATTTCACTGTTTTAAATCAAGGATCCAAAATATACATTTGAAGATACTCTATAACCCATCTATAGCAAAAAAATCAAATCTGTACAAAACATACAACTAATTATTACTTTTAGATACAGAAGGTGCAACACTGCAATTATGTGACATTTGGTTGGACAGTGATGGAAAATGAAAAATATGAAGCCTAAGTAGAGGCCAAGGATAACAAAGATGGTTAGTGTTTTCAGTCCGCCAACATGCATGATTGACCTCACAGAGGGTTTGATAATTAACTGATGTTTTCAATCAGAAGTCTTTGTGCAGGGCAAACACTACACTGGAATGTTATGAAGGGCTGTAGTATAATGCTTTTATGACTAGGGGTGGGCAATACAGCAAAAATACAAGATCATAGTAACTTAAAGACATTATCATAATGCAGGGTATGTATCACACTACTTAATTCTTCTGAGGTTTTAAGTTAGAACTGATAGAATGCCCCAGCATTTCCTCAGTTAAACAAAATTAAAAAACATTAAAAACTATGAATTCAATGTTTTTTATTGAACATTTCAAATTGGTGTGCTGCAATAAATTCAATGAAACAAGCTTTCCTGCTCGCTGAGTAATGAAACATGCAGTTGTTCAATGTTTTTAAGTACTGTGTATATCTACAATATGCTTATAAAAGCATACTGTAGTGTGTGATGTAATATAACAATATGATTTAATATTGTCATATTTCCCACCCCTAATTACAACCATAATCTGAATATCAATATGCATGGATACAGAAATTGTTGAGGATGCTTACAAAAAAAAGCAAAATAATGTCAGTGTCTGCATGGTTATGAAATCTGATACTTCCTCTGGCTAAGTTTTAATCTATTTGAGGTTCTCAGGTCACTGCAAACAGCAGCACACCTGACGCTTTCTTTGGTATTGCTTAATAATTACACACGTCTGTACAAGTTCTAATTGTAGTGGTTGTAGCTCCTGGAGCGCGCAGATCTTTCACAAGAGAGAAAACCAAATAATGGCTGTCTCTGCCTCTTGTGTGTATGTCCTAGTAAATGTCTTACCTCAGTTAGGAGCAAGATAAAACGATTATTCATGTGGATTGTGAGAGACAACACAAACTTTATGAGCTTTAACAGAACAGGAAAGTTAATCGTCATACAGGTAATGCACATAATTTGGTACTTCAGAACAGAAAGCAGAAACCCTGAAAAACGTGACTCGTCTATTACAAAATAAATTAACCCTTTCAGCGTTCTCCGACTTAATTCATCATCTCTTCCCAGCCGTCCACCAGCTCTGTCCTTGCTGCTTCACAACAGCCTGTTTTTCTTGAGGGCTGAAGTGAAGGATGGTCAGGATGGCTGTGAGTGTTTGCTGACGCCCTCTAGAGTCCTGGAGCGTGAGGAACCTGTAGATGACATTCTTAAGATATTCCAAGTTGGCTCCATCTCTGCCCTGGTCGCGAATACGCTTGTCCAGTTGCGCCCGTATCTCGGCCACCTCCTCTTCATGTCTCTCACCGTTAGCGATCAACTTCCCTTGCAGCTGATGCAGGTCTTCCTCCAGCCGATGCTTCTGTTTGCGCAAGGCGGCAATCTCTACCTCCTTCCGGGCCAGCTGTTCAGCATACAGCAATAAAGTGGGCTCATTTGGGCCAACTAGCTTCAGCGCCTGAGCAATGATCTCACTCTCTTCATGAGCAGGATCACCACCTTCTACGTCATCTCCATCCACTCCACCTCCTCTCTCTGCTGTGCCATCACCTGCGCTCTGCCTTCGAAGGCCAATCATTGTAGTGGCTCGGAGCTGTTCCAGTTCGAGGTCCTTCTCTGCGAGAAGGGCCATGGTGCGATCCCTCTGCTTGTGCATCTCTTCCTCCAGACGTAGGAAGTTCTCTCTGTGTTGAGCATCCAGTTTCTCCAGCTCCTGTTTATGGGCCTGCTGAAGGGCCATCAACCCCTGCTGGCGCTCCTCCAGCTCTCGCTTGTGCCGGGCCTCGGCCTCGTCAGAGTGAATGCGCAGGTTGATGTATTTCTCTTTCAGTTCGGCCAGCTGGTCACGGGCCTCCTCAAGCTCCTTGGCTTGGTTGCCATCTTTTGTGTTTTTGTTCTTCAGAACCACTTGTGCCCGTACTTTGTAACGCTCAAACTCCTCCTTCAGCTGACGCAGCTCTTGCTGGTAATACAGCACTGAAGCCTTCTCTCCGTCCGAGACTTCACCTCCTTGCACTGTATCCCCCTCTATCAGCTTCTCAATCTCTAAAGTTTGGTCCTGAGACCTTTGTGCAGCCAGCTGTAGCAGCTTCTTCACTTTCTCCAGCTTGTCTTTAAGCACATTCACGTCTAGGTTTGTTTCATCAATACCAAGGTCCGACGTGGTGGTCCTAGTGCTGACTGCGATGGCCAGAGTCTTGTTCTCCGTGTCCAGCTGAAGGATGCGCTCCCGTAGCCTCTGAGCATTCTGTTGGTCTTTTTGCCTGGCCTTCTCGCAAGCACCCAGTAACTCCGACAGCTCAGAGACCCTCTCCTCAAGACTGGCCACTCGCGCCTCCTCCAACTGTGCCCGCTCCCGCAAACGCTCTTCTGTCTGAGCAACCTGCAAAGATATGTGTATAAAACGCTATTACATAAATCTTGAATACATTTCATTTTTCATTCATACAGAGCAAAAAAAGGTATGGAAAGGAGATGTTACCTATAAAAATGGACAAAAATACTGCTACTTCTAAAGTTCTTAGCTCTGCTATATACTTTAGTCTATTTTTACAGTACGATATATAATATTTACAATGTCATACATTGTCAGAATCTATGTAATCAAGTCTATTTGAGATCAAATAGACTACTCAACAACTTGATGCCATTTGAAACAAGTGCGTCATGAATTAAACAAGTGGTTTGAACAATGCCAAACAGTGACTATAAGCTTCTATCACTTGCTAGCAACATTACTCCCATCACACCACTGAAAAACTAAAGGAGCAAACTTCAGGTACCAAACATGTCTGGGCTGATTGACAATATTTGGGATTTGGATGAAACTGGATTTCTAGGTGAATTATTGCACATTTCTCAAGTGATCATAAGCTCACATTTAATTCAAATCTACATAATAGTTGTAAGTGAGGTATAAAATGACAGCAGGACTATCATTCATTAAAGCCATACCTTCCTAATCTCATGCTGAATCTGTTGATTAAAGTGTGCTTTGAGGTCAGCAATCTCTTGCTGCAGCTCCTCCACCCGTGGATCAGGCTTACTCCTCTCACTCTCTGAGGCCTGTAAACTCTTTCTCAGCATCTCACAATCCTCAGCCATCTTCCTCAACTGTTCCTCACAATCCAGCCCCCTGTCAGCAGCTTTCATGGCTTCCACCAGGGATTCTCTGGTATCCTCCAGTTTGAGTTCAGCATCTTGCCTCAAGCTCCTCTCCTCCTGCAGGAGTTTCTGAAGCTCGCGGAGCATGTGGGCATGATCGCCCTGCTCCTGCTCTCGCTCGTGCTGCTGCGTGATGACGCGGGCCTTGCTCTCCACAAGCTGCTCCTGTAAAGCCTGGAGCTCGTTCTGGTGCTGCTTGTGGGCCTCCTCCATCTTCCCCTGCATCTCCTCCAGCTCTTGCTTCATCTTCCGCTTGTCTGCTTGGTAGGAAGCCTCCATCCTAGACTTTTCCTGAGTGACTGTGGCCAAGGATGTCGTCAAAGTAGACAACTGGGTCTTGAGCTGCATCACCCGACGGTCCGTCTCAGCTACTGCTGAGGCAACAGGTTGCTCTATACCAGTACTGCTGCTGGAACTGACACCACTCTCCGAACCGCTTGCCTCCTCTGACTGCTGGATGACAGAAGGCACTGCAGACCCTGGCACAGCTCCTTCTGCAGGGCCACTCTGGTCCTCCTCTGCAGGGTCTCCCTTAGTGCTGTTACTGGTCACGCTGGTGGCTGTGTCAACAGAAGCTGCAGTGTCCACGCTGTCCTCACTGTGAAGGGAACAGTGGTCATCTGCAAGGTCAGTGGGTACTGGGCACTCTGTTTGGCCACTGCATACACCGGAAGATGGGTCATTGCTGTGCAGACTTATATCCGCCTCCTGAGATACAGTGAGGACTTTTAGGCTAGCTTCCAAAGCTTCTTTCTCCTTCAGTAAACTCTTATAGGCTCTGACAACATCTTTAAATCGAGTCTGATATTTGAGGAGCTCCTTCTTCTGGGCCTCTATTGTCTCAAGCAGTTCTTTCTTGCTTGGGCCTCCCCCAAAGCTCATACCAAACTTCTCCATGATGAGGATGCAGTCACAGTGGTTTCATAGTCAAACCTGCAAAACAGGTAAACCTGTAGAGGCGTAAAAGAGCAAGTGGAAATGTGATCGTAACTACAAAGCTGATTATTTCAACAAATATTTAGTTTGTCAATAATGTAATGAATGCTTCAAGCCAAGTGGTCCACAGTTCTTCTCCTGGGGTTACTATGCATTTTACACTTTAGCATTTCCCCACTCTGACCACTAAATGAATTTCAAAATGCATTGAAATAAAAAGTTTTATGTGGCATTTAAATAGTGTTAAAGTTTCAAAACAGTGAAATGAACAGTCCATATATTGAAACTAAGTTGCAAAAACAGCACTTTTTGAATTCAATACATTTAAATAGGTGCACTTGTTAAGCCTTCCAGCCCATTCACACTGAAGTTATATTGTTTCAGCCCGCACTGCTCTTTCAATGAGGCACATTAGAGAAGCCAATCAGAATAGAGTCGATTTACATATTTACATATGTCAGTCGCATTAAAACAAACAGCCTGTTTAAAGGGATAAGGAGACGGTGAAAACTGCCACATAAAAGTGAATGACAGATTTTGGTACATAAGCCTACACAACTATCATTCATTAAAAAAGTAAAACACAAGAAAAACGTAAGATACGAGCCCTTTAAACTGAAAAAGCAAACATCTGCAAATTACAACAGAGCACAAACTGCAGCTGTAATTGTGGTACTCAGTTATTTAACTGGACAAATCTGCCCTAATTAGTAAATCGGGGTTTGCTCAACACGTTAATGAAATCTTACGTGTAAAAATCCCCCCTCTCTCTCTCTCTCTCTCTCTCTCCCCCTCTCTCTCATCACTGTCCTCGGTTTACTAGCTAGTTGGTGTAAGCGGACCGCTGTTATCATAACACTTAGCCAGCTAGCTACACCAAAGGCTAACGAAAACAAACCCAGAGGACAGTCTGACACCGGAGAGCACGACCTCACAGTCTCACCAGCAACACCGGAAGCACATTCTTCACATTATTCTGCAGTTTAAAATGATTAAAACCGGTACCTAAAGAGTAAAAGTCTGTCAGCAACGTGTCAACAGCACTCCGTCTCTTCCTGTTTCACTCACAGACTCACAGGACGTGACGTCCTCAACACTTCGGCCTGATATTGCTGTTTAAAATCACTACCGCCTTTTCTTTACGTTCTTTTAAATACAGATCCAAAAGTCGTTGGTGCGCGCGCGTTCATTCCTTACATTCGTCAAGACAATCATATGTAACTATATGTGTGAGTTCGTCAGGACTGTCGACTCCGAGTCCGAGTCCAAGCGAAGGAAATTAACGGAGTCGATTCCAAAAGTCGATTCCACACAATCGTTTTATCGATTCTCGATTCCTGAAAGTAAAACGCAGGAAAAGAGATCTGACGACATAAAAGTACAATATCAAGTAGTCCTATATAATGACAAGAGATTTACTGAATACTGAAAACTGATATACGGCAATATGTGGGTTAATATATGTCATAAATTAGCATGGATGGATTTCCCTTTGATCCAACTTATATTTATCTTTATATGAACATATATGTGACATATATACTAACTTATTAGGAATTGCTCACTGTCAAATATAGGACGTACATTTCAGCCATATATAGATGTTCAACAATATAGCCTATGATAGAAAATTATTAATATGTGGAGGCCATACATTGCTCATATGTGCCAACTTCGTGTTATATAAGGTCTTAGGTATCTTCCTAGTTTCTTCCACATACTTCCTAATCAAGTTAAAATTCGTATAATACTTTTATAATTAACTAAACCCCAAAAGAATGCACATTATACAATGAAAGCGTTAAAAAATGAAATAAAGACGAATATTGTTCCTAGACACATTAAAATCTTCGAAGGCACATTAAATTTAATTTAAAAGCACAGCTTAGTAACTGTTCTGGAATGTACTTAACCATGTATTTGATATGTATGATCCGTATATTATGCATATATGTCCAATATTTGATACTTTCATATGTGTACACAGCATGTACGTACATATATATGCTTGACACGTCATGATATATACATGTATCAGATTTCTGTATGGGCCACCTCACTTGTTCTGAGGTTCTAACTAAATTGATTTCTCTGTCATCTTCGTGTAATAAGATGTTTTTCACTTTGTGCAAAGTAAAATCCAGCCTAGTCTGCTGTGTGTTTTGTGTAGGTTGTCTAGAGAGCAGAACATTTCACTCTGCGTGCGTGTAAATCGTGTTCAAAGTTTTGGAGTCGACTCTCGAATCGGAGAATCGAATCTCTTTGAGATTGACTCCCAGCCATGGCGTGACTTTTTCTATTCCTTTTCAGCATCAAATGTGATAGAACAGCATGAGCAACTTCAGTGAGAATAATTAGATCAAAATACATATCCTAACTAAGTCAGGCTTTGACTTAACACTTTAACCCTGTCATTTTGCTAAATGGGTTCTAGGTTGTGTTTTTTTTTTGATGTCAATATTAACATTATGGATGTAATCCATAACTACAAACATAAAAAAATGTCCACCTTGAGCAAGATCCTAAACAAGTTTTTTTTTAGGAGGAGGAGGCCATGCAAGTGTAACTTTGAAATATTCTTTATTCTTAACTTAATTCACTTTTATATCTCAAGTCTAGTCAGGTGGTCTTTATTGTCATTCCACAATATAACTTGTATACATTGTAATGAATGTCCATTTTATCAGCTCCACTTACCATATAGGTGCACTTTGTAGTTCTACAGTTACAGACTGTAGTCCATCTGTTTCTCTGCATACTTAGCCCCTTTTACCCTGTTCTTCAGTGGTCAGGACCTCCACAGGGCCACCACAGAGCAGGTATTATTTGAGTGGTGGATCATTCTCAGCACTGCAGTGACACTGACGTGGTGGTGGTGTGTTAGTGTGTGTTGCGCTGGTCTGGAGACACAGCAGTGCTGCTGGAGTTTTTAAACACCTCAGTGTCACTGCTGGACTGAGAATAGTCCACCAACCAAAAATATCCAGCCAACAGCGTCCTGTGGGCAGTGTCCTGTGACCACTGATGAAGGACTAGAGGATGACCAACACAAACTGTGCAGCAGCAGATGAGCTATCATCTCTGACTTTACATCTACAAGGTGGACTGACAAGGTAGGAGTGTCTAATAGAGTGGACAGTGAGTGGACACAGTGTTTAAAAACTTCAGCAGCACTGCTGTGTCTGATCCACTCGTACCAGCACAACACACACTAACACACCACCACGTCAGTGTTGCTGCAATCCTGAGAATGACCCACTATCCAAATAATGCACTGAAATGGAAATTGTAGACCAATACAAATATCCGAAATTTTTCATGTTCATATCTGCTGATGCTGCAGCTGATGCATAAACATTTATAGAACGTAGATATTGGGCTTAATCCACCTGGAGTAGTATAACAGGAAAAAAGTCAGCATCGCCTAAACATCCTGGTCTTCCAGAGTAAAATAAATACTTCAGCAAATGTTGGTTTAAAATATTGCTCTAAACCTAAATCTAAACATCTGTTGGATATTTTTAAAGCAAATATTTGCTGATGTCGGTACATGAAAATGAATTTATAACATAAATCTGTTTTGAATATCAATTTTACATCAAAGACCTATTTGTGGTCAGGAAAAGTATCTGTAGAATCTCATTTGTTTTCTCTCTAGGATGTAAGTGCATATTTTTAGTTCGTTCTGAATGTAATAATATAATAAGAAGATAATTGCTCATAGTTTTAAGCATTGTATTTTACATACTACCTCAGAATGCCACTCCAAGTTTTCATACTCTATGACTCTATGAACTGTCACTGAACTGTCAAAGCGCTAAACTTAGAGAAAGAGCAGATTGGACAGGAGCAGAGAGGAACAGCAGCCAAAAAAGCTGAAAGGAAACTAAGTGGAAGACAAAGATGTGCTGGACAAATATTTCATTTGGGGGTAAGTTACTCTGACAGTATTTGCTGGGCAGCATTTGGATGAACGTTGCAGTAAGTTCCTGTTCTGAAACATTTCCGCCACATTTCTTCCTCATTTTCCTCCAAGGGTCACTTCTTCCAGATGGTTCTATTAGACTCTTTGTCTCTTCTGTCTTGAAGTTGGTCATTCCATAATTTCCCAGCTGAAGGATCCATTCCATTAGTCTATGAAGGACCTTCAGTCACACTGTACACTTAGATTAGTTGACTTTACTATAAAAACATCACACAAACGTATTGCCTCAAAAGAATCAATTAAATTTACTTAACAGGCTCAAGCTTAAATAACTTTATGTTTGAGTTACAGTTTCTGTCTAATTTTCAGTGGTCGACATTTTTGGTGCAAGTAAGGTTAACTCAAACAGCCCAATAATTATAATGGTGTCTGGCAAGGCTCATGTTGTGCTTTCTCTAGAATTAGTTAGGATAACTTGTATCACATACTCTCTCTTGTGTACAACCCTGTTTGCCAAAAAGTTGGGACGCTGTGCAAAATGTAAATAAAAACCAAATGAAATGATATGCAAATCATTTAAACCCTACATTTAATTGTAAATAGTACAAAGTCAACATATCAAATGTTGAAATTAAGAAATTTTAATTGTTTTTTGAAAAGTAAATGGCCACCAGCAACATATTCCAAAAAAGTTGGGACAGGGGCATGTTTACCACAGTGTTACATCAGCTCTTCTTCTAAAACTGTAAGCGTTTGGGAACTGAGGAGACCAACTGCTGTAATTTTGAAAGTGAAATGTTTCCCATTCTTGCTTGATATGGCTTTTAACTGACTTGGACTTCAGGCTAAAATTCTTTTGCCTTGAGTGACTCTATACTTTAATTATGCATATTTTTGTCAAATAAATGACTGAACATTCTATTTTGTCACTACCAAAATAATCATAACACTACAGAAACTTTACCAAATGTTTCAGTAGTGACATTTTTAGCTTATTTTGAGCAGAACTCAAAATGCTAGCCAGTACATGACTAGCAAACACACCAATGAACTGTTATACATGCTGCAAATCATAGTATTTTCATTAAAACACAAAAACCTTTACTTTTACTATTTTTCAGATATTTGGACACATTTACTTCAAAACAATGAGATCTAACTGGTCATCATGTGGCCATGAGGGACAGGGATGCAGTCTCACTCACTTTGGCCACACCCCTGCTCCAAAAAGATCTAAAATGATCCATTTTGAGCTCAGGCTTACTTTAAGGTTAGTGGTTGGAACAGGCAGACAGACACACAATCCTTTTAGGTTCTAAAGGCAAGATACTGGTGTTTTGATACAAAGAACACCCAAAACTATAAAGCACACCAGTTTCTTTATTAAGTACTTTATTCAGCATCTATATCTTTTAGATCAACAACAATAACCCTGTGCATGGGTTCAGTACTGTTAATAAAATGCAGCGCATGGAACATCTCAGTTATTTCTGGGACTGACCCAATTGAGATCACCATCTTGTGACATCTCTTACAAGTTACTTGCGACTTCCAGCTTGCTACTAGCGCCTGGAATAATACTTTACTCAGAAAAAAAACAGAAGTAGAAGTAATATTAAATAGTGAAAGTAAAAATTAGATCATGAAATAGAAAATTCTTTAAACTGATTCATGAGGTGATAAAAATGCAGTGACTTGATAGAGATTTTTTTCTTAAATAGAGAAATTTGCTACTTTTAACTCCTGGAAGAGCTGAAAAACTAAAACATTAGCTTGACCTGATGAGCTGTATAGTTCAGCATCCCCACATACCTATAATAATGCAGTTTAGTGCCATCATTATCAGGAAATGCCACATGCCTGTAAGTCACTTCCTCAGTGGTTAGATGTCACTCGGACAGCGTTTAACATAATCCAAAATGTGTCATCAGCTCATTAAACAGGGAGCTGAATCAGTCAAACTGTCTAAAATTCTTCATAAACAGTTCAATAGATAGAGTAAGGCAGCCTACCCACTGATGTTTGACAAAAGTGAGGCATTGTTAGTTATCAGTAAAATGTCACAGGCATGTGCCATATTTCTGTGAAGAGTGAACAGTGAGTTAGGCCACATGTTCATGGCATTAGTAACAACAGCTCAGGGAAAAACACAACTGAAACCTTTTAAATACAATGATTCTAACTCACAGTGTACAAAGAGCACACTATGAGAAAAGTGTTGGGCATGAGGGTTTTGCTTAAACTCGTATCGGTATTATGTTTATATTGTATTTTAGTATTTTAATCAGAGGGCACTCAATCAGTGTGAGTATGAGAGTAGTCCGTTAACATGTAACTCTTCTCACTTCTAGACATTCACAGGTTCCCGTTGGTTGTTCTGTCGTTTCACTACAAAGACCTTCTGTCCGGAGATTGTCACTGCATAAACGTAGTCCTCAAATATCACTGTGGGAAAAAATGAAAGAGTGATATTTTTATATAACTATCTTGTGTCCTCTTAGCACTTCTTAGAGAGTATAAAAACTAGGGATGTAACGATACACTCAGCCCATGATTCGAATCAATTCTCAATACTGGATTCATGATTCAGTATTCATGCAATATTTTGAACAAAACTTGATAAAGCAGATTGATGACTATGAAGAAAATTGATGACTATAATAAAAACTAGTGCTGGGAGGGAGGAGGAATGCTAGACTTGTTGAGTTGTTGGTTGTGTTGACTGTTCATCATAGCAATCTTTGGTGTTTGGGTGTAAAACAATGCAATTGCATTAAAGCTGCACTACGCAGGTTTTGGGGATTTGGAGACCTCTCTGGTGGAAATGTGGAATTGCATGCAACATGAGGAAGAACATTTGTAATATAGGTTGTGCTTTGGACTCCTTCTCCGAATGGATGACCCTGAGGATTGCATGTGCACTGAAAGTGTTCAAGGGAACTCAGTCAAAATTTAGTGAAATGTGTCTTCTGAGATTATGAGCAAATTATCTACTGTTGTCATTATATCTTCTTCAGTATAATGCTGATTTTGCATTTGAGACCTAAACATTGAGCAAAACCTTTTTTTTCTGTGCGCGTGAGGTTAACACGTAAAGACATATGCCATAGTCGAAAAACTCCCATGAAATCTGACCCAACACCTCTCAATTTTAGACGACTTTTCAGTCTTTAAAGGGCGACTCGCAACAACAAATACATGCTGAATTTTAGTGTGATTTTTTTCTCCTTACTCAGTAATGCTACTTCATCAACTTAAACAAAAAAAACTGGTATAGCGCAGCTTTAAATAGCATAATTAATATTCCACAATGCACACAGTCACTGTAATATCATGCTGTCATGGCACATTGTTATACTTCTAATAGAGACCCAACAGTGATTCACGATCACTCACCTGACATGCGTTTAAAAGGCGGCTCTGCTGCTCCGTGAAGCCTGAACCGACATGCTGTTCGGACCATCTGCATGATCACTCCTGCGGTGTGCTCATCGTTCTCCAGCTCTCCTGAAGACTAAGAGAAACAGCACAAAGAGCCTTCTGTGAACTCTCAAAACACAATGCTTATGAAGCCAATCCTATTACGTTTTGTGCCCTTTTAAATGTGCTAGAAAAGACCCCTAAAAGAGGCAGCATTTCTGCATAACCTATTAAAATGTAAACAGTCTTTCAGAGTGGTTTGATGTGAAATGGTGCATTACAGAGAAATGTAAGGACTAAGATTTCTTTACAGCTGTGCTTATAGAAACCAGGGGTCATGATGTCTACACAATATAGCCATTTTATTTACTATACAAAACAACCAGTGGACAAACATGCACCTTTTGCACCTTTTATATGTAAAAAGTGGTAAAACAAAAAAAAATGGGTATTGGGTATATGGGTAATCTACTGAGGACTGCATTACAACACCCTGTGTGTACCTCTGAAATAAAAAAATATATGCTTTAGACAAAACCTTATCTCAAAACTATTATAGCCATCAGGCAGCAAAATCTGACCTATTTTATTTAAAAACTTTATGAGGCGGAGCTTTTATGACGTTAAACTCTTCAGATGTCTGGTTCCTATCACCACCATTGTGAACGATTCTGAGTTGGTACGTTTCTCTAGAACAAAGCATTTTACATCTAACCACTCTGTGTGACTTTGTTTACATTTTAACCATTTAACATTCATTTTAAAAAATGGATGGATATCCCCTTTAATGTGTGAAGACTCACTGCAAGTACGCCGTCCTCACTGATCACCAAATACCCTATCTGGTCAGGTATCCTCTCCAAACCCTGAGTCAGTGCTGTGGTCTTCCGCGAGGAAAAGAGAGAGAAAGAGGGTAAGAGCAGGAGAAACTCTTTTCCATGAAAAAAACGCTGACTTCATGAGGCAAATAGCAATTAAGCAGTGCTTAAAGAGGGAATAACAGCGTTTCCCAGCTCCAGTGCTGTGGTCCACATGTACTAGTTACTATGTTTTCACTGCTCACACACTGATTCAGTTCCAGCAGGTCTGATCACTGCATTAATGTGCAGAAAAACACAGACAGCTCAGCTGAACCACAGCGAAGGAGATAATAAACAGGTCTCTCTCACACACACACACACACACACACACACACACACACACACACACACACACACACACACATCTGACAGCACACGACACACTCCGCACAGCTTCAACCGACAGAACACACACAACAACACTGCTGTTCAGTTAAATGTCCAATAAGAATCCCAACATAAAGAAAAACACAAACCATTTTCAGCTCGCTCCGCGGATCAGGAAGCGCCGCAGATGATTATTTCCCGTCTTGTGCGTCTCACGTGACGGTCGAGTTTTCTTCTGCAGTGCCGAGTCACATAGTGTACGAGCACAGCGCCACCCGCCGACAGAATAAAAGTCCTACCACTACTGCTATTATTATTATTATTATTATTATTATTATTATTATTATTCTAAAAATATATATATTTTTATTTGTTATTTAGTCATTCAGCAGACGCTCTCGCAGATACAAAGTAACCGAGACTGCAAGAATCTGTGACCTAAGAGGCAGAAGCCATAGCACAGCTTAATCTAGTTAAATTAATAAATCCAAGTGTAGACAGTGAGGAGAATGAATAAAGTACATTTTTAAGTAATGAAACAAAGCGGTAAAGTGCAGAGGACTGAAAAGAAAAAAGGCGATTCTGAAGAGGCAACAGTTTAACACCGCATTGCACTTAATTCCTGAATCACCTCCGTCGTTTCTCTTAAACACCTTTGTGTTATATTATTAAAAATGTCTTTTTATACTCAGCTTCGGCATACAACATAAACAATTAATAATCAATACATTCGATGTAAATGTAAATAACCAAGTATTTCAATTACTGAAAACGTCTCCATTATTGTACTAATTTACTTAAATAAATATATGCAAATGACATATAATCATAACCACAATAATAATAATTGTTTATTTAGTCATTCCTTCATTTATATTTATTTATTCAATTATTGTTTATTAACCATTTTTGTTTTTTGTTTTTTTTTGTATAAGTAGCTTAATACGGCAACCGTGGTCTATTATTTTATTTATTTATTGTTTATACTGTTATTTTGTTTTATTTATTGCACTGACAGTAGTGTTTAATGACAGTAACTGATCCTGTAAGCTGTATTTCTGTCCCGTTTCCCCAACACGAGGCCGAACTGCGTGTCAGAGGAATGTCCTGAGTTTCAGAAGCTCACCGTGGTGTGTGACCTGTTTCAGCAGGAGTGCTGATCTACAGTCGGCTTCTGAGACCAAAACGGTCACAAATCCGGGAGAGATCTGATCTGAGATCAGCCCTCGGACTCCGGACGGCCTTCAGCTCCGGAGCCTGAAGCGGAAGTGAGGCAGTCAGCTGACTGTAGCATGTGATCCAGAGGGGGAACAGACAGACAGACAGCAGCTCAGTCTTTCTGTTATTTTATTTAGATATCGTCTCTGGGCTTCGCTGCGCTGAACAGTGATGGCTGGACGGGGTAAACTGATCGCCGTGATAGGAGATGAAGACACCTGTACCGGGTTTCTGCTCGGGGGGATCGGAGAGCTGAACAAAAACCGTAAACCCAACTTCTTAGTGGTGGAGAAGGACACCAGCATCACAGAGATCGAGGAGACCTTCAAGTGAGACCTTCTTCTTCCTCTCAGCCAGACTGTGTCGGGTTTTGACCCATGAGTTTTACTCCCTTGTGTAAAATATGAAATATAGCTGTATTAGTATTGTCTGTAGTGTTGCTGGTATCGCGCTTTAGGTCTTCTCTCATTAGCTTAGCTGCCTGGTTAACCTCAGATCCATTTCCATAAGCGCGGCTAACAGCAGCAATAGCGGCGGTGCTAAACCATTTCCAGCTGAGCTGGTCCTGTCAGTCGGCCCGCGTCTCTTTAGCGTAGCTAAATAACTAAAGAAAACTCGGACCCTCCTTTCACTGTATTACTGAACCTCTAAACAACAGCTGATAATAGAAATACAGTCATTACACAGCATTAGTGGAAAGGCATTATTGTGAAATCACTAACTGTCACTGAATTATGTGGAAGTGCTTAGTTCGTATGAGATCAGAGCTGCTCAAGGTCGAACGGTGTAAATTTATATTTTTACACACTGAAAACTCAGTGGCCAGTTCCTTATTCAAAATTTCCGTCCCACCTTAAATAGTGCAGTTATGAGAGATGCTTAAGGCCTAACGTTGTAGATTTATACTGTTGAATTGGCCAGTTTTTTAATTAGAATATTCCGTTCCACCTTAAATAGTGCTGCAGTATTTGTAACTGCTGCACTATTTAAGGTGGGATGGAAAATTTGAACAAGAAGCCGTCCTTAGCTTCTTTTGGATATTGCTACTCTCAGACATTCAGTCTAGATGTTTATGTGAATATGTTTGTCCTGTACGTAATGCTGTTTTGTTTGTTCATTGAAACAGAAGTTTCCTGGCTCGCAGTGACATTGGGATCATCCTCATCAACCAGTTCATCGCAGAGATGATCCGCCATGCCATAGATGCCCATATGCAGTCTATCCCTGCCGTGTTGGAAATCCCCTCGAAAGAGCACCCATACGACGCTTCCAAAGACTCCATCCTGCGCAGGGCTAAGGGCATGTTCTCTGCGGAAGATTTCCGATAAGACAGAGTCCTGGTGGGATCATGGCCTAGTCAGGAGAGAGGATGGGAGAGGGAGCATTGGGGACAAGTTTGCTGATAATGGGAAAAAGATTAAGAGCAGCTAAAAATCTGTTGGGATTTGTTGGGTCGCTCTCCCATGCCTTGCCTGGGCTAGGTTAAATCTTGAAAACTCCTGTCAGTGTATATTGTTAATGTGTATGTTTTTCAGTGTCTCTGTGTTATGTTTGAAGATTGGACATATGAAATGTTTACTGGTGCTCAGCTTGTGATGTAATTGCTGTTCAAAGTTGTGTTTTTATGGCACATAAAGACGTTTATAGCTTTGATTCACTTAACACATGTAAGTTATATAATTATATAATCCATACATCTTTAAGGGCACATAGGTAGTTTGTGCAATCGTAACATTCCTTATAATTAATTATAACATACCATAGAGTTCAATTAGATTTCAGTTACATTTGTGTAAGAAAATGATTCAGATGCTACTTGTTCAAACAAATGTCTGCTAACTTATTTGTTGAGAACTGTAAGAAACAGTCATGTTCATTAAAAAAGGATATCAAACCTGCCATCCTGCTAACAGTTTGTGTGATTGTGCACTTTCATTGCTTTATAGTGTGAACACTGCTGTTGTAAATAGTACAAATGTCAGGCCTAATGAAGTCCAATTACTGACTTCTCAGTGTAATGTCCTTGATGGATGCCAATCAGATAATGCAATTTAAAAAACAGACATGCTAAGAATGACGACTGTTTCTCTGAACTGGCGTCCTGTTTTAAGCATAGCACCAGATGTTCCTGGGAATGATCATTCAGATTCTGTGAGGGTCACGCGTTTATTATTCACCGTTTGCTTGATAGCTTTGTGGTTCAGCCCCTTGCTCTAAACAGGGCAGTTTTTCATGAGATTTGTGTCCTATAACATTTTAAATGGAAAATTACCTTTGATACAGTATTTTAGTCTTTTTCATGCCCAGGCTTGAAGCCACAATCGAATGCAGCATTATTCCTGCCTATGCGTTTTCCAAAATCTAGAAGGAAGAGATTGGAACCATGTTTCCTGCAGTATTTTGTCTCACTATTTGATGTTTGGGTTTCTGTTACTCATTCTGCATTCTCGAATGTAGATATAATACTAATCTACTCTGCAGTTTATTCTAGAGGACTACATCAGACGATTATCAGTGGTCAGTAAGGTGAGTACTGAGTACTTTATATAACATGGCATGACCGAAAAAGATTAATTAAAAACAACACAAAACAAAAAAGCCAGTGTGGTGATATCAGTGGTTCTCGGTGGTCCTGGACATCCCCTGTTATTGCTTTTCCTGCATTTTAGCTCAGTAAGGGTTGTTACTGAGCTGATTATTTGGATCAGGTGTGTTGAGAACAGAGAAAAACTCTGAATTATCACTGATCTAGTCTGGTGTCACTGATACACTAACATTTAGCTGTGCATGTTTGTGTGTGTGTGTGCGGGCTGTTTCTGAACATTTGGGGGCCTCAACATCCCACACCCTACCCACCCCAATTATATTCTTTTGTATGCAAGAATAGAACAAGAATTATTATTTCTTGCTAGAGAAACAATATAAGAAAACCACTGGACACACTGCACTGTCTGATAAATAATATTAATATATATATATATATATATATATATATATATATATATATATATATATATATAGTTGATGACGCACACACACACACACACAGTCATATGCAATAGTTTGAATACCTCTGGTCAAATTACGCAAGTGGTACATTGATTTTCTAAGTGAATTTTTTTTCTGCAAACTTTAGAGCACAATGTCTGTTTATTTGCTGATTTTATAACTGATATTGGAAAATAGTGTCAAAATTTCACAATAAATTAAAGAGAAATCTAGTTTTATGGGCTAGAAAACCATCTGAACTAATTGCATATTACATAAGCGACACCAACAGAGATTAAAATGTTTAGAAAATTATTAGACAGTTTATTCTCAATAAACCATTTTGAACCATAGGACAGATCTCATTAAATAAACTTTCAGAACTGGGGCAGAACTTTCAAAAGATCACCAGCTGTGTAATGTTAACAGCAGGATTTCTTCATATAATGTCATATGCAAAGTGTACAACTGCTGTTTGGCTGAATTGAACATATTGGAAACAAATACGTGAGTATGTGATATTTTCACCCTGAGCTCTTCAGTATGACCCATTCTACTGCCAGTGTTTGTCTGTCAAGATTACAGGGCTGTGTGCTTGATTTTAAACATCTGTTAGCAATGGATTCAACTGAAACACATGAACTCAATTATTAGGAGAGGTGTCCACATACTTTTGGCCATACAGAGTATACAGACACACACCTGGTGGTTTGGTGGGCCCCATTTTTTGCTGTGAATAAACACTCGACAGGGCTGCTGTAATCTGAGAAAAGTCACTGAAACAGTTGCTTTCTGTGAAAAATAGGATATTTGTCATCAGTGGAAGCAAGAGGAGGCCAAGGCCATACACACAGAGCACAAGGAAAACACCCTTCAGATCTCTTCTGGATCTGTTTTAATGAGACACTGTACTTGATTTATTGTGTACGGCTGCCACTGTGAAGGAACAACAATGTTCACAACACCAAGAAAGACCTATTAATCTTATCCGTTGTTTTCTTTCTTTTTTTTGGCAAAAGCATGTGTCCTTGTCTCTTTCTGTACTCATGAAAACATTGGCCAGATCTGTGAGAACCGTCCACATAGACAGCCCTCTGCGTCAAAGATGGGAGATAAACAGGCATTGATTAAGTGTGGGAGTGATTATGATGTATAAATGCATTGCAGTTGTCTGATCCAGGCTCATTTGTTCACCACACTGCCAGCATGCTCCTTGCCTGGGCCTGCAGTGTACTGCTCCTGGGGTGTGTTGTTGGATCACCCCTCTACCACAGTGACACAAAGAACAGTACAAGGTAAGATACCAATAACCACAGTGAGCTCCATCAAAGCTGGGACCTTGTTTAATTGTTTTATATCAGTCTTTTCTAATACTAAACAGGTATTTCAATGCCTGACTCCAAAACATTAAAGGTCAGTGTCTTTTTCCTTCCCTGTAGTGATAATGGGGCACCTCCCCTTCCAGTGAACTCAGAGGCCAACTCCTCCAACACTACTGTGTAAGTATAATGCTCTGTCAATTTCTTGCTTGGATATTAACTGGAAGATTATATTAGCCAGTACATTATGTTTGACTGTTTGCCACTGATAGGCTTAGTTTCCTTAAAGGGGAATTCCACCAATTTTTCAAAATTTTTGCATAATTCAGGCAATGTGAACAAAGTCATTCAGAGTGGTTTGATGTAAAATGCTCCATTCTACCGAAAATGATCAGCTTTGGTGTCTTGAGTCTTTAATAACCAAGTGTTATGTTGTCTACAATGCAAACATAACCATTTTATGTGCTGTGCAAAACCAACAGTGTCTTCAGAGATTTTATATGTAATGTTGATCATGGTAAAATAGTGATAAATCTGGAATTTTTTGAGGACTATTTTGCCTCATACCACCCTTAATGTAACTCTACACTGGGAATGGCTTTCTAAAAAAAAACAGGCAGTGTACTCATAACCATTTCAAATAGTAACTTTCTGTGAGGGAGCTTTTAGAAGCATTAAACTCTTCAGACATCTGGTTCCATTTAATTATACAGAAAATTTGAAAAATCTGTGGAATTTGACTTTAATAGCATGTTTTGGGGTCATTGTGTTTCCACAGCTTTCTGAGATTTACACAAATTTTAAGGCCTTTAAAGAAAACTCAAATATTCCTAAATGATTGTTAATACTTTTAGGCCTCCTTTATTAATTAAATACTTGCATTTACTCTTTTAAGCGGGATTTATCAAAGCCAAGTAAACACGCAACATCTTCCACGTTTATGCACTTCAGCCAGTGATAACTTAGCACAGCATCCTGGAGAATTAGCTCATAATAAATGGCTGAATTAAGTCTCATCTGTTTATAAGACTTTGTCCCAAAACTAAGCTTAGAACATTCTGTGTTCTAGCCCATAAAAGTGGTTGTGAAGCTGGACAGACTGTGTTTAAACAGTTCAGACAGGAGGCATTAACTTACTACAAGTTCATTTTTCTCACTACTTATACTTGTATGCAAAACTTTGTGCGCCCCTGGTCAAATGACATGTATATTTTGTGCTTTATTTTTTCCAATATGTTCAACTCAGCAAATAAATAGAAATTGTGCACTAGAATTTGAAGAAAGATGGCACATTTACATTTTCTTTATGGGGGAATTCCACCTATCTTTCAAAATTCCTGCATAATTCAGTGGTTGAGATGAAAACAAAGTCATTCAAAATGGTTTGGTGTGAAATGGTTCATTTGTAGAGAATCTCATTGACTCAGATTTCTTTACAGCGGTGGTTATAGGAACCAGGAGTCGCAATGTCTACAACACAAATATAGACATTTTATTTACTATCCAAAACCACCAGTAAATCTACATGTGTCTACTGAGTTTGTTACTACTGAGTTTGTTAGTATAGGTATGAGTATTATGAGTATACTATTTTGCCTCAACCTGCGTGTATCATTATGTCCTGCTTGCATTTTTAAAAAATACATTTTAGGCCCAAAACTTTTCTCAAAAAGATTATGAACAACTTTCCAGGCATCAAGCAGACTATTTGTAACCATTTAATGTAATAACTTTCTGTGAGGGAGCTTTTAGATGTCTGGTTCCCATCATAACCACTGTGAACAATTCTGACTCTGTAAATTTCTCTAGAATAGATCATTTCACACCAATCACTCTGAATGACCTTGTTTACATCTTAATTATTTGATAATGTAGATATTTTGAAAAATTAGGGGAATTCCCCATAATTTCACTTAGAAAATCAGCAAAACGTCATTTGACCAGGGCCCCAGGAGAGGACTAAACACAAAATATTCTCACGAAATAAAAATTATTGAAAGGTGACTCTTATATTTTATTTTCAGCTGAAGTGTGTGAGCGTACCATACAGCGTGGCAGCAGCATTGAATTAGACACGAGAAACATTGCAAATGTAATAGTAATGTAATAGGCAAATGCTATTTTACTGAACAGGCAGCAAGGAAAAACCATCACTACTTGCTAGTAAAATGGCTTAGATAGCAGGCAGGTCCCATTCAACCATACAACTCTCCTTTATCCGTGCCGTCAGTCGCTTCTGATCGAGCTCCCGACCTGGAAAAACGCTTCAGATTGTGGAAATTTGTGGCAAGGGGCAAATCAGGCTTAAAATCAGACAAATAATTGTGCAATGTATTTGCAACCTAAGCTAACAACAACAACCTCCTACCGCAAATGTGGCACCTCCCAAAAGCCTCCTCAGGCCACTGCATGGCCACACCCTCCGCGCTCCCACAGCAATGCAAGCCAGGATGCGCGATGCTACAATAGTTACAGTTTGTCTTCACTAATTAAATACTTTTAGAGGTGATTGTGGAGGAACCGTGGATAAAATGAACGCTGGTTTGTGTTTCAGACAGACAAAAGTAACAGGTTCATAATGACCGTACATGATGATGATTTGCCCATGACTGATAGCGTACTGTGGTTTGTTCCCAGTGACTGTGAAGGCCCCTTCTGTGGTTCTGCCCAGAACTACACTGAGTCAGGGTAAGTGTCTCGCGCACGGCCATATGCCCTGCCTGTTTGTAATGCAGGTGACTATATTACCAAGACCCACCAGCTACAAATGCCTCAGAGCGGCAGCACTGATTCAGAATCAGATCCTTCATCCAGTCAGCCAGTCTTACTCAGTGTCATATGACTGACTACAGCACAGGAAGCTGTGTATGTGCGTAGCTTGAACAAAACAAGACAAAAACAAGAAAGCATCAACAGGTCTCTGTTTAGATGCTGTCCTTGACAATTAGGACAACATGTTTTACAGTGGTGTATTTGTACCTTGAAACCGCAACCATGACACAAACTGCAGGCTGCTTGTCTCAGCTTTTTGTTGCTTTTATGTGTAGTTGCACTTAAGTATTTTAGTAGTTTCATAGTAGACTTAGTAATGTTATAGATATAACTGTTATAGATATAACTGTTGTTACAATTGGACTATGTAGCCTCTTAAGCTCCAAAACACACTTCGTCATATTTTTCATAACTTTAATATTTCTAATATTTCTAATATATAAGCTACATTCAAAAGGTGGGGGTCATATGAGAGATGTAACTGTCTTCTTTCCAGTCAAATAGATGGGTAATGTAATTTTAAACCCTTACAATAGTAGAAGCTGAACTCACCATTTTTTTGTCTACTGAAAGTCGACCCATTTTTTCACAAATCTGGGCTATAAACTATAAACAGATGGCGTCTCTTCAGTGATCTGCTCTGTAAAAATTATTTTTATAAAAAAATACAAAGAGCGTAACATGTTCTGTTAATTTGAGGGGAGCTTTTACAAAAAAATAAAATAAAAATTTGCATTAATTTCATGCAGTTACTGAATAATTTGCCTTAAGATTTGGTCATGTAAATTCAGATGGACAAACCAAAATAGACCCTGGAGCATAAGAGGTTAATAAACATACTACTGGATTTACTTCAGTGCTACTTTTTAAGCTATGCTGCACCTAACATTTACTTAAATACATTTTAAATTATATTTTAATATCACTAAATAAACATAAACACATTTTACAAATTAAAGTTGTATTTAAGTTTACTTTTGTAAAACATAATTAAGTGTACACTTATATATACTTAAAGTTTATTGAAGTAATGTAAACACATCTTCTATGCCTACAAGTGCTTTTCTATTCTAAATTGGAACAACTGATGTTGCAATGAACTTAAACAGTTGCTATGACACACGTTGCATCAGCTCCTACTATAAAAATAGTTTCTAAAAGACATTTTTATTTGTCTTGTTTTATGCATGGAGGGTAACTTTTTCGTTTTTGCTCCAAATTGTTTTCCAAAACCTTCGGGCTATATCTTTAAATGCATTGAACATCATTTCAAAGGTAGCTATTATTTGCTGTCTTTGCTGACAAATTACAGAATGTTTAAAAATGTCATTCTAAATGCCAACAGCTTTAATGAGCACTATTTGTACCGTGGCCTTTTCACACTGTCAGTACACAACACTACTCCAAATCTAACGTGCAGCAATTATCACAGTGAGAGGAGCAGGACTGCAGATGATAAACACGCACACAACATGTGCATGTCCTTCACCAAATAACAGCCTTACACAGTCGAGTGCAAAAGTTTGAACATCTCTAGTCGACCTACACATTTTTGTTGATTTTCCAGGTGAAAATAACTTAACACATCCCCTTCAGTGAACACAATTCTACACATTTAATGCACATTTCTTGATTATTTGCTGAATTTAACATACTGAAAAAAATATACATAAAACCCCATCTGTACAAAAGATATGGCATATTTTTCATTTTATAAGCCAGCACAACATGTACAGAAAACACACTCAAATATGGCATTTTCTGCAAATTTGAAAGCACAATTTTTATTAATCTGCTGAGTAACATAAAATAAAAATGTGCCATAACTTTTGCACAGGCCACAATTTCTATTCCTTTTTCTATTTTCTATTTGTTAAATTAGGCCATATAAATGGTTGACCTGAAACTAAAATCCTTTTTTATTTTACCAGAAATGCTACATTAAGCTCCAGTGGAAAAAGGTGGGCGATCCTGTTTTTATAACATGTTTGTATTTAACTGAATGTGGTACAAAAAAATGTACCCACAAGTCAGAGTAAATGAAAGGGCTGTTACAAACATTTAGACTGCATGAACTGCTTAAAAAAGATGGTTCTTCATATTGATGGAGAATGTGTTATATATAGTTCTATATAGAACCTTTTTAAAAATGGTTCTATATAACACCAAACTATTGTTATGATGTCAAACTCACAATAGAAGAACACTTTTTGGCGCTATATAGAACCGTTTTTAAAAAGGTTCGGTAACACATTATTTGCATAGTACACTTTAGATGCTTTGTAGATACTTAATTTACTTTTAAATTACGTTCAACTAAACATCTACTAAATTTTCTTTACCTCTAAACCTGGCTCTAATCCTTACCCTAACCTTAACCTCAACCTAAAACCTAAGCCCAACCCTTACCCTGGTCCTAGCCCTAACCCCTTTCCAAATCCTAACCCTAAACTAACCGCTGTTTAGAATCAACAGATAGTTTGTTAACAGTTTGAACATCTGTAGATAATCGATAGGCGACTATAGTGGACTATCCAAATAAAGTGAGACCAAAGATTATATAAATCTAAAGAGCCATTTCACCATACAATTTAACCATAAAATGATTCTATGTAGAACTGAACAAAACCGTTGCCTTTACTAAAGAACCCTTGAAGAACCATCTTTTTTAGGTGTGTAGAGGAGGCGGAAAAAATGAAGCTATGAAGCTGCTTTGGTCTTTGCTGTGATGACACAGTTGATTAAAGCGGTGAGGTTGAGGACGTATAAAGACGCTTTGCGTTCACACTATAAATGTTGTGGTCATATGCGGCCCTGACTGCCTCCGAAGGTGGTTTTAGTGATCGGTTACCTGTATTTAGCGCTAATTAGATCACCCAGAATGCATGTTATGAATGGGGCCTGAGATGCTTCTGAGACAACGTGCAGTTCACAGCTGGCAAGAAAAAGAACTGTATAGCACAAACCTCTCAAGAAAGCACAGTGCTGTAAAAGACATGTTGTCAACACAGGTTCTTATTTCTGAACATAACTAGAACTGATATCAAAATCCAATATAGCACCTAGCGAGCCCATACCCTGGTCAAAGTACCAGGGTCACTAGCAGAAACAAGCTTAATCATAGCACGGTTTTGGTTAGACTGGAGTGTATGAATCTGTTTCTACATTAAACATTGCTATATAATGGCATACACTTGTGATTCTCAGTGTAAACACAATTAAAGACTTTATTAGCATTTCTGAACCCTATAAATAGAACCATCTGACTGATAACATGACTTACACTCTGGAGGCTCTGTCTATGAATCATTCAAAGCATCATGGGGTGCAGGAATAAGGCGGACAGAACCTTTACATAACATGAAGGTTCTTCAAACATCTAGAAGGTTCTTACATTTAGAAGGTTCTTCACACTCACAAATCTCTCATGATTATTTAGGGAACCAAAAGTACTTCTTCCGAGGCATCACTCAAAAAACTCTGTGGCACATTTTTTGTAGAGAGTGTAAATTAGATCTATTCATAACACTTTAATGATACAGGTATATGGATCATTCTAGCAAATTGGTTCAGAGTTAGAGTTGAAAACACATTTTGGACTTTACTTTGGACTTTGAGAGAGCCTATACCTTAATTATGTTTATTTTATTAAAATAAATGACTGAACATTCCATTTTGTCACTAATAAACAGGCATAACACTACAAAAACTTTACCATATGTTTCAGTGGTGACAATTTAAGCTAATTTTGAGCAGAACCCAAAAACACTAGCCAGTACACGGCTAGCAAACACAGCTTTGAACAGTTGTACACACATAAAATTATACCAATGTTCATTAAAACACAAAAAAGTTACTAAATTGCAGAAAATATATGTTTCAATTTTGACAATTCATAATATTACACACTGATTTTCAGACTTTAGGACACATTTACTTTAAAACAATGAGATCTAACTGCTCACCATGTGGCCATGAGGGACAGGGATGCAGTCTCACTTCCTGCTCTAACATGCAGGGGTGTGGCTAAAATAAGGCCCCTCCTACAGACTAAAACTCTTTGGGTACATTTTTGGAATAAAGTTTTTCCATTCAAAAATTCATAATAAACCAAATTCTTTCAACTTTAAAAGAATTAAAAAAGATCTTGGAAAAAAAACACACTGAAAAATATTCTTAAAAACAGTAAGTATTTTCAGAAGCTGAAATGTAGGGCTTAGTGTTTGGGACAGACATCTCCCAACAAAAAATCATCACATATTTCCTGTAAGGTCTGAATACTGAATTGTTTTTATAAACAGTTTTTTTTATTGTGGAAGCTGATTTGGTAGAACAGTCCATATATTGAAAAATGCACTCAAATCAGATGGCATTTTAACCTGATTATAGTATCAGGTTTTGCACACCAAATCTCCTGTATAGATTGCTGTTTTTTTTCACAATTACTTACAAAAATAAGACCTGTACACTTTTTAACTGTAGATGTCTGTGTTCTCTTTAACATGAGTAACAACTTCCTTTCTTTTTTGTGCTTTTGATAGGATGTTTCTCCTGCTTCCTCCCCCTGTGATCTTCAGGTGCTGATTTGATCTTTGAATCACAGACTTGTATTCAGTGAGAGATTGATTTTCTATAGCTGGCTTCACTGAAACTTGCTGATTTGACCTCAAAAGTGAATTGTGGAAGTATTTCTAAAGCGAAAGTGTTAAAATGTCCATGTATGTGTGTTTAGGATGTCAGGGACTCGAAAAGCAGGCTGCATTTTACCTACATGTGCTGTGCACCACCTGTCTGAGAAGCTCCAGGCTGGAGATGAGTCAGCTGGAGATACCCATGACCCTTATGGGGTAGGAAAGAGATGAGGGCCAAAAAGGAGGAGGATCCTTCTAACACATTTCTTCTGGAAAGAAAAATCATTAATAATTTCAGGGCTGCAACATTTTGGCATTTGTAATTTTGATGATGTAACATAAGCCACCCAAGTAAGATTTAAAGTTATTCATACTGGACAGTGCTGTTGAAATGACCTTCATCGTGTATCAACTGCTCTTTTTTTCTTAAATAAAATTATCTTCAATTTTGTTTCTGTCAAGGGCAGAATTTTTGAACACATTATATCATTATTAGATTTTTTCTGTCACTCTGTATGTTTACTTAGATCTTAAAAATGTGATAAAGCCATATGCCAGACGTTTGAACACCGAAGGTAAAAATAACGTTTTGTTGATTTTCTAAGTGACAATAACGTTAACACATCCTCTACAGAGAACACGGTTCTACACATTTTAATACACATTTCTTGCAGAGAAAATACTTAAATATTGCATTTTCTGCTAATTTTACTGCAACGTTTTTGTTGCACAACATTTTTTGCTTCATTTGACATATTAGAAAATATATGCCTTTTTATATGCCTCAAGTACCTTATGTTTTTTCCAATACTTTAATATGTTAAGTTTCAGAAAATAAACAATAATTGTGTATTAAAGTGTGCAGAAGTGTGTTCTCTGTAGAGGATGTCCAACTTATTTTCATTTAGAAAAAATAACAAAAACATGCAATTTGGGGTGCCCAAACCTTTGCATACAGCTATGGTTATATTTTGGACCATGAATTCTACATAGAAAAATTTGCATGCTTAAGTAGTTCTTTGCATGGTGAAACGGTTCTTCTAAATGATGGAAAATGTGTTGCATATGGTTCTATATAGCACCAAAAGGGTTCTGCTATTGTTACGATGTCAAACAATAGAAGAACCCTTTGTGGTACTATATAGAACCATTTTCAAAAAGATTCTATACAGAAGTGTATTCAACACATTTTCAATCAATCTAAAGAACCGTTTCACCATGCAAAAACCATTTAAGCATGGAAAGGTTCTATATAAGCTCATAGTTCTAAATAGAACCATTGCCTTTACTAAAGAACCTTTGAAGAACCATCTTTGTACCTTGTGCCTCCCCCAGCGACCATGCTATGAGATCCATCGTAACACTATATTGGTGTACAGTTACAGAGTAGCTCATCTATTGTCACTCGCAATGAGTCAGCCACCCTCTGTCCCATTCATCATTGGTCAGTTTCCGACCACAGAACAACTGTTGACCAGATACTATAAGAGGCATTTCGGTTGAATGAGTGACAGTTAGCCTGTGCTAGAGGTATCAGATGTTCAGGGTAAAGAGGTAGGTGTGGAGGCAGGCCTAAAGCGGGTAGTAGAGGATGAGACATCAGCTGATGTAACAAGTAGATTCAGGTGAGCTCTTGCTTGTTTGTAATAAGAGATGGGATAATAGATAAATAATAAATAATGAAACAGGATATGATTGTACACACCTGTGATAAAACAACCTCTGAAAGGGTTTGCAACCTCATGGATAACGATACAAGGAATAACGAGAAGCAGATACTTCCTTCTGCCTGACAGCCACCCACAGTGCTCAAAATCTGCGTCGGATCCTCTGCCATTTCTGGGGGCCAACTGAAGGGATAGAAGGATCCACGTAGGACGCATCTACATCAGAGTTATTCAGCTACATGACAGCTAGTCATGTTGCTGCATGCCTTTATGTCCGTCATATGTTTCGATACAATTTGATCCACAACACCCCTTTTCCCCAGAGTCTCCAGCGGGAAGCTGTTATTTGGTCCATGCAGCCTCCTGGTGGACTTTCGGTGTGGTGTGTTTTGGGCTGAGGGTTGATCACTGTGCTGAATCGAGCTGTGAATTCACCTGAAATCAACCTCCTGGCTCTGATGATATCTGTCAGTCATGTCCCTCAACATACAGTCATGGTCCCTCAGGCAGGAAGCACAAGGGGTCATGGAGTTTTCTATTGGGCTATTCTGCATGTAATCCTGATGATTGGGACAGAGCACAGAGTGTTCCAGAGGTCATGTTACACATCAGAGTAAATTTGATTCCACTTAGGGTTTATTATATTTGTTTAATTTTAATTGATAGTTAAAGTTTAAAAGCATTCTTGGTGTAGAACCCAATGTACAGCACTTCTGAATGCCCAAAGAGTCTGCAGAGCTTTGCTTCATAAAACACTGATTGGCTATTCAGTAACGTTGTGGGAGAGATGAGACCAGAACAATACTAAACCTGAACCAGAACCACAGCAAAATCAAACACAGCAGTTTGAGGATCAGCTGTCAAACATTTACACAGATCTTAAAAATGTTACTACGTGTTCAAAATATTACAAAATAATGAAGCAAGTATGAATTATTGGAAAACATAGGAAATGCACTTTCCCCTACTGCACACGTTCATGCTGCATGCAAGTACTGGCAGACTCCAAGGCAAACAATTGAGCATGACACCCACATGTCCTTAGATACACAAGATACACAGACACAGATGTATAATTCAGTATTTAGCTGTTCAGAATATAAAGAACACTAGAAAAAGAACAGGAGGATTGCTTGCAAGTAAACAAATACAATGACCAACAAACATCTGCTGGCATTGTTTTGTGGTCAAAATGATGACAGTCATTTTTCATTTTGGCAATAGTATAATTTGAGCCGAAACCTTTTATGTTCATGTTGAACACTGAGGTTATGAAATACGGCCCAAACTGTCATCTGATTTTACATGAATAAATAATTTATGTGTCAAATAGTTTCTACTCATTACATTAAAAAAACTATAAAAGTACAATGCTAAATATCCTATTTTGAATTAAAACTGAAAGCTTTGATTCAGCTTATGTTGAATGATTCCACTTAAGCTATGACAAATCACCGTACAGAAGATACATTTGAAATGTGAACTCCTGTTGGTTGGTGCCTTTTGTTTATTCATTATATTATTATGTACAGTGGGGTCCAAAAGTCTGAAAGCTCTAGGGAAATGCTTCTGTTTTGCTTTCCTTTCTAATTTGATACGATTTTCATTACAAATTCTGCTATTAGCAGTAAAACAGTTTGAGTGAAAATTAGAGTCTTTGAAATTTTAACATGAATTTCAGAATTTCTTTGTATTTGATATGTCCTTGTTTTGCTTTAATGACAGTGTGCACTCTTGCTGGCAGGAAATTCACAAGTTTATGCAAAAGCCTCTGATGATTAGATTAAAAAAGGCTAAAAAATTACCTTTTGGGCAAAGGTCTGAACATTGTGGGTGTCACAAATATGATTTAACTGAAGTAGTGACCTGGACATAGTGCAGTATCTTGAATATTCCTTCATCATTTTACTTGTTATAACTTTTCTTTGTCTTAAATTGATCAACATTCTTAAATGTCCTTTATTTCAAAGTTTTTAAAAATCCCAAATTTTCAATGTGGTCTCAAACATCTGGACCCCACTGCATATTTATAAAGAAATAAATACATAAAGAAATACATTTAACTGAAGCTGATTCAAAATGCAAATAAGTAGGCAGGTGGAGAGGCAGCTCCGTTCTTTGGTGGTAGATGTTCAAATTTCTGTAAACAATGTTGAAATGTTGTAGAAAATTAATTAACCTATTTAACTAATCATTTTAGTACAACTGTTTCATTGTGACCTGTCCACTGTGACCTGTCCAGGGTCCTGCCTTCCACCCAATGACTGCTGGGATAAGCTCCGGCTCCCCCTGTGACCCAGAAGGATAAGCGGCTTAGAAGATGTGCGTGTTTCATCTCATTTGTTTACAGAGAAGTCAACTCAGCAGGAGAAGGAGATTCCAGGGATTCCAAATGCCTTTAGTGACACTATAGTGGAACCTCTGCTGCACAGTATCTCAATGTAGTTACTGTTGTTAATAACAACAGTGTTTAAAATGTATTGCATTGCAAAATACACTCTGAGGAGCACATGCATACAAAATGACATGCTTAGAGTGGGTGGTGGGCACTTACAAATGTCTTTGGTACACATGCAATAGCATGTACAATGGCTGTACATTTGCAGTCTTTGACATATGTTAATGCCTTTTTTTTCCACAGTATAGCCTGCAGTCTGAGAACAAATAATATGCAGCAGTAATATATAGTACTCACCACAAGAGGACACTGTCACCACATAACACAAACTTGTATACAGTCATATGCAAAAGTTTGGGCGCTCTGGTCATGTTTCTAAGTGAAAATAAGTTACAAATCCTCTACAGAGAGCACAGTTCTGCACATTTTAATACACAAATACTGTTTTTTTACTGAACTGTATGAAAATAATAAAACGTCAACTGTGGTCTGTGCAAAAGTTATGGTACATTTAATATTTTATGCTTTATTTTTTCCAATATGTTAAACTCAGCAAATAAATAAAAAACTGTGCACTAAAACTTGCAGAACACTTTTTCAACAAAACATTATTTTTGATTTTATTTTGTCATTTGACCAGGGATGGTTCAACTTTTGCATACGACTGTATGTATGGATTATTCAAAAGGTACACATTATGACAATAACAACATGAAAAGCATTTACATTGATATCTTGCTGGCAATCAAGGCTTTAACCTATACATTAAAAAACTCTAATTGTGTTTCTGTTGTTCGTCACTGTGAATGAACAGGTAGCCTAGCAGTGCTTGATTACAGAGATGGTGGAAGTGACATCTGCAGAGATCTTTAAACCCTGCCATTCATCCACGGCTTAAACAGAGAGCAGCGCAGACTCACAGATCATCATTAAGAAACACACAGACATGCACAGACAGAAAAGCATTACAGCGATCCAGACCTGTTTCGCTCTGGAATAGATGGGCACGAACAGGGAGCCAGATGAGTGTGGGTGAATGGGCATTTGTCTAGAAAGTTCTCGGTGCACCTGCCACTGAGAGAGAGGGACTGCTGTTATTGATAAGGACTTTCAGACAGAGATGGTGTCCTACACTTTAGTTATTCGGCAGACTCTTTGATACTCTTTGCAATTAAGGCCGCAAATTTGACCACATCATTAATAATAATACTGCGTAGAGAATATATCATGTCCGTCAAGCAGTGGTGTAGGCCTGCTAAAAGGTGGGCAGGCCAACTTGGTAGATGCAACTTCCAAATGTGCTAATGTCCCACAACGTAATTATATCATGCTATAGCCTATTCCTGACTGCTGTGTAGTCACCAGCCTAAATGATCCAACACTTCC